CCCTCCCTAATCTCATGATTTCATTGTGAGTGCAGTATGTGTCCAGCTTCACTCCCTCATTTATCTATTCTGTGCCAGCTTCTCTTCAGTCACAGCCTTTACTATTGAAGTGAGCCACATAGCTCCTGCTGCTGCTGCTTCCTGGTTTGAAAAAAGTAGTGGAATCAGGCAGAAGAGAGGAGTTGCTTGGCTAATGAATGCAGCAAGATTTCTGGCAGAGGAAAGGCAGGGCCAATTGCAAGTCACTTTAGAACATGAGTCCCAACTCAGTCCTTCCTCCCTGTGATCACAGAATCTGCTTTCTCCCAACCATAGCCCTCTCCTTCCCACAGGGGAAATCCTGGACATTAGTCATGTTCCACAGGAAATGGAACAGATTTCTAAGCATTAAAAGGGTGCTGTTTGGGGATTTAAGCCTAGATTTAGAGTGCAGGAAAAAAGGATTTACAGAATGTAATATTAATAGAAATATTTTCATAGAATCATAGAAATGTAGGACTGGAAGGGACCTTGATAGGTCATCTAGTCCAGTCCCCTGCACTGAGGCAGGACTAAGTATTCTCTAGATCATCCCTGACAGGTGTTTGTCCAACCTGTTCTTAAAAACCTCCATTGATGGAGATTCCACAACCTCTCTAGGTAATTTGTCCCAGTACTTAACTACTCTGACAGTTTGGAAGCTTTTCCTAATGTCCAACTTAAATCTCCTTGCTGCAATTTAAGCCCATTACTTCTTGTCCTGTCCTCAGTGGATAAGGAGACTAATTTATCACCCTCCTCTTTGTAACAACTTTTTATGTACTTTGAAGACTGTTATCAGGTGTATCTCCCTCCCCCCATCAGTCTTCTTATCTCCAGACTAAAGAAGCCCAACTTTTTCAATCTGTCCTCGTAGGTCATGCTTTATAGACATTGTATCACTTTTGTTGCTCTCCTCTGGACTTTCTCTAGTTTGTCCATGTGATGGGATGTGCTCCCCACACTCACTCTGAAGGGGTTAACATAGGCCAGAGGCGCCAGTTAACCTGTTAGGCTTCAAACCAGGGAACATCTGAGCTAAGAGGAAAGTAAGGGAAGTTCCCTGTGCAGAAACAGGTGGGGCTTAATAAAACCAAAGAGCTGGTAGGAGAAAGGAGGTACTCTGTTTACAATGGCACCAGTGTCACCGTGGGGCTGGGCCCAGACTCAGAAGGGGCCCTGGCACCCGGACTGTGGTCTCACCCCTGCTCCGCTCATGTTCCGCCCTGAGAGCTCCACCCCTGCTCAGCCTCTTCCCCCCGTGAGGCCCTGCCCACCGCTCACTCCTCTCCACCCCATTTCCCCCTGCTTGCTCCTCTCTGCTTCCTCCCACCCCTTGTCAGTGCCGGGAAGGGCCTTGGGGAGAAGAGGCCAAGCATGGGTGGAGTAGGGTTGCCAGGTGTCTGGTTTTTGACCGGAATGCCCTGTCGAAAAGGGACCCTGGTGGCTCCGGTCAGCACCACTGACATTACAAGTCCAGTTGGCGGGGCTGGCAGGCTCCCTACCTGGCTCCGTGCAGCTCCCAGAAATGGCGACATGTCCCTCTGGCTCCCAGGTGGAGGGATGGCCAGAGGGGCTCTGCACACACTGCCCCGGCCCCGTGCACCAGTGCTGCAGCTCCCATTGGCTGGGAGCTGCAGGGTGGTGCCTGTAGGCGGAGGCAGTGCACACCATGCAGAGCTGCCTGGCCGCCCCTATGCCTAGGAGCCAAGGGACATGTTGCTGCTTCCAGGGAGCACCCTGAGGTAAGCGCCACCTGGAGCCTGCTCCCTGCATCCCCTCCCACACCCCAACCTCCTGTCCCAGCCCTGAGCCCCCTCCCACATCCAAACTCCCTCATGGAGCCCGCACCCCCTCCCACACACCATAAGAATGGACATACTAGGTTAGACCAAAGGTCCATCTAGCCCAGTATCCTGTCTGCTAACAGTGGCTAATGCCAGGTGCCCTGGAGGGAAAGAACAGAACAGGTAATGCCCATTCCCAGCTCCTGGCAAACAGAAGCTAGGGACACTATCCCTGCCCATCCTGGCTAATAGCCATTGATGGACCTATCCTCCATGAATTTATCTAGTACCCCAGTCCTCTGCCCCAGCCCTGAGCCCCCTCCCGCACACAAACTCCCTCCTGGAGCCCACACCCCCACCTCCTCCTGCACCCCAACCTCCTGCCCCAGCTTGGATCCCCCTTCTTAACCCTAATGCCCTCCCGGACCTTGCACTCCACACCCCTCCTGCACTCCAACCCTCAGCCCTGAGCCCCCTCCAACACCCAAACTGCCTCCCATAGTCCATAAGAACACCGTAGTCTCTTTCTCTTCCTCTCCTAATCAAACATATTCTTCAATACTGTCTATGAACCCCAATCAGGACCCTACTGTGCTAGACACTGTACAAAAACACACATAAGACAGTTCATCAATACCTATTAGCCAGGATGGTCAGGGATGCAAACCCACGATTTGGTTGTCCCTAAACCTCTGACTGCCAGAAGGTGGGACTGTATGACAGGGATAGATCACTCAATAATTTCCCTGTTCTTTTTACTCCCTCTGAAGCATCTGGCACCGACCACTGTCAGAAGACGGGATACTGGGCTAGAAGGACCACTGGTCTGACCCACTACAGATGTTCTTATCTTCTTATCTAAGCACTCCCAGGCCATAATCAATATCTACTATTTTTCCCCCATGAAAATGTGATGATGTAATGATCTGAAGCTGCGGGCTCCAGGACCTAGTCTCCTCCAAACTTCACAAGCTTTGTCCACAATTGCTATGGGTCAGTGTTATTTTGAATAGCAGGAAGCAACAGGTGTAGAGAATAAATACATAGGAATCCTTATGCCAGGATCAGGCAAAATTTTAATCCTAATCAGTGTCCCACACTGTTGTATCAAAGGCTGGAGCATCTGGGGAGATAGCAATTCATGAAGCCTAGGGTCCATTAGTGAGAAAATCTTGGCCTGGAAGCCGGCATGAAATAAACTGGTCACAACAATCTCTGTATTCTGAGGTAAGGTTATTGGCATTTCACGCTAGGTCGGCCCAAGAGGAGCAAGCTTGGCTCAGAACCGCCCCCTGCAGGTGGGGCTTGAACTGTCACTTCCAACTGTCATAGAACCTTCTGGGCCCAACATTCTGCTTCTGAGTAAACAAGAGAGAGAGTCAAAACAAGCCCTCTCCCCCGCCCCCTCCGGGGCTCTGAGGTCTCTGCCTTGTGTAATAATATGATGCCCCTGGATGAGGTGCCAGAGGCAGGGATTGAACCTGGGACACCTGGATCAGAAAGGCTCTTTCCTCCCTCAGCTTACAGCCAGAATCAAATTCATAAATGTCGCTGTGCTCCAGACATTACTGGAAGTCAGAGAGGCACCAGTGACTTGTGTTACACCTGCATTACACACAAACAGGACAAATGCATGGGAGGATCTAAGTTCAATTGCCTCCAGCCACATGTCCACATCCCCAGCACAATGGCAAATATCAGCAACACAACAGATGCTTTTTGGCCTCTTTAGTGGCTTTCCCAGCATAAAATCTGATGCCTAGTGTGAAATATTTCCTCCTCCCTAGAGGTTGGTTGGGGATAGTATGAAGAAGCTTGTACTGCTGTTTCCTGGGCCTGTCCATATTCCATGGACAAATATAGGACTTCAGAGCTGGCAGTCTGGTACTTTTCTTCAGTGTTTATTTCTACTTTAAAAATACAGGGATATGGAAGAGTTAAAAAAAAAAAAAGAAGAAGCAAAGTTTATTTAAATGTGCCAGGAAAAATGAGTAAATCCAAGTAAGTATAATCTAATTCTGCTACCTTCATGTAACTGTTAACTTATGTGGGGTCTAAATTGAAGATAAAATTTGGCCCTCAGACATTTTCTTTTTCTGTGTTCCCTCTTTTCCCTTGGTCTCCCACTGTATTTTCAAATATCTCTCTGGGCTCTGCACCTTTTGTCATCCAATTGGTTTCTCAGCAACTGAGTTCTCTCTTTTTCTTATTTCCCCTCTGAATTCTTTTCCCCCAGGAACCTCTGTTTTTCTCTCTGGATCTTTTGCTCCTCCCTCTGTTGTCTGACCTGCTCAGCTGCTATTTCAAACTGTCATGGAATGAACTTTCAGACCCCAACAGTCCAGCTGCTTCTTTTTAAAGGGGCAACACCTGAAATACACCCTTGTTCGATGCCCATTCAGTGTTGTTTGACCAGCAGGTGAGGAGGAACATGTTACCTATTGTTAGAGAGAGGTGTATGGCCCCACCTACCTTGGCAACTGTAAATTACATGAATTACATCCAGCAGCTGGATTCACCCTGCGGGAAAGCAGGTAGTCTTGCACCTGTCCTCCGCCACGATTTAGTTGTCATTTGTGGTCTGGGCTCCCTGGGTCTTGCTGGTGGATGCTGCTGAGGTGATGTCCTGAACCTGCATGTTCTATGCTCTCACCCTAGCCAGTGTCCTCACTTTCTGGGTATTTCTGGCCTACTATTTGTGAGGAAGGTGCAGCTTCTTTCCACCAGGGAAAACCTTCTCCCTTGTGTTCACACTGGCAGAATCTAGCCCATCGGCACACACTTTAAACTTGCTTGAGGCCAGACCAGGTAATACCAAGGACTAGCTGGCTGGTTTGGACAAGGTCAAAGGCTGTTAAAATAGCTGTATTGTCCTTTGGTTGGAGCACCTGTATGAGACCCTAATGTGGCTAAAATTCAGTAGTTTTTGCCATTGCATGGTGTGCTGGACACTTTGTAAATGCAAAGGGGCCAGTCCCTCCCCATCCTTATTCAGGCATTTCAGCGGGTATTTTGTGAACAGCCACTGGCCCCTGCAGCCACTATGCTAGAGCTCAGCTGTGCACCATTTGGAGGAGAGACGATGTTCTCTGGTGGTGGGGGAGACAGAAGAAGGGAGTGGACGAGTGTGAGAAACAGCCACTCTACAAGTCGTGTTTCACCTCCCTGAGAGCAGTGTAAAATAGTGCTACTGCCATGAGCAAGAGTAAGTCCTTGTCTGTCCTCCTCATTGTAGATGGCTCCCATTACCGTAGCATCTGAGCACCTCACACTCTTCAATGTATTTACCCTGAAACCACCTGTAGGGCAGGGTAGGGGTAGGGCAGTCCTATTTTCCCCCATTTCACAGATGGGAATCTGAGGCACAGAGACTCTAAGAATCACACAGGACATCTGTGGGAAGCAGGGAATTTAATACAGGCTTGCCGAGCCCTAAACTAGTGCCCTAATCACTGCGCCATCCTTCCTCTTCCAGAGTTTTTAGACACTGTGGTGATATACTGATGAAGGAAATAGGATTTAAGGCCAGTCCACGTCTCTATCCTTCACTCTCTGCCTGCAGGTTCACGTGTTCCAACTAGTCCTGCCATCAGTGCTTTACCAGTCGTAACTAATTACGACATCTTGGTGAGGTAGGTATTATTGTCATTTTACAGATGGAGATACGGTGGCAGAGAGGAGTTTGGTGACTTTATCCAAGATTACACCATAAACCACTAGCAAAGCTGGAATAAGAATTCAGGAGTTCTTGGTTCTCACCACTAGCATATGTTACCTCACCACTGGCCTCAAGGTCCAAAGAAAAGATGGTACAGGAATGTCATAATCCCTGATTTAGAAATGGTACATGAGGGTAACCAAATGTTCCAAGTAACCCCCTGGCATCCAATCTGCATCAGGTTTAGCCATAAATATTTTCTAAATGGAGAAGCCACCAGCCATAAGGTCTTCTCATTCCCCTGGAACTATGCCATTCCCTGGATGTCCTCATAGGTATGTTATGCCAATGTCTTTTGGCTTTCTCAAAGACAATCATGTTTTGGTTAGAATTCAGTTAATATATGGAGAATTGTTATATTGTGGGAGTTAAAAGAAGTTTAATAAAATCTGAGTGGACTGGATAGCTCAAGGGATTTGTGATGGATTACAGAATTGTTCACCTATAGCAGTTGACCCATTTAAGTCAATGAAAGTTTGTAATTGACTTCAGTATGCATAGAATCTAGCCTATAGATCACAAGTTTGAATGCAGCATGGGTCAATAGTGACTGAAAATTGCTGTTAAGGGGCCCTGGGTAAAAGTTTTAAATGCCTAAGTAATTTAGGGTCCTAAATCCTATTTACTTTCAGTTATTTGTATGGCTCCTTCTAGCTTGCCAAACCAACTATAAACTACATCAATTACACTAACTTTCAATGGGATTAAGGCTCCTAAAACAGAGGCACTTTTGAAAATTTTAACCCTTATATGACATGAGATAAGTGATTCTCAGCTATGTTTGTTTCATCGCACCCTAAAGTGTGGTATGTGCTTCACAGACTTACAATTAGACAGTTTCCTGTCCTGAAGATCTTTAAATTTAATCAGTCAAAAAGGCAAAGGATGGAAGAGGAGATAGAAATATACAAGCAAGTGACTGAGGTGATATTGGGCACAACTCTTGTTAGGTCTACAATATTTTTTTCCCCTCCAGAACTATCTGCTTCCAGTTTCTACATATAGGGATTAATTCATTCATCCACCAATACATACCTTCCATAGGTGGGGTAAAACATCGCAACTCTTTAAAAGTGCACAACAGTTGTGATATATATTTTGTAACTAATTATTTTATTTGGATTTAGTCTGTTGGCCTTTTTGCAAAAGCATATACCTTGAAGCTGGTGTCCTGGCCAAAATTTCCAATTTGGGTAGTTACCACTAGCCTTCAGATATTCCTACTGCATTCTTCTATACTTACTGTCCTAAACTGCTATGTGCAGTTAAACGGCTACCACCTTACACCACAGAGGTGGCCATACCTCCATGGTGAGAGAAATGATTGTGACATATACAGTTTGTGTAGTGATTTGAAATCCTTTGAGTTGAAAGATGCTATATAAAGGTAAGATGATAATGTAATAGGCAGCAGTAGATGAAATGCAAAGAAACAAAGATTCATTTCTATATAAATATGGTTTGTAAAATATGATGGGGAAAATATTAACTTTAGACAAAAGGTTTGATCACTTTATATTAAGTTTCCATTTCTAATAGTGTGTAAAGGGTTAATAAATGATTAATGCATATTTTAAAGTTTTGTACCAACATGAGTAGTGTGTGGGTGTGCATTAGATGGTTTTATACATATCAGTCAAAGGTGTTATAGAGGATATCTCCAAAAGAGGTAGGGAAGAGCTTAGAAGAGTGAAATAATTTAAATACCTAGGATCAACGGTTGCTGACAATGATGCCTTCCTTAGAGATGCCCGGCCTTGTACTAAAGCTGCTTGGTGAAAATGACTTGAGCTGATTCCAGTTCTGTGTGACAAAAATATGCCAATAAAGTTAAAAAAAGATAGAACGTATAAAACTGTAATTCGACCCATCTTAATATATGGAACAGAGACTCGGCCAGCCACAAAAGCAATCAATATGTTCTCCTCAGTTGAAATGGTCAAATGGTTGGCCACTCCATGATAGAAAACAAAATGAGGTTTGTAAGAGGCCTAATGCAGGTTGCTCCAACTGAAGGCAAGTTGAGGGAAGATAGGCTATGTTGGTATGGTCACATCCAGCAGAAACCCAAGAGCTGTATTGGTTGGATGGCTTTTGCAACATTTGTGGATAGAAGACAACCAAGGGGGAGACCAATGACTTAGTAGATGGACCAGATATAAATCAACCTCAGAGAGACCAATCTGGATGACAGTCTGGCATACAATCATAAATTTTGTAAGAAGGCTATAAAAGTCGCCAACTCCAGATAGGGAAGGAGAAAGAGTCAAAGGGTGTAAGCTGTGATTATAAGCAATCTATTGACCTGCTGGTCTCTCCGTATCAATTTATAGCAATTGATTAATCATTTAAGACCCATGTATAACCTACTTATTAATTGAACCATAATATAAAGGGTAACCAAAGGTTTTCTTAAACAGAAGAAAAATGTATTGACCATTGACAGTAATTTAGGTGGACATATTTACATTGCTATCCTGGTCTGCTGAACATGTAGCCACAGAGGCTAGCATAGCCTACTGGTGAGTGTGTGTTACAGATCTCCTGCTGTGCCTGATCCACAGAGGATATAAATCATTGCAACTAGCAGCTATAAAAAATATAGACTATAGCTCAAGCTGTAGTCGCTCATGTTTTCTGTATCGGAGTCCCTGGTAAAATCCACTATCTGTTGGCTAAGACAGTGGCTATCATACTAGCACTGCGGGGAAAAGGGCTTTTGGGATCCAGATAATAAATATTATTTAATTTCATAGTTTGATTTAGAAGAACATGAGCAAGTTTTTTCTACAAAATGAGGAGCAGTATTGTTACCATCCCAAACTGGTAAGTGAACCACTTTGTAACCAACACTACTGTCTACTGGAGCATTAAAATTCAAGCACTACAAGCCTACTGCTGTGAGTCCTATTCCCCCTGTGCAAGCGTTGACATCATGAATATCATCATCACTGTTGGTAGTAAGTGGCCTCTTTGTTGGCATTTTTAGCATAGGCTCCAAGTCCTGAGGGCTTATTTCATTGCTACTTCAGAGGTGTTCCTTCAGCTGTAAGACAGGGTTTGGGCAATGGAGGTAGCTCACACTGCCACTGCCCATGATATTCCTCTTCTGTGGATATTTGTCTAACCTGATCTTAAAAATCTCCAATTAGGGAATTCCACACCTCCCTCAGCAATTTGTTCCAATGCTTAACTGTAGTTCTGAGGTTCAAACCCTGCTGATCCCACCCCTGATGTGGATGTTATTGTGGGTCATTACACACCCATAAGGAGGCAGTTAGTAGTTTCTTATGTGTGATGTTTGTATGTATTGTTATGGGTTCATTCTGTCCAGCAGAGGGAAGTGGGGAGCAATTTTTTCTGAAATGCCGTTTTCAGTGAGTTTAATAGCAATTATATCCTGGAATAAAATGGAGGTGGCACTTCTAACCCAGACATCCCACTTTACCCCTGTACAGGCAAAGTACTTTGTGCCACTGACCGATGCTAAATTTCAGGACTATCTCAATGGCCGCAAGAGATGTGCCAAACTTATGTGCAGATCTTCAGAGTTCAATCAAGACAAGACAACACTGATAGTGACTAATAATCCCCTTCCTGACCTGAATTCCAGTCAAAGAAAGGACACCCCCATGAAGTTTTTCTGCAAAGAGCACTTAAGAAGGGTAAAACATTTCACTGCTAATTTTTAAACTGGGAAAGGACATGGCCCTTGTAATGCTGAGATTTACAGAGGTCCAGGGTTGCACCTTTGAGTTATGAGGAAGTAATATCCAATGATTAGAGCAGAGGATGAGTAGTCAGGGCTCTTGGGATCTAGTCTTACCAATACCACTAATTCCTGATGTGACTTTGGGCAAGTCACTTAATCTAATGTGCCTCATTTTCTCCATCTGTAAAATAGAGATATTGATACGTAGCTAAACATATCTAGATACTTATATGGTTCCCATCACCACAGAATCTGAGTGCTTCCCAAAAGTTAAGTGGTATGACAATATCCCCCATAACTCTTTCCCTTCTCCACCTCTAGGAGTAAAAAAGTATACTGTGTGTGTATTTGCAAACACTCAGGTTCCAAGCACTTTTTCTCTCCCACCATATCTATGCTTGTTTTTATTTGCTGTTCATGAATATTGGCATGACCAGGTTTTTGTTCATGTACAAGTCCTGCCTGTTTGCATACAGTCTTCCAATCAGGGAGCAGAAACACCACCATGTGATGTAGGTGAGCAGTCAAATACCACAATAGCAAATAGTCTAAGTGACCAGTTTGTGAACAAGACACAGGTTCAAATGTTTGCATGAACTGGTCATGGAGAGCAAATGAGTAAAACTGGTCATTTGTTTGGAGAGCATTGAGGCCCAGATCCTCAAAAGATACTTAGGTGCCTAACTCCTTTTGATTTCAATAGACATTAAATGCCTAAATACCTTTGAGGACTGGGCCTGAGATCCTTGTGTGAAAGGCACAGCAAAGTGCCAGAAATTATTAATTGGGCATGTGGTGTTAGACTGCAATGTGGACAAGGAGTTGGAAGGAAATATCCTCAGTTTTGTCACGAGGATCACAATATTTGATGTTTTTCTTAATGCCCCAGCTCCTCAATTTGTACAATTACATGATAATCTCAACTTTCATATTTCAAAACATAAGTTTCAAGTCCTCATAGATGCAAATTAAAACCTTAGAAACATGCAGCAAGTGTATCCCATAGGCTCAGAAACCAGAAGTCAGATTAAAGAGAATTTGACATTTATTTTTAAATCTCATGATTTTTGGCAACCTGACTTATTTTTGAGGTTGGCGTTAGCAATACACTATCTTTGTCTTTATAAGAATTCAGCCTCTTTTGCTCTCCACCAGTGCTCTCCATTCACTGTATTTGCTTTTACTTCCTCTGAGAGATTCCTGCTTATCCAAGCCTTCTCTTCCCTGGGTCATGACTTTCTTAAGTTCTCCTTGCTGACTGCAAAGTATTTGCCTTTCCTCTTAGGGGCCAATTTTTATGACTCCCCTTGCAACCTACATGTAGGCAGATCTGATTTCTTTTCCATTTCTCCCAAAGGGGATCGATGCCAGGAGTCAGCTTCATTTACCCCCGCTGAAGACACAACAGCTGACTGAAGCAGGCATAAATTTTGATGAGGGAAAAGTTGGGAAATCACTCCAGTTCAGGTGAAGTCAGTGCCCCATTTCTTTGCTCGCTGGTCCTTATCAGTCCAGTGACATGGTATCACATGTTGGAGTGCAATCCAGACTAGTGAGAGTTTGTCTCTCCACCAGCCCTGTTCCCCTATCTGCTTTAAAATGCTCTGCTGCTGTAGCTCACTAGTCTGGATGCTCCCCACCAGAATACAAGCATGTGCTAAGTGTCTGAGACAAGCAGCCACGGTTCATTAATTTGGATCCCATCAGCATGCTTATTACACTACAGCCACATGCTGGTCTCTGCCTACTACTAGCCAAGTGAACCTGTGGCGTAGCCAGGTGGAAAAAACAGGGGTAGCGGAGATTAAAAAGGGCGTCACCCCCTGGTACTCACCCAGCGGCGCTCCGGGTCTTCAGCAGCACTTTGGCGTTGGGTCCTTCACTCGCTCTGGTCTTTGGCACTGAAGGACAGCCCCTCCTCCCCCCGCCACCGCAATGCTGCTGAAGACCGGAGAGAGTACTGCCGAAGTACTGCTGAAGACCCGGAGCACTGCTGGGTGAGTACCAGGGGATGGGGCCTTTTTTTTTTTTTTAATCTCCACTCCCCCTGACCCACCACCAAAGACCCGGAGCGCCGCCGGGTGAGTAAAAATTTAAAAGGCGCCAAAGAATTAAAAAGGCACCAGTTCTCCTCAGTGGGGGAGCAGCCGCTGCCCCACTCCCCCCAGCTACGCTACTGAAGTGAACCCTACACCCACCCACCTCCAGTCCTGAATTTACCCTGAAGTGTCCACACCTCTCCTCAACTACTCAAAGAAATAATACCATTTGTTTGCTCCTTTAAGGAGACTATACCCAGCAGCTTGCCACATTAACTGGAGTTAACAATCACTTCAATTCAAACACAGTACTGGGTGTGGGGGGGTTAAATTTATTTTAATCTATTAAGGACAGGACATAGGTTGAATGATGCCAAATAAAAGAACTAAAAGTGAAAACCTGCATCTAATACAATCTAGCAAGGTACGGTCTTTGTTTAAAATGGTTTTGCTCATCACTTACTCTTGGTCCACCGTGGCTGACTATCCTTCAGTCAGGACCTTCCACAGAAGTACGAGGTGCTGATTTCCCTTGTCGTCTTAAGTGAAAAAACTTAGAAGTTCACTGCCCCTCTCTTTATAGTCCAGTAAAGCTTTGAAAAGCATCTCCTAAAGTTCATGAGACCCTGTTTCAAGAACCAGGAAGGCTTCCTCGGGGTGTGGTCTCCATCCCCCAGTGATAGCTAAATCATTACGTCTTCCCTTTGTTAGCTTGATGGCTTTGTTTACCTTGTATGTAAATGTGCCTTCAATGTGTCTGCCTGATGCCCAGGCTGGTTAGCCAAGCAAATACACAATTCTTTATGATCTAGACATACTGACTCCCAAACCACCTCATGAGCTTTAATGGTTCTATTTACTGCCTATGTAAATTGTAATTCTATTGTTACTGGTCACATGGCTTCATTTGTATTCAAGACCTGGACAGTCCTGTTTCTACTGTCTTCAAATACAGACTTTAAAACACAAAATCAGAGAACATCCATAACTCCATATGTAGCATAGTCACACATATCCCACAATGATATTATTGACCAATGTGGTGTTAGTTTTCAAATGATACCTCACAAGGCACAGGTTGTACCAATATCATTGCAGTAGTGTGTAGGGTGTGAATACAGAGGTGCTTAGGGTCAAACATGGATCTTCTTAGACTGAAGAGTTACTTTATCTTCTTTGTTCCAGTGACTCATAGGTTGGAGGTGAGCCTGGCACAAGTAGCAAGACTATGAGCTGCCATGGGGGAGGGAGAAAAAGTGTTTTGAAGATGAAATCTGTGTATTAAATTTACTCACCAGTAAAAAATTATTTGCATGACTCAAGGTAGCCAAAGAGAACAATTCTGCACATTCTGCTTTGGCCCTGTTTTGTATGGTTTGTCATTATATCCAAGCTCTGCATTTTATATCAGAGGGGCCTATAGGGTAACATCCAGTCCTTCACACCCTGGGCTAGTGTAGTATTGTTTTCTACAGCACAAATTCTGGTACTTACAATTTCTGTAGCACAAGGCCCTCCCCCAGATGGGTTGTCAACACGGATTCCAGTAGGGACCTTCAACACCACAGGCCCTTGAGCTAAAGGAATAACTCCATTCATAGGTGCCAACTCCGTGGTGCTCCAGGGCTGGAGCACCCACAGGGAAAAATTAGTGGGTGCTCTGCACCCACCGGCAACCAAGCTTCCCCCACCCCACGCCCCACCTCCTCCCTGAGAGCGTGCGTCCCAGCTCCTCCGCCTATCTCTCAGCGCTTCCTGCCTTGCCGCTGCTGGGAGGTGTTTGGCGGCATGCTGGGAGGGAGGGGGAGAAGCAGGGATGTGGCATGCTCAGGGGAGGAGGCAGGGAGAGGTGGGGCCAGGGCAGGGATTTGGGGAAGGAGTCAGAATAGGGGCATGGAGCGGGTGGAGTTGGGGTGGGGACTTTGGGGAAGGGGTTGGAATGGGGGCAGGGCAAGGGCGGGAGTGGGCGAGGCAGGGGTGGAGGGGGGGGGGGTCGAGCACCCACCGGCTGGAGCAGAAGTTGGTGCCTATGATTCCATTGGCTGGCAGCAGTAGTAGGTTGCTACCCCTTAATGCATTAAAGGAATTTTGCTTTGGGTTATGCTTCATCTTAAAGCAGCAGTCCCCAAAATTTGAGGATTGGACCCCCTTTTACTCCTGTCCACGCCCCTCCCCAGAGCTGGCATTGGGGCCGTGGCTCAGGGGGAGGACACAGTCAGGGGTCATGGGGCCGAGGCTGGGGCTGCAGCTGGAGGTGGGTCTGGGACCGGGAGTGGGACAGAGGCTGAAGGTGGGGATGTGAGCAGAGCCACAGCTGGGCTGTGGTGGGTGCCAGAAGCCAGGCATGTGGCCAGGTGCAGCTCCTCTCCTGGTCCTGCCCCCAGCCTCCACCCCGGGCTGGGAATAGAGCTGCGGCCAAGGCTGCGGGCTGTTGCTGGGCCGGGAGCGGAGCCGCACTGACACTGGGGATGGGACAGGTGCAGGGCCAGGAGCTGGAGGCGCAGGTGGTGGCGGGATGGGAGCAGAGCTGGGGGAGGGAAGGGCTGGGTGGCGCTCCCTCCCCGCCTCAGTGAGGGCTGGCCCAGGCCCTGCCATGCCCCCCTCAAAGGTTTCTCCCCACCCCCTTAGAGGGCCTTGCCCCACACTCAGTGGACCTCTGTCTTAAAGCAATATCATTTACTGAGCCATGCAGTGTTTGGGCTTGCTACAGAGATCTTCAAGCATAAATTGGTGCAGCCCTTCTGAGTAAGTTTTTCCATTCCAAACTGCAGGTTTTCCACAGACAATGATTTCAAGACTGAAGGACAGTTTTCCAAAAGCTATGCTGAGAGGCGATTGCTAAAGCTATATCCCCATCTCCACTTTCAAGCTTTCCCTAGACTAGGTAAGAAGTTACCACACGTGCCCCCACTCAGAATTGCTACTTGGCTAGTATTGAGCTTACTCACACAGACTGAGCATGCTCAGTAGCATCTGCTGAAGCCACTGTCCTCCCTCCCCCTATTTGTAGGTACGGGTCATGTCTGGGTGGGAGGAGAGGGAAGTATGATAGATGCCCCCACCACCCAACCCTCCTCTGTTAAAAAGGAGGAAGAGATTACTGAATCATAACAGTAGGGTGATGCACTTGGCTTCCACAGAAACACAACCAGAGCTGAGTACCTGTGTACAGGATTTGTTCTTGGTGTTTACATTTTTCATAGGAGAAATTTATGGAGCTGATGTATCTAAGAACTGCTCTTGTTCTGGGTTTGTCCACAGTCCAGAAAGTAAACTGCCATGAGAAGAGCAGCCCTTGTGCTATCTCGGCCCTCTAAATAGTTCCTCAGATATTTAAAAAGCCAATACAAAATGTCAGCACCAATGCCTGTGCATATGCGAGCCCCCTAGTAAGCATGTTACACAGGCTCACTTTTCCCCTTCCTTCCCTTAAATGTACAGTGTTTGATAAGCTGCATCGCTCTTCAGCCATGTGAGAAGTAGTCCAGTATATTATGTATTGCAGTAATGTCAATTTATTTGCAACATCAAGCTGATATGGCTGATTCCTCCTGAAGATGCCACTTCCCTCCCAGATCAGTTGCCACTCCTCCAACCTTCAAATAGTACTGCTCCCCAGAGGTTTTCCTTCCTTACCTATATCAAATTACTGTCCAAGTCAGCGGATGGGGAAGTTTTGGGCCTTGTAGCCTCCCTTGGCAAGTAAGTAGGCCCCTTGTCTCCATCTCACACCCGCCCTCCTCTGATTCTCCCCTCCTCAAATCCCAAACCCCTTATCTCAAAGCTCCCACTAGGTACCATTTGATCTCCCCAAGCTCAGATCCCAACCTAAGTTCCTCAGAAGCACAAACCCATGCACCTAATAACCAGAACTCTTACCAAGAAAGGCCCCAAGGCCTACAACTTCCCCATCAACTGAAATATTGTCTAGGTGAAACACCAGCAGGGCTGTCTTCTTGACAATCCTCCTTCTGAAGGCAGCTGACCAGCAGGAATCCCTCTGCTGAGCAGGGGGTCCTCTAGGAATATAAGCTTAATGGGCTTCCCCTCTCCCATGCCGTGGTGGCAAGTTTTCAGAGGTCAGCAAATCAGTAGGATTCTTCTCTGTAGCAGTTGGTGTTTGGAGACTCACTAACAGGGTCCCATGCACTAGAGCAGTGTTTCCTCAACAACTGGTTTTTCGACCAGTGCTGGTCCCCGAGATCTCCCTGTTGCAGTTTAGGGGGGCAACAAGCCAGTCCCTGGTATCAAAAAGGTTGAGAAACACTGCCCTAGGGCACTTTGTGCCCTATTCCATCAGAGCAGAAGGGAGCAGTGGGCAGTTCTTTGGGATTCTGCCCTAGCCTGAGAGGAGAGGACAGTCACTAAAGGACCGAGTTACTCAAAGGGAGGAGATAGAGGGGCGTGATGATTTGCGGGTTCTGTCTGTACAACTTAGGACTTCCGTGATACAGCAATTTTCATAGTAAAAACTTCATATCATCCAGAATACCTCTAGCTGAATGTGGAAGCCACCTGGCAGGGATGTGTCATATCTTTGTCAGACCAGGGACGATGGTGGAACTCAATGACTGCCTTGTCAGGGTGCAGCACTGTGGGACAATGGGCTAGCTGGGGGTTTGGACAGTGGAAATAATAAAGAGAAGAATGAAGAAACACAGGTGCAGAGCAGTTTATAAAAAGAGTCTTTGGGGAGAAGACTCCTGGAGAGATACATAGGAAGTTCTGGGCAGGAAGAAGGAAGGTGCTGGAGTGGCCAAGGTCAGAGGTAGTGAGCTATGGGGAGAAGACATGTGCTGGAGCTGAGGGGGCCACCCAGGGTCCTGACAGCTCGGACTCCCATCCCAAAGAATTCTCTGTAGTGGTGAGGAAACTGAGGCAGGGCATGGTTTATTATTTTTGTATAGATCTCTGTATTTCTCATGCAATTAAAGAGCAATAGGGTTTTACAACCCCCTGCAAAGCAGCTGTGTGTGTTAAGCATTAAACCTATCCCATGCCTCCTTGAAGTAACCCAGAGAGCTCACATCTTTGACTGGAGGTTTTTAAGAGGGGGCCAGAAAGCAGATCTGTGCCCTGAGAGGGTCCCCAGAGCTCTGAGGCCCTGGCAGTGCCTGGGCCCCATTTAGACTCTATGGGCTTAAAACACCTGGGGATTCAACAACTAGATCCCCTCTCAGCAGTCTGGTTAGTGATCAAGAGGGAGTGCTCTACTGGAGCTGTGACAAGGAGCTGCACCCAGTGCCATGCTGCCAGGATCAACCCCTTCAGAGCCTTCACAGGGGACGAACTGCTACAAGAGGCCACAGCATGATGTGCCAAGATCCTAAACCGAGAGTTGGATCATCCTTCCTCTCTGACTAGTGCCCAGGCCACTGGGAGACCCAAGTTCAGGTCCCTAGCAAATTACTTAGTTGCTCTGTGCCTCAATTCCCCATAGGTTGTGAGGATAAATACACTGAAGACTGAGAGGCACTCATATTTTAATGGGGGTCATATAAGTACCTAAGATAGATGGAATAGTAGAAAAGAGACTTGAACACTCACTGGTAGCATGGGAACGTGGCCAAAAACAGTTGTATGCTACTTTGATGCTAGCTCTGTGTGTTACCTAGCCTTGCCAAGTTCAACTCACCCACTCTGAATTTGTTTCTTTGAACCAAGGAAAGAACACCTTTGTTCCCACTGCCTTCCCCAGACAGCACAGTAGAAGGTGGGAAGTAGAGTTTGAACTTGGGCTGGTAAATGCTGATTAGAATTTTGCGAGGCTCGTATAAATGTATGTTCCCAAACATTATTGGTTGGTATATTTAAGCAACTCCGGTTAGTCTGTGTACAGCAAGCTCTTGACTCCTGTTGTAACCTACTCCTTCTGAGGTTTATTTGAGGGGAGGAGGAGAGGGATTAAAAAGGTATTTACCTCTGAATAATTTGGAGAAGAGAGGAGCCACTCTGTATATCAGCCTTTCCTGTGCTCTGTCTCCCTCTGAAACACCCTGTGCTTTGTTGTAGCTACAGAGGATGTGCAATCCCTTCCAAGAAAGGATAGCAAGCCCACAAGAGAAACAAGCTGCCAGTGGGAACCATTAACTCTTTCCTCCCTTTTTGAGGCAAAGCCCACTGTCAATGCACCAGGGAAAAACGGCTTCCGGTGTGGGAAAGTCTCGCAGTGGGTAGTAAACAGTTCTTTTGTAGATAGTTCCAAATAAAGCTTTCCATTGAGTCACTGCTATTTGGATGAATGCAGCCATCAGACCACTAAACGTTCTGGAGCCCAAAAAGCTCAGCTGGCCCCTGCAAAGACACTTTTAACAGAGGTTGCATGATTTGGGGTTTACTGTGGAGAATGATGCTTCAGTGAACGTTTGGGGGACCAAGAACAAGGGTCGTTAACAAAATATTAGTTGTTGGGCTATGAACATTGCCTTACAAGGGGACACTGTCAGCTCCATCTTTAGCGTTATGGCAGCAGTCAGCCATTAGGATTACACTGAATTCTTTAGCCAAGTGAACTCCCATGCCTGGCAGAGCTCCCAATAGCATCTCACATTCTTTATAAGAAAGAGCACCTACCCCAGAGCACTTATTCTGGTTCCAGTTTCATAAAATAGCTCTAGTCCTCCAAGGCTTTGCTTGTGGATGGGGAGAAGTACATCAAAAAGCAGCAACACTGGGAGTTAACACATTTCCCCCCCATTTACAGATGAGATCTTAACATAAATACCTACATGGGGAACAAAAGTTTGAGCAGGGGGCAATCTAGCAGCCAAAGATAGAAAATCCAATGCATGTTTGATGTTGAAGCTAGTTAAATTCAGCCTAGGAAGACAATTTAAAAAAAAATAACCCTGATTGTTTAACCATTGAAACAATTTTCATGGGGGTGTTTTGGATTCTCCATTGGTGGAAACTTAAATCAAGACTGGCAGTTTTTCTAAATTATATGGTCTAGATCAATGGGAATTAGTTCAAGAACATCCTTTGTCACGTGTTACGCAGGAAGTTAGACTAGATCACAATGATCCCTTCTGGCCTTGGAATCTATGAATGTGAGAGTTTGAATAATACCCCTCACTTCTTCCCCCTGCCCTCCCACCCCCAAAACACAGTATGGAAATACTACATTTGATTCAAGAATTTTGAAAGCATTACATCTTTTCCAATGGTAAATTGCAAGAAGATACAAGGCTTAAGATGTCTTACAGACCGCATGATTAACTTTAGTCATAACACAGGGAAGGCCTGCTGTAGATTAGAGGTTTGACAAGATCTTAGTGTCTTAACTGACTCCACCAAGAGCATGCTGTTGGGAAGGTGGGATGGGCTGTTGGGTTAAAGAGTGAACAACAAGAGGCCAAACAGTGAACTCCTCAGGAGAAGTAAGCTGTGTTAAGCAGACACTGTTAGTATGTCATTCTCCTGTGTATGCAGTGTAGCTGTAGCTGTGTCGGAACCAGGATATTAGAGAGACAAGGTGGGTGAGGTCATATCTTTTATTGGCCTAACGTCTGTTGGTGAGAGAGACAAGCTCTCGAGTCACACAGAGCTCTTCTTCGGATCTGAGAAAGATACTCAGAGCATCTGTCCCATCTTGCATTTAGCTGTGATGCTTGGAGTACCTTTCCCAAACCTGAAAGAAGAGCTGAACTTTAGCCAGGTCTCCCACAGCTACATCACTGGTAGTTGATAACAACCTTAAACTCATTTGGGCACCAGTCCACAAACTAGTTGGACCTCCTGGTTTTGATGGTTGATATATAGCTGCATTCACATCCTTGGGCACCTGGTACAGCAGACAGAAAGGCAGAAAGCCATGTATTTGCTTTGACGAGGGTCACATTTCACCATCTGGTTGGAGAACTCAAAGCAAGCGTTGGTGATTTCAGGCACTGAGAGCTGCTCATTCTAAGCTTTTTCTGCCAAAATTATGGGCACATAGGTAGTGATGGAGAAGTGCATCCAGGGATAAGGTACCAAGTTAATTTGGAATTCAGCAAGATCCACATTCAAAGGACCATCAAACCTCAGGGAAGCAGTGATGGACGACACTATCTGGGCTATTAGCCTGTTCAAGTTAGGGTAGGAGGGACACTTGATATTGAGGTTATGGTTGCAGATAGTGTAAATGGCCCTATGAAAGAACAGTCAGAATGCTCCAGCATGATATGGTAGGTTAGAATGGAATTGTAAGTTCTCCCACTGCAGTGGAGACCTGTAGGCAGGATACACCAAGAACTCCATGTTGGATTTCTTACCAAAGTCTACTGAGAGTTGTTCCATCAGGAGGAATGTGAATCCAGAGCCGGTGCCACCTTCAAAGCTGTGGAAGACTAGGAACCCTTGAATGCCCCTAGGTTTCCACGTGGCTTTATCCAAAGTACTGGCAAGAGAGAAGCCCTCTTTTTGGGCAGCAATGAAAGGTCTTAGTCTGTCATTTAAGGCCTCTTCAATTCCTTTCTCATCCATAGTCACTAGATGCATAGGAAATGCCTAGAAGCATTTACTGCTTTCAAAGCACAGGCCTTGCAAGTGACAGTTCATGGGAGAATGCTCCTGGGTCTATGCCCTTTAAATAGAAGATTTATTGGGATTGTAAAATTCACTTTTTAGTTTTAAGATGTGTTCATGAATGTCACCCCCATTCACGCCAGCGTTTTCAATCAGCATAAATTAAACATCAACCTCGAGTCAGCAATTGTTAGCTAATAACCGATATGGTGCCAACATGCAGCTATGTATAATCATTTGCAGGACTGGGGTCACAGTTAAGCGGAAGTCTTTAAGAATGCAGACTAGGAAAAGAAAAGGTGTCTCAGCACCTTAGCTAACACCTCATAAAATCCTAGTGTTAACAACACAGTAGCATCTTAACACATAGCAAGTCAACATAAACATTAACTTGTTGGCCGGTCAAATGTCAAGTGTTGGCCGGCCACTAGTGTTAACCTGAACCAGATAATACATGTTAGAACTAAAATTGTTTTGTCCACACTAGGTTTCCACCACAAGCTAATCATCAATCCATGTGATAGTCAACATGTGGTAAAACACCACACTTTTTCCCTAGTGAAGACAAAGCCCCAAATTAGTCAGACATCAAGTAGGTCTTATTAGTACACCATGCCAATACCTCCCTTGGTTGCACCAAATCCACAAAGTTATTTAGGCTTCTATAGCATGGCTGATACACCCCCATCACCCCATGGAGGAGGAAAGGTGCATCACAGCCCCACAGTCGAGTTGAAAGGGCTGCCCCACATCTTGGGCAGCACAGCTTTGTAGCCTTAGTCCTTAATATGATCCTTGCTCTCAGGGCAGTGCGACCCAATGGCCAGAGTCATACTATAGCCCTCATTCTCAGGGCAGTGCAACCTAGCGGCCAGAGTCCATAATACTGGTGAGTGGGGCCACTACCCAGGGGTGGATGGTGGCCAGAATAGGGGGGGACTCGGGCCCACCCTCTCCACTAGGTCCCAACCCAGGGACCTATCGGTGGCAGGGTTGCCCACCACCAGCTTGGTGGGGCTCCAACCAAAACACACTGAGCCTTGGTCTGGTTCTGTAACCATTTCCCCCCAATACTTCCCACCCAAGTCTCTGGGGTTCTCCATCTCTGGGATTCTCCAGCCTCTCCGCGACGTCCCGTGCCGTGCGTCAGGGTCCATCTCCGACAGCCTAGCTTCGGCATCTTGGGGTGCAGGTACTCCTCCCTCAGGTACTAGCAACACACCTCCTTCCTCACAGGTAGTCAGCCCAGACTGAGCTGTGTGTAGATTAGTGAGTGACTGATGGTTTCAGTGAGACTGTGTGCATCCAGGGTGTAAAGCACTTTGGGTCTCTTCCCATCTAGCAATATAGAATAGCAGTTATCCCCAATATTCAGGATTAATTCTTCAACCGTTAATTGGGGAAACTACTCACTATTTTCTAAGCATTATGAAATTTTCAAAAAAATCTTTAAACAAAACTTTTGTTAAAGTTGCTGATCATTTTTATATGCATCTTTCCAGCGAGGGTTGCCAAGCCTCTGGGATTATCCTGGTGTCTCCAGGAATTAAAGATTAAGCTTTAATAATAATAATGTCATCTGATGAAACCTCCAGGAATTCATCCAGTCAAAGTTGGCAGCCCTATTTCCAGCCTCTGGTGGGGCTGCCGCTCCAAAGCAAAGATAATGGGGAGAGAAGGAGGGTTATGGGGAGAAGCTTGTCCTAAAGGGCCCACCTTGATTATCATACACATTGTAAGGAGAGTGATCACTTTACATAAGCTATTACCAGCAGGAGAGTGGGGTGGGTGGCGAGAAAACCTTTTGTAGTGATTAACACCCATTTTTTCATGATTTGTGTGTATAAAAACATCTTCTGTATTTTCCACAGTATGCATCCGATGAAGTGAGCTGTAGCTCACGAAAGCTTATGCTCAAATAAATTGGTTAGTCTCTAAGGTGCCACAAGTACTCCTTTTCTTTTTGTGAATACAGACTAACAGGGCTGTTACTCTGAAACCTGTCCTAAATATGGGCTCTGTCCCTTTAAATGGGAATTCCCCCGCCCCCGCTTTCTGGCTGAACTTTGTGACTTTGTCCTTACCCATAACTATTTCACATTTGGGGACAATGTATACCTTCAGATCAGCGGCACTGCTATGGGTACCCGCATGGCCCCACAGTATGCCAACATTTTTATGGCTGATTTAGAACAACGCTTCCTCAGCTCTCGTCCCCTAAAGCCCCTACTCTACTTGCGCTATATTGATGACATCTTCATCATCTGGACCCATGGAAAAGAAGCCCTTGAGGAATTCCACCATGATTTCAACAATTTCCATCCCACCACCAACCTCAGCCTGGTCCAGTCCACACAAGAGATCCACTTCCTGGACACTACAGTGCTAATAAACAATGGCCACATAAACACCACCCTATACCGGAAACCTACTGACCGCTATTCCTACCTGCATGCCTCCAGCTTTCACCCTGACCACACCACACGATCCATCGTCTACAGCCAAGCTCTGCGATACAACCGCATTTGCTCCAACCCCTCAGACAGAGACAAACACCTACAAGATCTCTGTCAAGCTTTCTTACAACTACAATACCCACCTGCAGAAGTAAAGAAACAGATTGATAGAGCCAGAAGAGTTCCCAGAAGTTACCTACTACAGGACAGGCCTAACAAAGAAAATAACAGAACGCCACTAGCGGTCACCTTCAGCCCCCAACTAAAACCCCTCCAACGCATTATTAAGGATCTACAACCTATCCTAAAGGATGACCCAACACTCTCACAAATCTTGGGAGACAGGCCAGTCCTTGCCTACAGACAGCCCCGCAACCTGAAGCAAATACTCACCAACAACCACATACCACACAACAGAACCACTAACCCAGGAACTTATCCTTGCAACAAAGCCCGTTGCCAATTGTGCCCACATATCTATTCAGGGGACACCATCACAGGGCCTAATAACATCAGCCACACTATCAGAGGCTCGTTCACCTGCACATCCACCAATGTGATCTATGCCATCATGTGCCAGCAATGCCCCTCTGCCATGTACATTGGTCAAACTGGACAGTCTCTATGTAAAAGAATAAATGGACACAAATCAGATGTCAAGAATTATAACATTCATAAACCAGTCGGAGAACACTTCAATCTCTCTGGTCACGCAATCACAGACATGAAGGTTGCTATCTTAAAACAAAAAAACTTCAAATCCAGACTCCAGCGAGAAACTGCTGAATTGGAATTCATTTGCAAATTGGATACTATTAATTTAGGCTTAAATAGAGACTGGGAGTGGCTAAGTCATTATGCAAGGTAGCCTGTTTCCTCTTGTTTTTTCCTACCCCCCCCCGATGTTCTGGTTTAACTTGGATTTAAACTTGGAGAGTGGTCAGTTTAGATGAGCTATTACCAGCAGGAGAGTGAGTTTGTGTGTGTATGGGGGTGGGGGGGATGTGAGAAAACCTGGATCTGTGCAGGAAATAGCCCGACTTGATTATGTAAAGAGTTGTCACTTTGGATGGGCTAGCACCAGCAGGAGAGTGAATTTGTGTGGGGGGGTGGAGGGTGAGAAAACCTGGATTTGTGCTGGAAATGGCCCACCTGTTGATCACTTTAGATAAGCTATTACCAGCAGGACAGTGGGGTGGGAGGAGGTATTGTTTCATATTCTCTGTGTGTATATAAAGTCTGCTGCAGTTTCCACGGTATGCATCTGATGAAGTGAGCTGTAGCTCACGAAAGCTCATGCTCAAATAAATTGGTTAGTCTCTAAGGTGCCACAAGTACTCCTTTTCTTTCTGAGACACCCAGAGAGCGAAGGGGGCGTGTCCCGGACATGGTTGGTTGCGGCCAGCCTGGGAGGGGGCGTGGAACAAGGCGTCAGGCGAGGGGGCGTGGCTCCATGGTGACTGGCCGCTCCGCGGGCCAGTCATGTGGCGCGTTGCCGGGTTTGGAGGCGGGCCTTCCGGCGGGCGCTCCTTCCCGGCTCCGGCGGCTGCTCACGGCTCTGAGGGAGGCGAGCGCGCGGGCCCGGTATGATTAAGAAGTTCGACAAGAAGGACGAGGAGACCGGTACGGGGGAGGGGCCGCGGCCTGGGCGGGCAGGGGGCGCGTGTCCAGCCGGCGGCGGCTGAGAGGCCCGCCCGGCTCCGCTCCCGCCGCCCCTTCCCCGCTCCCGGCGGGCTCGGCCGGGTCCTCCTGGAGCGCCCGCGGGGGGCGGCAAACCGGGACCCGGCGCCTCAGCTGCCCCCGTGGGCGGCCCGCACGGGGGCCTAACTAGCTCTGCCGGGCTCCGTGGCGCGGCCACGGGGAGGGCGGGTCTTTCCCCCCGCCCCGGGCGCGCTGCCGGGGAGGCCACGGCAGTTAACGCGCCGGGCGGGGCCGCGGGGCCGCCGCCGCCGCGGGCTTGGCTCAGGCCGCTAATCCGGAGTGCGCTGGGTGGCTGCGTGGTGCCCGGTTTATCCCCCTCTCCCCGGGCTTCGCAGGACAGTGGTTTCGGAGGGCGTTTTTCCCAACCCGAGCCCCGCCCCCCGGGGCCGGAGCCCGCTGAGCGCGCACCGTGACCCCGGGTGTCTGCGGAGCCCCCCAGGGGGCTGCCTGGTGCAGGCTGCTGATCCCCGGGTAAGGCCGGCCTGTCGGCGGGCAGGGTCGAACCTGGGACTTCCGGGGCTTGGTGCAGGAGCCTCCACCGCATGAGCGAAAAGCCACCTGGCTGTTAGCTAAGGCTGTGGAGCAGACTCATTAATCTCTCTCTCTCTAAGTGGTTTGGGTGCCACTAGATGGGACAGAGCATCACATCCCTGCAGACACCAGGGCAGCCAGGAGCAGCAGCTGGGCACCGCTGGGATGGGCCGCTGCTGCTCCCTGCCCCCCAGCCTCCACCCAGGAGGCTGTTGTGGCCCTGGAAAAATCCCCTGGTGTCCAGTGCAGCCACTGTGGCCGCATGTGAGAAACGCTACAATACCATGTGTGGAACAGGCTGGTGGCAGCTGGGATGTTCTCCATAGCCAAAGAGAAATATGAACCAGTAGGGCTCATTTCTAGTGAGGTGTGCTGTCAAATTAATGCTGCTAAACAACCCAATGCTTTTGGAGTTCCTAAGCCTGGGACGACCGGATGCTGGGGACTGGAAACGGTGGGAAATAATTGCCCTGTTCTGTTCATTCCCTCTGAAGCATCTGGCGCTGGCCACTGATGGAAGACAGGATGCTGGGCTAGCTGTACCAATGGTCAGACCCAATATGGCCATTCTTACGTCCTAACCCATCAGTGTGTTGGGCTGGAGGAACTGTGCTGTTTAAACTGTTTCATAGTGAATTTAAAATACCATTCATTGTTCCGAATAAAGCTGTTGTCACATTCATGGTTTGGTCTCACTTCTACTGGGCAGGTATGCAGTGTAGTTGTAGCTGTGTCGGTCCCGAGATATTAGAGAGATAAGGTAAGAGACGCAAGCTTTTGAGCCACACACAGCTCTTCTTTGGGTCTGGGAAAGGTATTCAGTGTCACATCTGTTCCACCTTGTATTTAGCTGTGACACTGGGAGTATCTTTCCCAGACCTGAAGAAGAGCTCTATGTGGCTCAAAAACTTGTCTATCTCACCAGCAGAAAAGGATCCAATAAATGATATTCTTGTCCACTTTGTCTCTCTGCTGCGCAGGGGTCAACATCATAAAAATAAAACATAGCAAGAGTGGCAACTGCAGTCAGTCTTGGTGGCAGCCCCTCAGCGGTGAGGCCAAGAAGGAAATGAGTTTGGGGCCCAAATTACCTTGTCCATCTATTACCACACTCGCTGTAGTAATTAAAGTACGCTGTCTATTCTGTGCTCATTACCATGGTAACTTGCATATGCTACACAGATCATTCAGTTGGTGGTGTAAAATTCTTTGTGGTCTAGTAGACATGTAGACAATTATGCTAGGGATTGGAAAATAAATCTACTCACATGTGGGAAGCTTTCATGGGTGGCTAGGGGGAGCTAAGCCAGGAGTTTTTTCAGAATTTAAATTTAGCAAATTCTTCTAGACCCTCTAGTTTTTAAGATAATCTTCCAACAGGGAACTGTCATTTCCTAAGTCTGCATACACCGTTCCATTGCCACTTTTGTTCCTCTGAGCTTTGCCGACAAACAGAAGAGTAGAATTAACAAGACTGCACAATTTTACTTCTGCTCTTCATAACCCTTTATACAGCAATGAAACTGTCGAGAGTCTTATCAGTTGCCTGCTACCCTTGGTGTCAAGTATCATGTCTACACTGCAGTTAGACACCTGCAGCTGGCCCCTGCCAGCTGACTTGGGCTCAGGCTAAGGGGCTGTTTAATTGCTATGTAGCCATTTGGGCTCGGGCTGGAGCCCAGGCTCTAGGACCCTGGGAGGTGGGAGGGTCCCAGAGCTTAGGCTGCAGCCTAAGTCACAATGGGTATATCTATAGTGCACTTAAAAACCCACACCCGGCCAGCTGGCTCGGGCTTGGGTTTACTGGGGCTGCAGGGCTGTTTCATTGCAGTGTAGACTTCCAGGCTCAGGTCTGGGACCTTCCCACCTCACAGCCTGAGCCCAGAAGTCTACAGTGCAGTGAAACAGCTCTGCAACCTGAGCCCCACAAGCCCAAGTCAGCTGGCATGGGCCAGCTGCAGGTTTTTGATTGCAGTGTAGACATACCCAATGTCTACACCGCAGTTAAACAGCCCCTTAGCCCAAGTCCTGGAAGCCTGAGTCAGCAGGCACAGGCCAACCATGGGTATCTAATTGCAGTGTAGACATACCCTTAGTAGCTGTAGAGCACAGTTAATCAATTATCTTTTGTCAAGGTCCAAATTTCTTGGTCAAGGTCCAGACTCCAGCGAAAATAATACAAAAATAACAATAATAATGATGATAAATAGAAAAAAGATTTTGGAGTCTGTTCAAAAGCATCTGACGGTCTGGATTTGGCCCACGGTCCTCCTAGTGACTACCCCTGCTGTGGAGGCAGGAACTGGGATTATTAGCTAGAGAAGATGATCTAAAAGTCAGAGGTTAAGAGTGCCTATAAGCAGTATTCAGGGACAAGCACCCATGGTAGAAACGCAAGCACCTTTACCCTTCCTAGAGCTGGAGGTGACACTAGGGCTGGATTTTTCAATCAGATCGTTGTCCTTTGATCTTGCTGCTGGAGTTCCTCTTCCAATTTTTCATACCTACCTGTGGCTGGTAGGTTTAGTCTTCTGGTCAGTAGGTATCTGGTAACTTTTCAAGGACTAGGCATGTGCTATGGAATGTAACTTTTAATTTTCTAAGGGCAGGCTTATTTTTTTATCATGCCCTATATTAATGTTTTGCTAAAGCTGCCCAGTGTTAGTGATTATTCCAGGTGTGGCCAAACCAAGGCGCATGAGCTCTTTTACAGTTGAAGTGTGGCTTGCAGAGCCCCCCACTATTCTCCAACTACCAGACTTGGGGAGAGGGAACTTGGGGCTTCTGCCCTGTGGTGGGGCTAGAGGCTTCTGCCTTGTGGGGAGTAGGGTCTTGGGGCTTTAGCTCCGTGCCCCAGCAGGAGCCCCCCTGTAGGGCAGATTGTGCCTGTCTTTTGGCTCTCGAACTTCTGAAGATTTTCGTATGTGGCTCAGAGGGTCAGTAAGTTTGGCCACCCCTGGATTATAGCATGTGTAGTGGCAGTGCTATTTTGGCAGGTTACAAGTTTGTGTGAGTGAGGGGCAATGTATCAACCAATATGTGAGTGTTTCCAATGGCAAGAAGCAGCCTTATCCTAAGGTATTCCCTCCTTGTTACATCTAAGGCACATAAAGCAGTTGGGGTGGGAAGAAAGGGAGCTAGCAGCCTCACTTGGCGCTGATGCTGTGATAACTTCACCAGTTGGCTAGCTGGAGACACTGTATTGAAAAATTTCAGAGTAACAGCCGTGTTAGTCTGTATTTGCAAAAAGAAGAGGAGTACTTGTGACACCTTAGAGACTAACCAATTTATTTGAGCATAAGCTTTCGTGAGCTACAGCTACTCCTTTTCTTTTTGTATTGAAAGAGTTGGGTTTGGGGTTTTTTCCCTGCACCCTAAACAGGCAGCGCCTGAAACTAGCCTAGATGCTGTTCCTGGTGAACATCAGATCCTCAGATTGCAATGCCGCTTAACAGCATTAAGAGCCACTTGACAGGTTGTTCTGCACAGTTCATAGTGAAAAGAAAAGGAGTACTTATGGCACCTTAGAGACTAACCAATTTATTTGAGCATAAGTTTTCGTGAGCTACAGCTCACTTCATCGGATGCTGTAGCTCACGAAAGCTTATGCTCAAATAAATTTGTTAGTCTCTAAGGTGCCACAAGTCCTCCTTTTCTTTTTGCGAATACAGACTAACACGGCTGTTATTCTGAAACAGTTCATAGTGAGATAGCTTATGGAAGTGTAAGAGTTGGCATTGTGTGCATTCAGTTCCATGGCGTCTAGCACGTGGGTAACCATCTATGATTTGTTTTATTATTTAGGTAGTGGCTCCAATCCTTTCCAGCATTTGGAGAAGAGTGCTGTCCTTCAAGAGGTATGAACAGAAAGTTTATTATGTAAGTTGCTATAGCTTTGGGCTGGATGCTCTAGTGACCTAAGCAACAGATTTGAAATACCTGGACTTTGTGCAGCCAGTGGTTAAAACTGATGCACGGTCAATTAATCCTTCCAGGGTAGATGCAATAAATTGAGTGCACATGCAGTTTACTATGTGGGGATCTTTCAGGAAGACAGAGGACCTGTTTAATTTGCATGGACACTAAAGATCCAATGGCCCTTACTGAAGAGGCTTTTTTTCTGTGTCCCTATTGTCATGCCATGCAGCATGCTTTTCAGTAGTTCTTCGCCTGGCTACATCTGTGCGCCTGAGAGGTGGCTAGCTGTATGTCACTGCAGTTATATGTATAAGATCTGTGAAGTGTTTGGGGCTCTTTTTGGATGCAAAGAGCTATAAATGTGAAAATAGATTTGTTAATTTCACTTTCAGGTTCCCTTGCACTAGTACAATGCTTCTGAGTTTGGTTGCAGATGCTGGAAAGGAAACTTTTAAAATCTAAACTAAACTGGCATACAGAAAACACAAAAACTTCCAGTATTGCCCAAGCTTTACCACTGATTGGCTATATGATTAGAACCTAGGAACCTGAGATCCAGTCCCTGGTTCAAATCACTTCAAAGCCATCTGTCTAAAACTGAGTCCATTTTTCAGCTAAGTGCTTTTACTAATTGGCATTCATGTTAAGGTGCAGTATACAGTAAGACTGTTTGGGTGAAATGAGTTATCCTGATCCCATGGGGTGAGTGGGTAAATTGTTACCTATGAGTTATGCAATAATGCAATTTTTCTGCTGTGTCTGCAGGCTCGTATCTTTAATGAGACTCCCATAAATCCACGAAGATGTCTGCATATACTTACCAGGATCCTTTACTTACTGAACCAGGTAAGTGGATCTTCCTAACCCAAACACACACCTAGGATTAGTCTTTTCTGATAAAAAGTTTAGCATGAAAGAATTACTGTACTTCAAGGATAGCAAAACAACTTGTACTTTATGCTGTCAGTCTAGAGGGCAGCTTATTAAGGGTAACAGAAATTGAACCCTATTATATAATGTTATGATCTTAGTTTTGATTTTCAGCTTTCCTTGGTGGAGATGAGACACAGCTCACTGAAGCTTTTAAGACTTTTTATGATAGACTTCTGGGAGCTGCGTCCCATTTATTCCTGTTCTCAGTGATGCCGTATTAGCCAGAACCAGCCTTCTCTATATTGTAGAAATAGCCATGTTTAAACAAGAGTTTGAATGGTAAAATGGTTGGGTAATGACTGTCACATGGTTCTTTCTTTGCCTATGTAGAGAACAGGACTCCATGTTGAGGAACTATGTTTAGCTTAGATACCTAAATGTCTGTGAGTACATGAAATATGGCCTGACGGGGCAATATTTAATACTCAGGTGTGACCAGCAGGGATTACAAGGTCCAACACATTCTGCTGTATCTGAATCAGCACAGGTTTTGTGTTGGGGAAATCCTAGGAGACTCTTCTTCTCAGTTGACGAAAACTTAAAACAAAAACCATAACCCCTGCTGCTGTAAAGGCAGCAGAGGGAGCACAGGTTAATTAACAAACCCTGTTCCTGTTACTTTGCTGGTATCATGGATGATGCTCCTGTTGAAACAAGCTACGTAAAAAGTGTAATTAGATTGTCGTGTGCTCTATAAGAAACACAAGGTGAAGAAGGGAGTGTTTCTAAAAAAGATTTTAAAAAAGAAAAAGGTTTAGAGGCAGAGGATGGAGTCCAAGGATCTAAGTGGGCATTATAGACGAGAGAGAACTAAAAAGAGAAAGCTACTGGACTTTTGATTGGCCTCTAACGTCTGCTGCTTGCATGTTATCCTTAGGGTGAACATTTCGGAACTACTGAAGCCACAGAAGCCTTCTTTGCAATGACCAGATTATTTCAGTCTAATGACGTAAGTCTCTGTATTTAAGGAAAAATGTTTCACGTGCTGCATTGTACTCTCAGTGGGATCTTTGTGAACCCTCTGATAGTAGCAGAAATTGTGAAGTGTTCATATATGGTCCCATTGCTCTGCTATAAGTAGCTTAGATAGAGGAATGTGCTCAATTTGAAAGCACCATATGGGCCTTAGTTTCTTGCCTCTCAAAATTAAGAAAGTGTTGTTTACAGACTAGAGCTCCAGCATTCCTTAGAAAGGCGTTTGACTCAACCTGCTAGAAGTAAAGGGATTAGAATGTTCTCAAAGCAATGGGTTAAGTCTTTGGCTAAGGTGTATGTAGTATCCATTTAATATGTGATATGTTCTTCTTCGAGTGTTTCCTCATGACCATTCCAACATAGGCGTGTGCTCACCCCGAGCACTGCCACAGGAAAATTTTTCCCTCAGTAGTATATGTCAGTTCAGCTCTGGTGCCCCTGGAGTCGCGTGCTCGTAGCGCCGGTATAAAGGGTCCTGCTGACTTGCCACCCCCTTAGTTCCTTCTTTCAGCCCATGACGGTTGCTGGAACTGTGTTTCGTTCTTGCTTCTGCAAGTACTCCCCAGTGGAATATCTCTACTCTTGGTGTATATAGTTTGTTGTAGTTTAGCAGTAAGTTTCAGTTATTAGTTAGTTAACCCCGCTAAGTGGGGTTAACCACCCCTGAGCACTGGGGCATGCCTTGGTCTCTGGGCTTCAAGCCTTGTGATTCTTGTCATAAGCCTATACTTGTGAGTGACCCCCATTCCAGCTGCCTTAAGTGCCTAGGGGAAGCTTATGTGCGGGAGCAGTGTAAGATTTATAGGGAATTTAAGCCTTGCACCAAGAAGGATAGGGACACTAGACTTCGCTCTGTCCTCCTGGAGACAGTGCTCCAACCTCCAGCACACTCGGACTTGGCACCAACTACCTCAGCCTAGGTGAGGAGCACCCTGGGTTCACTTCGAGACACCTGGTGTCATTCCTCATCTCTGGTTCCGAGGAGAGACACTCCGACTTCATCTAAGTAACCCCAGCACTGTCAAGCATTTCCAGGGCCCAAGAAAGATGCACCAGCAAGAGACACTAGGCGCTCTTCAACATCGCCAGTGCCTCAGTGTCAGGCCGATCACCAACACTGAGATCGGTGCCACAGAGGGATACTGTCAGGGTACGACCCAGGTCGGGCCACCCTGTGGCATTGGCATGGCATCCCATGCCATGCCATTGATTCCAGTCCTGGAACGGGAGCTGTTGAGTCCGGCACGGATAGACTCGCCATTGCGAGAGAGGCACCAGAGCCCCATGATCCTACCGGTGTGGTTGACAGTGCAGGCCTTCATGGCAGCAAGGGACTTACTGGTGCTACTGGTACAGTCGTCCCCAGCCATACGGGAACTGTTGAGGGCAGCACCGACAGGGCAGACCTCTGCAGGCTCGAGGCCAAGGATAGTTTTGAAGGGAAAGCCAGCCATGATGGCTCAGTCCCTGTCCCCTTCCTCCTGGCACCGTTCACCGGCACCGGTCAGCACTGCTACAGCCTGGTCTTTGGAGGGATCAGTGATGGACTCGGACATGGAGTCTTACGTCTTGTGAAGGAGCTGGCACTGCCAGTCTAGATACTATCTGGCTGTGGTCCCGAGTCAAGGGGTCCCACTGGTGGCATGGTCACCGGGGCAGTGGCAGTTCCCCATGCAGTGGTCTTTCTGGAACCCCTTGGCATTCCCAGTGCAACTGGGGTCCCATTCTAGGAGGTCACGTTCAGTGGCTTTCGAGCCCGGACAACCTCCAGCACCAGAACATGATCCAGGCTCCGTTACCAAGACCAGTGCCATGTATCATGAAATGGTACCACAGGATCTGGATGGTGCCGATGGCAAAGAGTAGAGCCGGTCCAAGCATCCTCCTCTTCCCCCAATGAGGCTGTCACGTGAACTGATATTCTGTCCCTGCAGGAGGATTATAAGGCACATGAAGAGCTTCTAAGGAGGGTAGCTCAAAATCTGGGGATCCAGGTGGAGGAAATTAGGGAATCCTCCCACTCTCTTGTGGACATAGTGGCGGCAACGGGCCCTACAAGAGATCCGCTGCCCCTGAACGATGGAGCCCATCAAGGTTATGTGGCAGACCCCGGTGTCCCTGCAGCCGATGGCAAAAAGGACTGAGAGGAAATATTTTTTCCCGGCAAAAGGGTTCAAGTTCCTGTACATGCACCCACCACTGGGTTCGTTGGTGGTATTGGCTGCCAATGAGCAGGAAAGGCAGGGCCAACAGGAACCAACACTGAAGGCCAAGGATGCCAAAAAGTTAGACCTTTTGGGAGGAAGGTCTATTTGACAGGGGGTCTCTAGCTTAGGATTACCAGCCAGCAGGCACTCCTGAGCAGGTACCATTTCAACTCCTGGGACTCTGAGGAAAAGTTTAAGGAGTTGCCACCTCAGGAAGCAAGAGTTTGCGACTCTCATAAAGGAAGGCATGGCTGCGGCAAAGGCGTCCCTGCAGGCATCCCTGGGTGCAGCGGACTCAGCAGCCCACTCCAAGGCTTCGGCGGTCACAGTGCGCATTCGTGGCACAGGTTCCTATCCAGGACATCTGTAGAGCAACAACGTTGTCTTCAGTCCACACTTTTGCATCTCACTGTGCCATCACTCAGCAGGCCAGAGATGACACTGGATTTGGCAGAGCAGTGCTACAATCTGCTTGTCAATGAACTCCAAACCCACCTCCTATACATGCTTGGGAGTCAGCTGCGGTGGCATGGACATGAGCAAGCACTCAAAAGAAAAAAATGATTACTAACCTTCCATAACTGTAGTTCTTTGAGATATGTTGCTCATGTCCATTCCAAAACCCACCCTCCTACCCCTTTGTCGGAGTTAGTCAGCAAGAAGGAACTGAGGAGGTGGCGGGTTGGCAGGGCCCTTTATGCTGGCGCTTGAGAGCACGACTCAAGGGGGCAACAGAGCCAACACAACAGATACCACTGAGGGAAAAACTTTCCAGTGGCGGTGCTCAGGGCAAGCACACACCTACATTGGAATGGACATGAACAACACGTGTCGAAGAACAATGGTTATGGAAGGTTAGTAACCAAATTTTATCTGAGGAAGCATGGGAAAATTGTATCGTCTCAGAGGGTGGACTGAGTCTGATGGGTCTCTTTCATCCCTGCTAGAATTCTAACTTACTGGTTTTTTTAGTGTATTAATCATTGGGAACGTTTTATAAGCAACCTTATAAGAACATAAGAATGGCCAAACTGGGTCACACCAATGGTCCATCTACCCCAGTATCCCGTCTTCTGATGGCCAGCGTCAGGTGCTTCAGAGTGCTTCTGCCCGGACGCAAAATATCACAAATGTCAGATTTTTGTGACCTTTCTTAAATCCAGATTCTGCAATACCAATTTCTCTTGTACCACGAGCCTATTAGGCTTCATCAGTTGCCTTCAAATAGTTAAATTTAGAGTGTAAATCATTGATATTTTGTGCATATTTCTTCCATTTGAAAATTGGAAATGGGGAGACTTGCTGAAAAGTTTCTAATTTAATTATAATACACAGTACGAGCGACTATCTCAGTACTGAACAGTCTTAAAATGTGATTTCTGTCATGGGTAACCAGTGAAACCTATTGCTTAGCCAGTGAAATCTCTTGCGGTTCTCTATGATCTGCACAAAGTCCCATTTAAAGTAATATTGCATTGATTTAACTTAATGATAATGAAGGGTCAAAACTTGCTCTGTTAAAACTCTAGCTACTGTAGATTAAAATAACCAAAAAAATTTAACCTTGAAAAATGAATAACCACTTTAGCAAGTTTCACAAAAATTTTATGCTGGTATCAGAAGTATACAGGCTAAACTAACAGGAGTCTAGCCTAGTTTGCCTCACCAGTGTGGACAGGCATATTGTACAAGCCAAGTTATTCTATGGATTTGGGCAATAACATGAAACATGGCGGGAACCCTGTGTAGCTTCCAAGTTTCTAGTCTCTGTATAAGCAGTTTTCTATGAAAGTTGCTACAGTGGTTAGTATTATTTTTAAGATCATATAATTGGAGGGAGGAGTATTTGTCTATAGTAACTAGAGTTAAATATTGTTTCTGAGTAGGCAAGTCTTAATGCTTTTTGTGATTAAACTCCCACAGCAAACCTTAAGAAGAATGTGCTACCTTACTATCAAAGAGATGGCCAACATTTCTGAGGATGTCATCATTGTCACCAGCAGGTATGAGAAAAATCCAGCTACAGGTTTCTAAAGCAAATAATTAAATGTTACTGTATTGTTACTTCAGCTGCAGCATTTTTCACAAGGTTGGCTCCCTGATCTGTATAAAGTGGACAGCCAGGGAAACTAAATATGTTCTGTGAAATCAGGTACATCATCAGATCTACAAAGTGAGCTATTAAATTCTTTAAGCTGTGGTTGTAAACAGAAGAGAGACTAAAGCATAAAATGATTATTTCATGCTAAGCATATCTTCTCCCTGTCATAACTGCTTAATGTTTCTGACAAAAACAAGCTTGTACCTTCCTGTTCACCCTGCAGAGACAATGCAGCTGTGGGAGATTGAACTGAGTTATAGTCTGACTGACTTCATCAACAGAACTGTCAGGTTCTGGCCACAGAATCTTTGTCACTGTATGTAACTAATGTAAGAGCCAGACTCCAGACAGATTTTCAGATCCTAGATAGAATGGGTAGCTTGGCAGTTGGAAAGAAGTAATATTTTTGACTAGTAAACCTAACAAATTAGCCATTAAACATGTTGTTTTTAGTGTCAACATCCATGGAACTAGAGGAAACAGGAATACAGGAGGACAGCCAATCTTGTCCAAAAAAATCAAGTCCTAGACTTATGGCAGTGGAATCTTTTTAGTTTATGTTCTGTATTATGGATTTGTGTACTTCCGCTCTGTAGCGCCAAATGTTAATAATTTTCAAATGACTCTCAGGTGCTGTCTAGCCAACAGTGGGTCTTAGCAGTTGCATGGTAATAACTTGAATGATGGCTTATAAAAATAACAAGCTGTGTTTTTTTAGAAGGGATGTGGTACCGTAATATAAATATTTAATAATATAATAACAATGATATTAACAGTCTGTTTTAATTATTCTAGTTTGACCAAAGACATGACTGGGAAGGAAGATGTATACCGAGGCCCGGCCATTAGAGCTCTCTGCAGAATCACTGATGTAAGTACAGAACAATCCTATGAGTGAGGGAGAGAATCGGTTTGGGTGGGTTTGGAGAAGAGGAACATCTCTTTTGCAGAATGCCCTGTGGGAGTAATGAGCAGCCACCTTGGGCAGAACTCTTTTTAAAGAATCGGGTTTAGATCTAGTTTTACCACTCCAACAGATGTGCCAAAACGTCTCTCTAACTCCACAGAGAAGCATCTTGGCTAGCAGACTGAACATGGGATTAGGAGACAAGAATTTTGGAGTTTTAATTCCAGCTCCAACACTGCCTTGCTCTGTAGCTTTGGTTAACTTAACTTCCAGGGAGGAAGCACAGTCTGCTTGGCTACCTCACAGAGGTGCGTGTTGCAAGGATTGACTGTAATGTCATTAAAGCAGTCTGAAGGTGCCATCTTCAAGGTGCATGTTTTGTTCCTTTGTTGTATTTGTAAATATATGCAAATACTATGTATATTTTTGTGTCTCTTTGAAATTACATTGGTTAGTGCATTGGCCACCTCCTGCTTGTAGAAATGAACATCACGTGTTGCTTTTCTTTCCTTTCATAGGGTACAATGTTGCAGGCCATTGAGAGGTACATGAAGCAGGCCATTGTGGATAAAGTCCCCAGTGTATCGAGTTCTGCTCTAGTGTCTTCCTTAGTAAGTGCAGAAATAGCATTACATTAATCTGGTTTATTTAGTTGTGACAGGTGAAGGGTTGTGTGTTCTATGTATTGCTCTGCCCTGCCTCCTATTCCCCTTCTCTTTGCCCCGTCCTGTCTTCTCCTACTTAGGGGTTTCTGCCTTTCACTTCCCATGCCCCAAGCAAGCTTCTTCCTTAGCACTAACTACTTCTATTCCATATCTTAATAGCTTGTTTCGTGTTTGGGTTTAATTTAGAGCATTTGCTCCTCTGGGCAGGAACCTGGTCTCCCTGCATGTTTGCAAGTGCTGCGCCCACCTGTGTCTCTGTATAAATAAGAAATGTTTATCAATTCTGTTATTATTTAAGTACCAACAAGCATGCTTGGTTCTGTACAACCACTGATGGTCTCTGTCCTGATAACCCTACAGTCTAAGACGAACATAGAGAGGACAAGATGCACTGGGAGCCCTGGAGGAAGGAATTAGCTTTATATTTGTATTGTAATCTCCCTCCCTCCTCCTCCTTAAGCAGTGTTGGGTGGGAGAAGGTGCTTGGCATGGTGCCAGGGGGAAATGACAGTGAGGGCCTGACTCGCTGTATTGTAGTTTGTATTTAACATGTTTATTATGGTAGTGCCTAAGGGTCACCAAAGCATAGGCCCCATTGTGTTAGGCACTGTATCAACACAGAGTGGGAGATGGTCCCTGCCCCAAAGAGCATACAGGCTGAATAGACAGACTCAGTGTGAGGAAAGTGGTAGAACACACCAGCAGAGTGAACAATGTGATGGCTGCAAATGTCAGGTTAGTTCCGCAATTTTTTGGTATGTGATTTTACTTAGGAGGGGATCAAGTAAATGGAAAGAAAGCAGAAGGGAAGGTGTATGAGGTGGGCAGGGCAGGGGAGAAGAGGGGCAGCTGTTGAATGAAGCTGAGGTGAAGACACTGGCTGTTTGCACCAACCTTCTTCCTCCCTCACAATCAGCGGAGGGCAAAGAAAGGCCAATTAAAACTCTATAGTTCTCTGAATGTGCAGAGGTCCAAAGGTCCCTGCTTTCGCTGGTTCTGCCCCTACCAGCTAGTGTCTCTGGCTGGTTCTTCTCAGCAACCCACATGGGTGGGAGGGGAGGTATCACTTGGGTCCTAGTGCCCCAGAGTTTGGAGGGTCTCACTGCACAGTTTCGTGTGCTGGGGGGAAGTGGTGGCCCCAGCTGGGTCCCATTGTACTCCATTAGCCCAGGGCAGCAGTCCCTGGGATTGGGAGATGCACATAAGGAAGGCATGGGGAGGAGGACATGTAGGGCAATAAGGCTGGCGTCATCATTAGAGGAAAGGGGAAGAGGAGGAGCATGGTACACAAGGCCCAATAGGTAGGCAGGAGTAGAGCTCTGCAGGGTCTTGAAAGTTGGAACAGAAAGTTGCATTTGTGGCCAGTATTAGAGCTTTCTATGAGGCTAAAGGGGTAGGGTGATAGACAGTTTTAGTGCTTTCTCCTCTCTTGTTCCAACATTAATAAAAGCTCCCAACTCTTAGTTGCTTTTATGTACAGGTGTCAGCATTTAACAGAATGCAAAATACAAATTAGTTATTGCAGGGGATCTTATCTCTTTGTCTCAATGGCTTGGAGCAGAGTCCTAGATAGATAAATCATGCTTTATGCTAGTAATTTTTCTTAAAACTTCCCAGTAAATTATCATTATAAAAAAGGTGCTTGTAAAAGTCCGTTTGGTTGATTAGTTTATAACATTCTTTGTTTCTGCTCCTAGCACATGATGAAGATAAGTTATGATGTCGTCAAACGGTGGATCAACGAAGCCCAAGAAGCTGCTTCTAGTGACAACATCATGGTGCAGGTGTGTTTCAGAGCATAGGGTTGATGTATCATGAAGTGCGATAAACATGCCATACCGTGCTTGTGGTTTTCTGTAATTTTTTTAATAAGTCCATGGAGTCTGTATTTCAGAGCTTAATTTAGCTGATAGAACAATGCTTAAATAATGGGAAGCACTACCCTTAGACCCTGATCCTGCCATGTGATGTGGTGGGCAGATGTCCATTAACTTATGTGGGAGAGGGTGGGTGAAGGGGTCATACAACACATTACAGGATCAGGACCCTATTCATTTGTTCATTCAGTGTCACTAATCACTGTAAGTAGCAGAAAATGTTAAGTTATTGAAGTAATTATTGCAATTAGTAAAATTCATGACACCAGTCAATGGGATTACACTTAGAAAATTGCCTCTAACTTGCCATTCACACTAATGGAGAATTTTTAAAAACACATGGACTTTCAGCAAAAGTAGGCATCCTTTTCATTTTTAGGAAATTGTGAAAAATGAGTATAAAAAAACTATATGCAGTTTCTCCACAATTACAATGTTAGCTTCTTAATTATATGTGCAGTTTGGTATAGCCGTCTACCTTTTCCCCACTAATTTTCTCTGGTGGTTGGGATCCTATTTTGCTGAATTCGTGACCCGTCCAGATAGAAGGAGTTTTGTTTTGAATTTGAAATCTCTTCAGGGATTAATCTCAATGAATCAAGACAAAAAACAAGAGATGTAGGGATTTTTTGGTAAGAAAACTTCGTTAGGATGACTGGAATGACCTTAAGTCTGGCCTTTTTAAAAGATCTGTTTGTGTGTTTGTATAGGGACAGTTTTTAAATAAGTCTCTCGGGGAGCGAGGAAATGTAAAAATAATTATTGAAGGTTTAGGGCATAATTGAGCTGACAACAGTTGGTATTTAGATCCTTACCTAAACACACAAACCTACAACTATGGATTTTTGACTTTCCAAATTCAGCTATTTATTAAACCTTGATATAAATTAGGGTTGTCGATTAATTGCAGTTAACTCACGCGATTTAACTAAAAAAATTAATCGCGATTAATCACCTTTTTTAATTGCACTGTTAAACAATAGAATACCAATTGAAATTTATTAAATTTTGGATGTTTTTCCTACATTTTCATATATATATTCGCTGTTGTAATTGAAATCAGTGTGTATTATTTTTATTACAAATATTTGCCCTGTAAAATGATAAACAAAAGAAATAGTATTTTTTAATTCACCTCATACAAGTACTGTAGTGCAGTCTTTTTGTCGTGTAAGTGCAACTTACAAATGTAGATTTTTTTGTTGTTACATAATTGTACTAAAAAAAAACTATGTAAAACTTAAGAGCCTAAAAGTCCACTCAGTCCTACTTGTTCAGCCAGTCGTTAAGACAGATCCAATTTGTTTACATTACAGGAGATAACGCTGCCCTCTTCTTATTTACAGTGTCACCAGAAAGTGAGAACAGGCATTTGCATGGTACTTTTGTAGCTGGCATTGCAAGTTATTTACATGCCAGATATGCTAAACATTCGTATGCCCCTTCATTCTTTGGCCAGCATTCCAGAGGACATGCTTCCATGCTGATGACGCTTGTTAAAAAAACAATGTGTTAATTAAATTTGTGACTGAACTTCTTGGGAGAGAATTGTATGTCACCTACTCTGTTTTACCCACATTCTGCCATATATTACTTGTTATAACAGTCTCGGATGATGACCCAGCACATGTTGTTCATTTTAAGAACACTTTCACGGCAGATTTCACAAAACACAAAGAAGGTACCAATGTGAGATTTCTAAAGATAGCTACAGCGCTTGACCCAAGGTTTAAGACTCTGAAGTACCTTCCAAAATCTGAGAGGGACGAGGTGTGGAATATGCTTTCAGAAGAGCAACACTCTGATGTGAAAACTACAGAATCCGGAGCACCAAAAAAGAAAATCAACCTTCTGCAGGTGGCATCTGACTCTGATGATGAAAATGAACATGCGTTAGTCCATGCTGCTTTCGATCGTTATTGAGCAGAATCTGTCATCAGCATGGACGCATGTCCCCTGGAATAGTGGTTGAAGCACGAAGGGACATATAAATCTTTAGCGCATCTGGCACATAAATATCTTGTAACCCGTCTACAACAGTGCCATGAGAACACCTGTTCTCACTTTCAGATGACCTTGTAAACAAGAAGCGGGCAGCATTATCTCCTTTATTGTAAACAAACTCGTTTGTCTGAGCAATTGGGTGAACAAGAAGTAGGACTGAGTGGACTTGCAAGCTCTAAAATTTTACATTGTTTTATTTTTGAATGCATTTTTTTGTATATAATTCTACATTTATAAGTTCAACTTTCATGCTAAAGAGATTGCACTACAGTACTTGTATTAGGTGAATTGAAAAATACTATTTATTTTGTTTTTTTAGAGTGTAAATATTTGTAATCAAAAATAAATATAATGTGAGAACTGTACACTTTGTATTCTGCGTTGTAATTGAAATCAATATATTTGAAAATGTAGAAAACATCCAAAAATATTTAAATAAATGGTATTCTATTATTGTTTAACATTGCGATTAATTTTTTTAATCCCTTGACAGCCCTAATATAAATTAATCTGCTCAGGAGAAAAAGCTTGGGCAGTAATTAGAAGGCAAAATAAAGCAATCCCACTTTGGGATCACTCTATAAAATGGGGATAATACTTCGCTGCCTCAAGGGCGTTTGCTGAGTTATTTGATGTTTATAAAGCTGTTGGGAGCCCCTCAGATGGAAGGTGCATTGGAAATGCACGTATTGTTTCTATGCAGCCTGGTTTTGTAAATGGGTACATTTGATGTTCCAGTGGCAAGCCCCATCAGGGTGGTGGACGGGTTGGTTTTATAGATCTTTCCCTCTCTAATATCTGGTTCTGACATCCTTACCCTTAAGGACCATGCGGGAACAGCTGGAACTGTAGTTCTAATCATTTGTGAGTAACTTGTTTTCATATAAATATGACAAGGTACTTTTAGGAAACAGGTGGTCTGGTTACTTGTGGCACTCAGAAAACGTGGCAATATCAAATCCTTCCTAAGGGAACATGTACTATAAGGTGGGTAGAAAGTTGGCTAGATTGTCGGGCTCAACGGGTAGTGAGCAATGGCTCCATGTCTAGTTGGCAGCCGGTGTCAAGTGGAGTGCCCCAGGGGTCGGTCCTGGGGCCGGTTTTGTTCAATATCTTCATAAATGATCTGGAGGATGGTGTGGATTGCACTCTCAGCAAATTTGCGGATGATACTAAACTAGGAGGAGTGGTAGATACGCTGGAGGGCAGGGATAGGATACAGAGGGACCTAGACAAATTGGAGGATTGGGCCAAAAGAACTCTGATGAGGTTCAATAAGGATAAGTGCAGGGTCCTGCACTTAGGACGGAAGAACCCAATGCACAGCTACAGACTAGGGACTGAATGGCTAGGCAGCAGTTCTGCGGAAAAGGACCTAGGGGTGACAGTGAACGAGAAGCTGGATATGAGTCAGCAGTGTGCCCTTGTTGCCAAGAAGGCCAATGACACTTAGGGGATGTATAAGTAGGGGCATAGCGAGCAGATCGAGGGACGTGATCGTTCCCCTCTATTCGACATTGGTGAGGCCTCATCTGGAGTACTGTGTCCAGTTTTGGGTCCCACACTACCAGAAGGATGTGGATAAATTGGAGAGAGTCCAGCGAAGGGCAACAAAAATGATTAGGGGTCTGGAACACATGACTTACGAGGAGAGGCTGAGGGAACTGGGATTGTTTAGTCTGCAGAAGAGAAGAATGAGGGGGGATTTGATAGCTGCTTTCAACTACCTGAGAGGTGGTTCCAGAGAGGATGGTTCTAGACTATTCTCAGCGGTAGAAGAGGACAGGACAAGGAGTAATGCTCTCAAGTTGCAGTGGGGGAGGTTTAGATTGGATATTAGGAAAAGCTTTTTCACTAGGAGGGTGGTGAAACACTGGAATGCGTTACCTAGGGAGGTGGTAGAATCTCCTTCCTTAGAAGTTTTTAAGGTCAGGCTTGACAAAGCCCTGGCTGGGATGATTTAATTGGGGATTGGTCCTGCTTTGAGCAGGGGGTTGGACCAGATGACCTCCTGAGGTCCCTTCCAACCCTGGTATTCTATGATTCTATGTATTTAAGGTATTTAGTTTTGTTAGGGACTGTCCTTATGTGTCTTTTCCCTCTGATTTTGTAGTATCATGCATTGGGGCTGCTTTACCACCTCAGGAAGAATGATCGCCTTGCAGTTTCCAAGATGCTGAATAAATTCACCAAATCTGGACTGAAATCTCAATTTGCATACTGCATGCTGATCCGAATTGCTAGCCGGCTTCTGAAAGAGTCTGAAGAGGGGTAAGAGGAGAATCAACCATCTAAATATATGGTGGTGTATAAACACTAAGAATAGAGAAATGACTTGGGGTGATCCAACAGAGTGTAACTAGGAGCAAAGGGATAGATTAGACTGAATTTCAAAAAAGAGCTTCCTGACCGTGTGCTTTTTCATTGTGGCAGAGTCTCCCAAGGGAATTGGGGAGCCCCTGCTATTTGGGACACTTAAAACAAGACTGGACAGCAATAAAAAAATCCATTAATAATCTATCTGTACTGGCAGAGAGATGGACTGGTTGATCAGAGGTCTCTTTCCATCTTTGATTTCTCATCGTAGTAGAATAAAGGTTGTGCTGCTTAGGACTTTAAACTCTGGATTGTGGGTCCTTTATCAGTGAAACCTGTTGCTTACTGGGTGTAACATACAATAAATATCAAGATGTTTCTCTTCTAAATGTATCCCTTCTGACTTGAATGTTGTTGAATATGGAATGAGTGTCTGGACATATTTAGAGATTAATATACTCTCTAATAGAACCATACTATAGTGTGCTATTGGGTATCCAAGCATTAGTCTTGTATTACAAGTGGGGAAACATGGTAATGTGAATTGTTTGAGCTATGTTCTAGCAGAGTCAATACTGTAATTTATGACTTTAGCTTAAAAAAAAATCTGATTGCATGTCAGTCCCCAGATAAGAGATCCGTATAGTGTTGTAGCAGAACTTGTTAATAAATATTTCATCACGTTACTATGAAATAAAGAGTGCCTCTGTTTGAAATTGTATGCACTCCATTTCATTGGCAGGCACGAAAGTCCGTTGTTTGACTTCATTGAGAGCTGTCTGCGAAATAAACATGAGATGGTTATTTACGAAGCTGCCTCTGCAATCATCCATCTTCCAAACTGCACACCAAGGGAGCTGGCCCCTGCTGTGTCAGGTCAGTCAAGGAATGAACCCTTTGTGCCCTCTGCTGCTGGGATGTTCTGGAAATACTTTATTGCTGCACGATTTGTTGGCTAAGATATTTTAACAGTGAAGGAGATCAGGGTAGGTTTGGTTTGTCATACTGTAGGACTAAGGCTAGGCAAGGTGGCAGATCACACAACCAGGAAATTGAAGTGTAACATCTGCTATACTATACATTAAAATATTAACTACTAACAAGAATACATTTTCTCTCTCATATTTGCAACTGTAATTTTTCCTGACTCTCTCCTAAATTAGAAACAATTGGATGGGAAATGACTTGGACTTTGGGTGAAAGAGAAGGGTCAAGAGCCTGGTCACCAAAAAGGGACAGAATACTTTATCCTCTCCCTAACTAAGGGAAGTCAGGGTGTGGGGAGGGGACAGAGGAAGATTTTGAGGAGGGTGGATTGGTAGATATGAACTCCAGGTGGTAGAAAAGCTCATGTCTTTGAAATAAGCTGAAAACTGGGAGGTGAAATTTAAATTGGATTGGGAGACTAGGAAACTGTTGATGGATGGTGAATGTAACAGTATGAGGAGATAGTTAGCAATACATATTTGACTTGAACCTTTAAATGCCCCAACAGTAGAGCCAACCTATGTGTGCGGACTACTGGACATTCTTCTCTCTAGTTGCCCCTGCTTCTTCCAGGTGTATCTCTTTCTCAGCATCAGATGTGGGTGAAACTGACTGGAACTGTGCGATGCTTATGTGTTTCGCTCTGTGTACTGGAGTGTGGTCCAGTCTGCATCATTCAGAACCTGTTACCCCTTGTATGTCATCTGAAGTAGTTCTCTGCTGCACTCTTGAAGTGTATCCTGGTCACAAGGTTATTGGTCTTTTCTCCCAGGCATGTTAGTGTCTGGATTTGCAGCACTGGAAGCCAGTGACTGTTGAAACACTCTACTCTGTAAACTCCTACATCATAAGTCACTTCTCTAAATGCTTTATTTTCAGTGTTGCAGCTCTTCTGTAGTTCTCCCAAACCTGTCTTGAGATATGCAGCTGTAAGGACCCTTAACAAGGTGAGTTTCTGAGATCTCTTAAGCAAGTGTTAAGGTATAAATCTTAGTGTGCAAAGCAAAGCATTAAAGGAAACCAAACTTCTGTGCTGAAAGGTGTTTCCTAAGGAAGTAGGACTGTTACTCATGTAATTACTTTATGAGCAGTCTCTCCATGCTGACAGATCAGCCTTCCACTACAACAAAAAATTATCCGATAGTAGTCAGGCTAGTGATGCTCAGTTGTGGATCAAGGGACTCATGACACCTTATAGTTGGATAACTTGTGATCTGCTATGGCTGTAAATCAGTGCTTTCTACCATAGGAAAGTAGGGATTCTGAAGTTTGGGGTACAAGGCATTAATCGCTAACTCTCGTGGTTTGGCTGCCTGTATTTAGTGTCTGAATTGGAAGTGTGTGGAGTGAGTAAAACAGTAATCTGACCTGATTTCAAGCTGGCAAACTGCAAAGGTTAGGAACACATAAGTAGAGCAACACCAGTGCTTACCACACCAACCAACCCTTCCAAGTGTCCTGCACTGGTGTAGGGCATGTAACCATGTCTCCCTCTACTTCTGGCTCCGCTCATTATAACTACCTGCTATTTACAGCTAAAGGAGTTTTCTGCAGCTCAAGTGAGAGCCTGAGGCCTGTGTGTTTTGAAGATCAAGGGGTCTGGTGTGGTCCCTGCTGACAGCCATGGCCTATGTATATGTGGCCAGTTTGTTCTGCAAGCACTAGGCCCCGATAAATGAACAGAAAGCAAATGTTCTGATCCTTGCTCTAGTATATTATTGACAGATTTTTTTTCTTTCCAGGTGGCTATGAAGCACCCATCCGCAGTAACTGCCTGCAACCTGGACCTGGAAAACCTGATTACTGACTCAAACCGCAGCATCGCTACTCTGGCCATCACCACACTCCTGAAAACAGGGAGCGAGAGCAGTGTAGACAGGCTCATGAAACAGATCTCCTCCTTTGTGTCAGAAATATCAGATGAGTTTAAGGTGAGGCATGGGAGGCCTTTGACCTTTACTATTGCAGATTTTCCTCCTCCTGTTTTGTGAAGCTTTCCCAGTTGCAGAGAAGCCTTCAGTCATTTAGCCTTATACCATGAAGCCAGCTGGCGTTTCTTGAGATACAGTCTGTTAAAAGCAGAGGGCCACCTTTCTGCTTCTCTTCCTTTTCCCCAAAGAGCCTATGGTATAAAATCCTATGGGATAAGAAACACTCTCTCCGTCTGCTGTTGACTGAACTACAATGCACTCTAAGCACCATTGTAGCAAAGAACTGTCGATTGTAACGGTCTTGTGGGAGGAAGGATGGTTTTAAGTTTTGATAATGATCTTTATGTATATCCAGCACATCTGACCCAGGTGTACCCCAGCACACTTTAATGTCTGATAGTTCACACAGTCTCTAAACTATATCAAATTCCAGAAAAAACCTACTAAGGCTGGTCATTCGACAGGAAATACCAAAATGAAGGCTGCCTACACATTCTTACCTCTGCCCCTTGTGTACTTCTGATCAGTCTTTAATAGCATAATCACATCCTATTCCTCTGGACCCCAGAATGAGGCAGAGATCTGCAGGAGATGCTCCTCTTAAAATCATTGGTTAATTTGTCCCCCATGGGGTATGGGAGGGGACACACTATAACGATACAGGAATTGCTTCACCCGTCACACACACCCAGTGAAATGTAGTTGCTGAGATGTGGCAACTGTCTACCTGTGCACAACAAACCTATGTAATCATTGTTCATTGTAAGACAGGAGAGGGGATGGATGTTAGATGTACTTGAAACTGCAGAGGGAATGTTTATAACACAACACAATTACCCAAACTGAAATTGGGCCAGGCTCTTAGAAAATCATTCCTGCCCTTTCCAAAAGCATTATAGGATCTCCCATTACTAAGTGGAGAGGCCTATGACTTCCAACTCAAAACTGCTCCTCCAGCATCATGCTAGCACATTGGCTCAGTACCGAGCTGGAGGTAAGAGTGCCACCTTCTGAATCACTAGCACCTAGCTTTTCCTGTCTGAATGCTGAGCTTATATCTGGCAAGATCGCAGCTTGAGGTGATGTGTCTGCAAGAAGCTTCTTACGTCTCATAGAGAATTTAATGCATGATACTAAAGTCCTGTGTCCTCTTCTGTCTTGCAGGTGGTGGTGGTGCAGGCCATCAGTGCTCTGTGCCAGAAATACCCACGGAAACACAGTGTAATGATGACCTTCCTCTCCAACATGCTCAGGGATGACGTAGGTTTAAAGCCTTTCTTATGTAGTTACTAGCATGTAGTTGTGGTGGTATAGGGGGAATCCTATGTTGCTAGTGTTTTCCTTTGGTGATTGTACAGCATCAGTGGGGCTTGATTGATATTTCTGAACAAGACCTTGCTTATTTCGGTTCCTGAGCTATCTGATATGTGACTTTGCCACATTTCAGATCAGCCGACATAATCGCTTGGTACATCAAAAATTGGCCTGGATAAACATTTATAAAATGTATTATCAAGAACAACCCTGCGCTGGCCTCAGGGAGCTGGGAAGGACCTATGAGGACACCCAGCCCATCTCCTCCTCTTCCTCCTCCTCCTCCGATTCTGTGTGTATATGAACACTTTTGTTTCCTTAATGGAGGGAAACTGTATTCATAGCATGAGGGCAAATGAGCACCTGTTATTGTACAATAAAGGGCTGCCTTTGCATTCTGAGCAGCACCTGCAGGATGAGCATCCTTTCCTTTTCTGTCCTAGGGTGGCTTTGAGTACAAGCGAGCCATTGTGGACTGTATAATCAGCATTATAGAGGAGAATCCTGAGAGTAAGGAATCAGGCTTGGCTCACCTCTGTGAGTTCATTGAAGATTGTGAACACACTGTTCTAGCCACAAAGATACTTCACCTGTTGGGCAAAGAAGGGCCAAGGACCCCATCCCCATCCAAATACATTCGCTTCATCTTCAACAGGGTAGTTCTGGAGAACGAAGCAGTGAGAGCTGGTAAGCTACGCAATTAAATACTTGATTGGCTTCATGTGTGCAAATTTGGAGTCTGGAGCAAGGTGCTGGGGTGGGAGGGAATGGGTGCTCTAAAGGAAAAGTCCATAGCTGTCTCTCACTGTGCCTGCTCTTGGCTGTTTGCATTAACTCTTCTCATGTCATGTTAGCATGAATGCTAAATATTGCTACTCAAGGGGGTGTGACCATCATCTGCTATGAATAGCTGTTACCTTCTGACTCTTCCCTTGTGAGCATCAATGTCAAAAGTAAAGTAGCGACAATGAGTAAGGAGGAGAAATGTTACCCACTCTTTTAAGTTGATGCATGAATCTGTACAGATCAGACTTGGCATCATAAAAGCCACACTATTCAGGATTTGAAGTGCGTGTCTCTTGTTTCTGTGGAAAAGTGATTTTTCTTCTGAGAACTCTCCTCTTAAATCTGTTGCACTCCTTTCTCCCACAGAGAATCTTCAGACTGTTTTTAAAGGCAGTTGCCTTTCCCCCCTCCACCTTCAGATTAGAGTGGAATATACTCATACCCCTTAGATCACTCCACTCTGAGCCAGTAGAGGAGTTAGTATGTTAGGAAGGGGAATTAAAATTGAGCTTACATTTCTGTTGTGAAACAGATTGTATTGTATTGAATCCTATTCTACCGAGTGCCATTGTTTTAGCACTGAGGCCTGGGGCCAGATACGCAGCATCCGATGGGAGCCATAAAGACCTTGTCATGGGGTGCGCCACTCATTGATAGGACGGCACCGCTTCCTGGTCGACGCCCCTATCTGCAGTTGCATGCCGTCCTCTGCCTCTCTTTCTGGGTCTGCAGACCCACTCTCACTCCAGGGGCGGCTGCTGCTGCTGCCTCTTCATGACTCAGCCCTCTGGCCAGGTCACGTCATGTGTTTTCCCTTTCCGGAATACCAAAGTCTTTCTCCAGCAATCCTGGGCAGTCTTCCCATTCACCACCTCTTAGTGCCACTCCCTCAGTGGCTGGCAGGGGAACCTGGGCCTGCCCTCTATGCTGGGTTCCAGCTCAGGGGCTCTCTCAGCAGCAGCCAAGGTCGACCCTAACCCATATCTTGCTGAGTTTCCCCTGAGCCTTTCCTACCTTTCTGGCTCTTCCCCCTTCCCTGGGTTTGCCAACCCAAACTCCCTCCTCCCCAGGAGTGACTGTAGGCTACTCTCTATAGCCCCCAAAACACCTCCCTTCACTGTAGGAGTGACTGCAGACTACTCCCGTACAGCCCCTTTCTGCTTTCAGCTCCTGGGCTTTATACAGGTTCCTCCACTTCCAGTCCAGCTGAGCCTCCTGTCTAATTCCCTGCTCCCAGGTTGCTCCTCCAAGTGCAGCATGGGCAGTTAATTGGGGGTGGACACCCCAACACAGACCTGTTGTACAGAAACTTCAGCATCGTAGCCACAGATCTTTCTATCAGAAGGATCTTCAAAAGTGAAATTTAATAAAGAGCTAAATTCTCTCCTTTGCATATATAAAGCTCCCTCAAAACCAGAGTTGAAGTCAAATTAAGTTGGGTTTTTTTTTATTAGCTTGGACTGGCTGCTTTAGGGGATAGGTACTGGGATACAGAGCCTTTCATCTTGAAGTCATTGGTTCCAATCTGGTGTCCCAGGTCAGTAGCGAGGAAAGTGATTGCCACCTATGGAAAACGAGCTTGCTTCAGTGTACTTTCTAATGGGCACGTGTGTATTTGCACCCATGACGGCAAGTGCCAGAGCAGCCAAGGATTGGAACGTGCTATGGAGACTGAACTACCCTCATTGCTAGATAATTCTTCCAGAACTGGTTTGAGGCAAAGTAGTGTGGTGGGGTATGATGCCGAGGAAGATTGTATTGGTGCTTCCCATCCTGTCCCTCTTCTGTGACTGAAGGGCAGGCCCCAGGGTTGTTGGCCAGGTGCCTTTTAGTATTAAAGGATGTTTCTTCAAACCCTTGTGTGAGGGTCTACAATTGGTGAAGCACAGATTTTAAGAGAAACCTCCCTGATCGTAGCTTCAGGACAATCGCATACATGCTTGCTTTAAAAATCCTGTGTGCATGTTTTGGAATAGACTTCTGGCTACAGATTGAACACCTTTTCTATCCCTTTGTTTTCTCGTCTAGCTGCTGTGAGTGCGTTAGCGAAGTTTGGGGCCCAGAATGAGAGCCTTCTTCCAAGCATCCTGGTGCTTTTGCAGAGGTGAGCAGAGTAAATGCCAGTGTGTGTGCTTTGTTCTTTAATACACTAAACAGGGTCAAGCCAAGTCAGTACTTGACTAGAAGTGAACCAATATGCTGAACAGGAGATAGAGTTGGAAGGTGGCATTATTCCCTTTGAGTCAGTCCTGGTGTTGAACTTGTTCTTAAAACATGCCATTGTGGGTAATTCACCTAGGGGGTGACTTACAGATGTTTTTGCTTTCGTGCCCCATGAAGCAATAGGTACTAACTCACTTTACTGTTATGTTAAGTAACATGCCCAAGGCCAAATAATGACTGCTAGGACTGGAACTCAGATGTTCCAGGCTCCCAGTCCTGTGCAATGTCCAGTAAAACCATCCAGCCTCCTTAATATTCTCTGTACAGTCAGTTGTACCTGTCACCTACACTTACGTAGCACTGCTGTGTATTTTAAAACAATTAGCATGTTTCACTTCAGTGGTGGGCAGCAATTCAATGGGTAATGAAATGTGCTTTGAGGTCTTTTAGGGTGAAAGGTACCCTGTGTATATAGTAGTAATCTACCTAGAACTGAATTCCTAAAAGATGACTGGATAGCCATGTTGATGTATGTGTCCCCGTTCTGTGGTTCATGTATCTGACAATAAAACTTTTTAAAACCCTGTTGGGATTCCCTCCATGACCTCTTTCCATTCAGCTTCCCAAGAACTCGTTTGACTCCAGCCTTCATCTCTCAGATATCATTGTTTGGCATACAGCAGTGCTATGCTGAGTTGACCAAACTCAAATGCAGGGGGGATGGATGCAGGATACATCACCGCTCCAAAGTTATACAGAAACCATCTCCCTTTTTATACATATTTTTGGATTGGCTTTATTACTTTGCAGGAACCAATCCCTGTGCACCATGTGTTGTCCACGCATTGACCGTGGTTTGACTTCCTCTTTACCTCATCTCTACATGACTAACGTCCCTTGTTATCTATTTCATATTAAATAATTCCCTGCGTGTTCTCCCTCTTATCTTAGCTGGCTCAGACATTCAGTCAACTTAGCCTACTGACCTATTTATTTATCTTATTTAGCATAAACATTCTGTTTTCAACCTGATGAGTCATTTATGTCCCTAATTCTATCTTCCAAAAAATGAGGCCTCCCTCCATGTGTTAATTATTCATGTCAGGCCAGGCCGCAGCTACAAACCCCTGTCAGAATCAGTAGCCCCAAAATATGGGCTGCAGGAGTGTTCTTTATGTAACCTGACCCAGGTTTACAGGGTAGCAACCCAATTGTTGGTCTCCTCAGTTTCTTTGATATGTTGCACTTGAGTATGAACTCTTTAAGTGACTGCCGTATACATAATAGAGAAGACTCTTGTGTGCACAAGGAAGCCAAGTGAATTACTGTGCTAAACAGACTTGGATTTTAATATTTTAGAGATGGGGGATGGCACAGAGTATTTACATAGATCACAGCTATAATATTGTGTGAGGTTTTTTCCCCTGTAATCTGTAAATCCATCAGAGGGGTTAGGCTAGCATTGCAGTATCAAGAGCAGACTTTCGTCCCTGGTGCTGGATTTTGAACCATTTTGACCCCAACGCGCTCATTCCCCAAACAGGTGTATGATGGACAGCGATGACGAAGTTCGTGACAGAGCAACATTCTACCTAAACGTGTTGCAGCAGAGGCAGATTGCACTGAACGCTGCCTATATCTTTAATGGTTGGTAATAGAAGTGAATGCAGCACGTTTCTTATTGTACGTTGTTGTTGTTTCATCTTCTGGGTTGATTCCATTACAAATAGCAGTCATTTCCAGTGCAACCCGGATAACTCCAGTCAGGATGTCTGGAATGAACAGAGCCAAACATATGTGGCATTAACACGTCTGAGTAAAGTATCTGAATACTACGTAATGTGTAGTTGCGGAGGGAGTATTGTCTAGTGGCTAGAGCATAGGCACTGGTAGTCAGGATTCCTGGGTTCTGTTTCCAGCATTGCTGTGCTGTGTGACTTTGGACAAGGCCCCTATCCCCCATTTTACAGCGAGTAAGGTGAAAAGGCAATCTTGGTGAGGGGGCTGGTGGTTGGCTGTAAAGTGTTTTGGGGTCCCTGGATGAAATGTTGTACATGCAAAGGATTTATTATTAAGACACAATGTATTTGCAGAACAGTTTGCCATTCCTAGGACGATGTATTCATGCTGCATGTCAACCTTTTCCGTCCTCAGGTGCCATCTATGTGCCAGTTTTCTGTCACTGCCTTGTTGAGAGCAGACTTTTTAAGCTCTTTAACATCTGAAGGCATTTGCAGTGCTCTGCTCACCATGGGGTAAAATGCTTTTTGCCCTCTTCTCTTAAACTAAACCTGGATTGTATTTATGCCAGGCTGTTCCATGCATCCAACTCACTGACACAAACCAACTGCAAGGATGTAGAGGAGTTTTAAACCCTTTCTAACGTATTCCTTGTGTGGTTTCAGAAGAGAGGTAGTTGAGACACAGGCCTGATGATCAAATTCTGGGACTGTTCAACAGCTTCCAATTAAGTAGACAGCCCTAAATTCTTACCAGTGTAGTGAGCACTGTGTGTTCTGCTTCCTCCCCGCACCTTGTAGTTTCTAACGTGAAGCAGACACCCTTTGTATTAATCACCTGTATTTTGCAGGGTTGACCGTCTCCGTTCCTGGGATGGAGAAGGCCCTGCACCAGTACACACTGGAGCCTTCTGACAAGCCTTTTGACATGAAGACAGTTCCATTAGCTACTGCACCAATCTTTGAACAGAAAGCAGGTAATATTCAGGCTTCCTTTAAGTAGCACCTACTAGAGAAGGGGCTGGCTTCATAGACCAAGCATCAAGGTTATGATCCCAATACTTGGGGGACTTCTGAAGCTGCATGCTCCAATCACAGCGGGGTCAGCATAGCCATCACCCTTTGGAGATGGATACATTTAATACCACCTAGCTCCTGGTGTGTTTGGTCTGATGAGGTCCTGTTTGCGTCTCCTTGACACTGGAAAGCAGGGCATTTTCCATACGAACAAGTGGTTTGCCTGCCCCAGTGTCTTTGGCCCAGAGTCTTCTCTCCTACTCTAGTGCAGTGTTTGCTGCTGCCTTCTACCCCAGAGGCGCATGCGTATCCGAGCTGCTGTGTGTGTAATTTATGAACAACTTCTGGATCTTTAAAGGGTTGGAAGAGCTATGTAAACCAAAAATATTTAAAAGGGTTTTGCTAGTTTTCTGTTTCATGCTTAACACATTTCTGATCTCCCAGTGTTTTAGAAATAACTTTTATATAATTCTTTCATGCTAGCCATTAGATCTTGGAGGCTGGGGGAAATTAATGATTTGGAATCAGATTAATGATACAGTCTCCTGAGAACAGAGTAAATAGTAAGCTGGTGCCTTATGAGAAGTGGTAGCCTGTCTTGTGCAATGCTGTGTTCATACAACAAAGCTCAGCTGCTGAATTATGCACAGTAGCTGGAGTGGGCGTGGAGTCGGAGTCAGACCTGCATTCCAAATATGTTTGGTGAAGGCAACAGCGTTGAATTCCTGGCCAAAGGTGGGGTTCTGTTACCGTGATTCACTAATCTCTCTTCTCTTGGGAGGCCACAGATTGCGAGGAGAAGAGGCGATGCTTTGATTAGTGCGTGCAAAAAAGTGGATGAGAAACAACATGCAGTACAATGTGTGGAACACATGACTGCTTAGTGAATCTGTAGGGGAAGATTTAATGGGGCCTGAAATGAGTTTCTGAGGAACTTTACCACACAGTATCTTTGCTTCTCTTCCTGCAGAAATTGCACTAGTGGCCAGCAAGCCTGAGAAAGTTGCTCCGTCCCTCCACGACATATTCCAAGGTATGGGAAGAGGGGATCAATGGTGTCTCCAAAGCAGTGGTCCCCAAACTGTGGGGCATGCCCACCTGGGGGGTACGGAGGGATGGTTTGGGGGCACAGCAGGGCCCATGTCAGCCCTCATGAGGGAGGGGCGGGTGTGCATGGAGGGAGCCCCCCAGCTCCACTCCAGCCCTGCCCCCTGTCGTAGCTGTGGCCCCAGCTGCAGCGCCGCTCCTGGCTGCAGCTCGGCCCCTGCTCTCTGCCCCTGGCTGTGGCTCCACTCTCAGCCTCCAGCCCGGCTGCAACTCCACTTCTGGCCCATGCGGGTGTGGACACATGCCATTACTGGGGGGAGGGGAGACGTGAGAGGAAACGTGTGGGCACCGCTGCTCTAATGCTTGAAGACCAGTGGAGGGAGGTGTGGATATGCCAAGTATTTTACCACTGGTGTAGGGAAGGAGGTGATTCTCAGACCCGTCACCGGAAGGTGTCTAACACTGTCCATCTGTTTCTGTGCAGAGCAACTGGCTGCCATTCCCGAGTTTAAGAGCTTGGGTCCCTTATTCAAGTCATCTGAGCCAGTGCAGCTTACAGAGGCAGAAACAGAATACTTTGTGTGCTGTACTAAGCATGTGTTCACTAATCATATGGTTTTCCAGGTAAGACAAGTACATTTGCTGGAGTTCCAAAGGGACCCTTCAGAAACTGGGTATTTCATGAATGCATTGGTATTTAGTGTGTGCTGGAGAAGAACATCCTGTCCTAGTGGGAGCTATAGTGGTGACCAAGTTGAGTCTTTGTGACACCTGGAGACCTCCAGTCTTCTGCTTCTAGGCTAGTGAAGAGCAGTCTTGTCCTGAAAATGAAGAGTGTGGGAGACATGAGTCAGTCTGTAGAGTTCTCCCTGCCATCAGGACCACAGAGAGCATGATTGGTAATGAGGTGGGATGTTCTCCATGTTTATGGCAATACGGTAGCTGATTTCAGAAAATGTTTAATGAGAAGTGTTTGCACTCAAGTCCCCTCCTCTTTATGCTTCACTTTTGCAGTTCGACTGCACAAACACTCTAAATGACCAGTTGTTAGAGAGGGTCACTGTGCAGATGGAACCATCGGATGCTTACGATGTGATTCGCTCTATCCCAGCAGCCAGCCTTTCTTACAACCAGCCGGGCATGTGTTACACTCTCGTCCGACTGCCCCAGGATGATCCCACTGCAGGTACCAAATGGAAGGATAATGTTTTGCATGTGTAGGCCACTTGAATGACTTCTCAAAGAAACGCTGGCGAGATGCTTAGGATTTGCATTTAATGTGTTAATTTTGTATGTCTTGATGTTAGATTCTACCATTGTTTTGTTTTTGTTTTCAAGTTTCACTATCACTAGTATAAAGAAAAGGAGGACTTGTGGCACCTTAGAGACTAACCAGATTTATTTGAGCATAAGCTTTGGTGAGCTACAGCTCACTTCATCGGATTCCACTGAATGCATCAAATAGATGTGTTAGTCTCTAAGGTGCCACAAGTCCTCCTTTTCTTTTTGCGGATACAGCCTAACACGGCTGCTACTCTGTAAACTATCACTAGTGTTCTGTGTAGGATCTACAGTTAGTCAAAATAATATATACACTTCGAAATACATACAGCTACACTGGATGATGGAAAGAAAAATATGTTAAAGGAGGTGGAGCAATGCAGTTAATAACAAGGGGACACTGAGTTTTCCTTGTTGTCTTGAGGTTATTAAAGCAGCAAACTGGAAAATATGGACACTGCCTGAAACGAAACACAGGAGCAGAATCAGCCTAATGTTGCCCTTTTTCGACCCGAGTAGCTTTGGGGCCGTGGGGAATGTTGGGAGTAGAAATTGTGGCTAGGTGTTTCTTCGACACAGGTTTGTGTATTTACAAAGAACGATCAAAGCCCTGCGTCTCTGAGTGCAGAAGGAATCAAATAGCATGAAACAGCTTCTTTTGCTCACAGCACCAGGAACGCTCTTTTCAGCCTGCCCACATCCCCCTGACCCAAAAACCTCTACCCAGATTTCTTCCGGGGTCGGATGCTGTGCTTTCAGCTGTTCCTTCCGTATGGCTACATCCCTCTCCCTGTCTTAGCTCCACCCATTGCCCTTTTGGCGCCCAAAATGGTGGCGGCCCCCTATATGGCCCGTTTCAAACAGAAAGAAAACAGTTTAACAAATTACAAATGATACAAGGTTAATTATTTACAGGTGTGCTCTGTCTTTCTATCAAGATGTTTTCACATCACCAACCCAAATTGATTCCTTATTTCCACCCAACCCGCTGTGGGCTATTTCGCTCTCTGCTGGACTTTCTTACCACCACCAGGGTGTGAGGGAGCAGGCCCCATTCAGCCAGCCCCTCTGGAATGTCATTTCTGTGTCATTTACTGGCTGTTCTATTTGAATGGGGGAATTCACCTCTGGAACTTTTCCAGACTCAACTTGCACAGGTACAGTCTCAGATTCAGGAGAGGTAGCCAAGCTGTCCCCCCAAACTGTAAGCAGTAGCATCTGTGTCCAGTATGAAGGGGGTTTTGAACCAAGGATAGGCCAAAACAGGAGCAGACCCAAGAGCCTTTTTCAGCTCTAAAAAATGCTAAATCCCGCCCTGCTGACCACTGAAATGGTTTCCCTTTTTCTTACTATTTTCTGCTTGTCAGAAAAATTCAGCAAACAAATAGGGATTAGTTCTTGTTTCAGAGCTGCAAGAGCTTTAGTAGCAAAGATTGCCCTGAAACCCTGCGTCTCAAAACGGGTTTTAACAAACCTCTATCTTTCCCTTGCTATGAAATGCAAGCCAATTATTAGCTCATCCACTGTTTCAGCCACTCAGATGTCTTGTTCAAATTCAGTGGTCCAAGCTTCAAACCCAATTTTCGGATAGGTGCCCTTGTCCCAATCACTGTCTCCATTTGAGACCAATTAGGTGGTTCAGTTTTGGATCCCCTGTTCCCTAGGCTTTTTAGTATGCCTGGTCTAATAACTTGTCAGTTATTCCTGTACACATCATGGATCCTGTTACTCACTCAATAGCTAAACTCTTGTTACTGTTGTTTAACTGCCCACGTCTAAACAGAGACCGCGGTGACTGATCTTTGTACCTCCACCAAGCTTTGCCCCTTTAGCCTGGTGTTACCTCTTTTCCCGAACTGGGAGAGAGTCATTCCCTAGACGCTTGTGATACTCTGTCTTGGCCTGCCTTAAATTTGTAACCGTCCTCCTTTTTGTGGCCCATTTTGCCAGAGTATCAGCATTCAGCTGAACTGTTTCCTTTAATTTTTGCATTATTGCCAATTTCCCTTGGTTTATGAACTGAATGTATCAGTTTTTGTAATTGTTCGATAAGGTAATGAACCAGATCAGAATCCCCTCTTCCATCAGATGTATTAGACATAGAGCTGTAGTGACAGGGCTTGTAACACTAATTCAAACTGAAATGAAAAGATGGCCAGAAAGATGGGCCTCACAGTGTCTCTAGGTGTAAAGGAGATTGAGATGTTTTACTGGTGCAGTTCTCTGTCCCATACACTGGGTTAAAATCATTGATGTATGGGATTGAGAGAATTTTCTTCCAGGGTAGAAGAGGCTGTTTTTTGCCTTTCATTCATAGTAAAAATCCCACTGGGCTTGAGATTAGTTTAACTTGGTTAAATATTTGATTTGGGACTGGATTTTTTGTTACAATTTAATGTCATTAGGAAGTTTTAGAATTAGGCTGGACCACTGAAGTGTGGTTCAGGTTTCTAGATCATAGTCGGTATGGCAAGAGAACATTGCAGTGGTTTCTAATGGCTATGAACACCTATCTGATCTGACTCCAAAGTGTTAAAGGGCATTGGCTGGTCCCAGTGTGCTTTAATTTCTGCATATTCCCTGTCTGAGAAACTTCCCTTACCCTAAATTTAGTGTAAAATTCCCCAATAAACTCTCTCTCTAAATTGTGGTGTTAATTCCCAGGCTACCTGGGGAACCTGCTACATCTCTATCTTGGGGAGGAGATCATTGGTATGGCTATTGCTATTCCCTTTATGGGAAAGGAGAGCGTCAGCACTCAGTTTAGACAAATTTCAGAGTAACAGCCGTGTTAGTCTGTCTTCGCAAAAAGAAAAGGAGTACTTGTGGCACCTTAGAGACTAACCAATTTATTTGAGCATGAGCTTTCGTGAGCTACAGCTCACTTCGTCGGATGCATACCGTGGAAACTGCAGCAGATATTATATACACACAGAGATCATGAAACAATACCTCCTCCCACCCCGCTGTCCTGCTGGTAATAGCTTATCTAAAGTGACCATCAAGTTGGGCCATTTCCAGCACAAATCCAGGTTTTCTCACCCCCCCACCCCCATACACACACAAACTCACTCTCCTGCTGGTAACAGCTCATCCAAAATGACCACTCTCCCTACAATGTGCATGGTAATCAAGGTGGGCAAAGAAACTACACGCTCCTGATTCTCTCCCCTTTTCCCAGTCGCTTGTACTTTCAGCTGCACAATGAAATTTACAGTCCGAGACTGCAACCCAAACACAGGGGTGCCAGAGGACGATGGCTATGATGATGAATATGTGGTAAGTTCAGTCTTGTTTGCCGCACCTAAAGTGTGTGCGTCTTCCTGTCCCTGTGGGATTCTGATCACTCTGCCATAGTCTCCTTTTGTGTCTTCCCTACCCCCCACTCTTTTCTGCTACCCTCCTGCCTGGAACACCATCCCAAAATCATTCCAGCTGTTCACTCTTTGCCTTGTTCAGATCCCTCCTAAAACCTCGCTTCTGCCAAATCTTTGTGCGGTGACTCCATTTACGTGTACTTTGTTCATCTTATTTGTGTGACCCTGTCCAACCCTACCCCCACCCTATTTTGTTTGCCTGCACTCTTGTGTCATGTCTGCATTCTAGATTAGAAGCTCCCTGTGGCTTGACTCTCTGTTCAGCGAGGTGCATGTGTTGGCATACAAAGTAACTCCTCAGGCTTTGGGGAGTTGAAGTCTTCCCTTGTGCTCTTGGCTTCTTGCAAGGTAACTTCTCCTAGTTTTATAATAGGATCTAGAACGTGTCCTCCAGTTGTAGTAATTGAGCATGCTTCTTGGATGGCACCTCTGCTAGGGAGCTCATTTCACTGACATTTGTTTAAAAGTCTTGCTAATAAAGCCCACAAGCATTATTTTGCCTCTACTTTCTAGGGCCTTCATGCACATGTTAAACTGCAGCTATCCTCTGAAATGAGTCTAGAGTACTGGGCCTGTACCAGTCATAACTATATCCTATGCTGCTGTCTTCCTCCCCGCTCTGTAAGCCTATGTCTGCACTTCAAGCTGGAGGTGACATCTGCAGCTGCGGTAGACGTGTGTGTGAACTCTTTCAAGCTAGTGAGGTAAAAACAACATATTGCTGTGGTGGTGTGAGCAGCGGGATGGGCTAGCCGCCCTGAGTACAGTCGCCCTTGGGACCCTGGGGCTGTACTCAGGCAGCTACTCTGTCCTGCCGCAGAGGCTGCAGGGCTATTTTTAGTGCAGTAGCTCAGTCTGAGCTAGTGTGTACATCTGCCCAAGCTGGAAATTACACCTCCAGCTCGAAGTGTAGACGTACCATAAACTGAAGATCCTTTTGTGTGTGACTCTGTGCAGCCCCAAATTCTCCCTTGTTTCTCCGCCAGCTGGAAGATCTGGAGGTAACAGTGTCAGATCATGTTCAGAAGGTCCTAAAGCCCAACTTCGCAGCTGCCTGGGAGGAAGTAGGAGATGACTTTGAGAAAGAGGAAACCTTTGCGCTCAGTTCAATTAAAACCCTTGATGGTGAGATGATCCCTTCTCCCTAATTGTTTGGTAACCCAGACGGGACACTGTCCAGCTACGGAAACAATGTGTGTGGTGTTCGGGGAGAGACTTTTTATGCTAGTTTAGAAAGATCCTTCTGGGGCCTGGTAAATTTGAGTACCCATAGTGTGGCAGCTGCATGGCTGTGTGCTGCAATGATGGGTTTGGAAACCACCCACCTCCCTTCTGAAAAGTAGTGGCTTGGGGGAAAAGTTGCACTTTTCAGTGACTATTTGTGATGGGGGAAGAGGTAATGAAAGGTTGGCAAGTCCCCAAGGCTTCGCACCCCACTTAATGAGCTAGATTGGCTAAACCCTAAGTCATGCTCAGAACATGTTCTCTAACTGTGAATTAAAGTTGCACAGGAAACTTGACATCAGAATGTTAACAGACTATGTAAAAATAACCTTTTTTTCCTCTTTAAATCTCTCAATGCAGAAGCTGTCAGTAACATCATCAAATTCCTGGGCATGCAGCCATGTGAGAGGTCCGATAAAGTGCCAGAGAACAAAAATTCCCACACGCTGTATCTAGCTGGTAAGCATCCACCACTGATGGGTTTGTTTCCATACTCCTCTGCAACACAAACTTATTACACTGAAATTTCCAGGGGGTCAAGAGATTGTTTTCAAATACTGAGAGAGAATGGATTACAGAGCTATGTACAACAGCACGTTGCCTTTACAGGGTGCTGTTAGGTGCACCTCAGCCTAAACCTTTCCATCTTTTCTTTCCTTGCTGCTTTTTGTCAGCAGGAAGTGTATTAAACCTCTTTCTGAAAGGATCTAACCTGCAGTCAAATGCTAAATCTAAGCTCCTTACCCATCTCCAGTAGCTTTCCAGGGGCAGGCCAGAACACCCCAGAGCACTTCAGTTTCCTGGTGCATCTTCTTGCTCACTAAAAACCTGCCCTAACACTCCAGGCACTTATTTGGTGACACACTCCCTGTTCCTCTCACATTTTGGGGATACACGAAATGGGAAAGACTCAACTTATTTCTACTCTGCTATTAACTTATTAACTCTACTTATTCTGCTATTAACAGTAAAATAGAAAATTGCATTTAAAACTATAGTATCCAGTTCTCAGGGCTCAGATTCTGTATCTGCTCCGTGCACAGAATTCCTAGCGACTCCAGTGGGAGTTTGTATATACAGTGACTATTAAATAGGGTTTGGAACACAGTTCTGTACATAGAGCCCTAATCCTTAGGAAAATGGCTAATTCTCCAGGGTTGCTTTAATGTCGCAAGGGGCACAGTGGTAGGAGGAAAGGCTCAAGTGAGTCCTGACAGGCTCTTCCTTTCTCAGCTGTGGCTCGGAACCCAGAGCAGCTCTGCTTATGGGCATGTAGCAGGAATGATCACTACCTCTTTGGAGGGGCCTGGGCTTCAGGTGCTAGCCCTGTGTTTAATCCACTGTGTCACACATTTTAAACCTGAATCTATTTGACATTAGCAGTCTTTAAGGAGGGTGTGTCTGAATCTTGTTACTTGGCTGAAAGCATTTGTTCCATTCTGTAGGTGGCTGCAGCTTTAACTAATTCTTCCATTATTTAGGCTGTGGCTGTACAGCTGTCAGGTTCACAGGCTGGGCTTTGAGTCACTGAAGGGTAACTACTGGAGCTATTTCATTAATCTACTCAAAATCCTGCTCTTTGTCCCCAGGTGTGTACAGAGGTGGCTATGATGTGCTGGTGAGATCCAGGCTGGCATTAGGTGATGGAGTGACCATGCAGGTGACTGTCAGGAGCAAGGATGAAACACCAGTAGATGTCATCTTGGCCTCTGTAGGCTAAGTCATGCTATTTTTAATACCTGCAGGGGGATTTCACCTCAAGGATCTTAAACAGCCTGGCTCTGTCCTGTCTGACCTTCTGCATGGAGTTTTTATTCTTTGTCATTTTGTATGAGGTTGCAGTAAGGGCAGCTCTGGCTGGTCTCTGTAACATACTTAATGCTGGATCTCACCCCTACCCTGGTCATCAGTTATATGTTCCTCTGACTGATTGCATCTGTGGACCTTACAAGACTTGATAGGGGATAAAAACAAACTGGAATTAGTCTTTTGTCAAAACAGATTTTTATTAACAGAAAATAAACATTGATCATTCCAGTTTCAAGTTGTTGAATTGTTGCTAATAAAATAGAATCGTTAAAAGTTTTGCCATAGCAACTGACAAACCTCAGTTCAGCACAAAGCAGCCCCTACTGGAAAACCTTTCCTCTTGATGGGATGCTAGTAACTAGAAATCTGTTCAGTTGCAAAAAGCAGTGGTTCTCAGTCCTGCCAATGTGGCTTGACATGTTTCTGCCTCTGGTGCTGTGTGAAGGGCATACAACTTCAGTGCTGGAACAACTAAGTAAAGTTTAGAAGTACGACATGACTTCAGTTCTGAACCTTCAGCCTAAAACTGAGTTAAACACTGCCCCTTTTAAGGGCAGGACTTGCAACTCTTTAGGAAAGATACTATTTTCCCCAGTAGGAGGTCACATAAAGCCTCTGTGTGCAGCAGAGCCCCTACTCGGGGTTTTTTAAAACTTGCTTTTAATACTTTATAAATTCCTGGGGTTTTAAGTAGTTATTGCTTTAATAGTGGCAATCAGTTTTAGGATTGTTAAGCTATGTGTATACTACACAATTTATCTAACACTTCAAGTAAAGAGCCCTCTTGACTTTATGCTTCAGGCTGATTCTGGCACTGTAGAGGCTACAGTGCAATTTAATTTGCCCCTTACTATGTTATGGAGTTGACTACTACTAATAGTGGTTAAGGAAACTTGCCTTTTAGGACTGTTCCACACTTACATTTTACTGGCATAACTGGGCTAGTCAGGGGAGATGCTGTGCCAGTAAAAGCCCTTCTGTAGACAGTACTACCAAGAGAAGTGCTCCTACCCCAGTATAACTATTCACACGAAGGGGATTTTGCTGCCCTAACTAGAACAGTATAGTTAATGTGTAGACAAGCCCTTCCAATGAAGAATTAGGTAACCATGCCTGACAACTAATTATAATGTAGATATTTTCCCATTTTAAAACTTGTCTGTTCAGTAGCTCAGTTAAATGCACTTTCAGAGAAGAGAAAGATCTACTGTGCCACTTACTGTTCTAGAAACAAGCTAATTGGCATGTGGCTTCCTGGAATAGGCCGGGCTTCTTCTGGCCACAAGGAGAGGGAAGGAGTCTTGGAATAGCATGATTAGCCCTCCCCCTGTGACCTACCACTAGTTCCCTTCTGGCCCAGGACCAGCACTACTATCAGTAACTTCCCTTGGATGTTCACAGTGTCTTTCACAACTCCCTCGAGGTTAATCTTTCCCAGTGTCCAAAGGTTCAGTTCCTTACACATATGCAGCAGTCTAACATACCCAAAGATCACTCTGCACAGGAAAGGTAAGTGTCCGGTCTGGAAATAAAAGCAGGATCTTTCCCAAACACCTCTGAGCCAAAGCATGAGAGGGAAAGACCACGTAGCTGCTCAGAAGGAGTTGATGAAGTTCAAATATGCATTCAGGAAGCCCATAGGATCTTCAAGCTGTGGATAGTGGCTAATGTGGTCATCCAGAACAGAGACTGTAGACATGGGAAGCACCTTCCTGTTGAAAGAATGGAACAGCTAGTAACTGCATGCTCAATAGAGAGCCGGCACTGGAGTAGACAGGTAATCAGACTAGGCTTCAAGACTGCTCCAAGGGGTGGAGTGGTCCATACAACTGCAATAAGATTTTGTGATCCTGTGTGGCCATTCTTAACCAAAGGGGTACCTCTACTAGCATGGGCATTACATTATCACCCACTTAGTCTGCATGCTTTTATACCACCACTGTGTTTTTGCCAGGCACTGTGCCAAAGAAAAAAATCAATTGAAATATAAATATTGTACTGACATTCCAGTGAATATAGTAGAGCAGTATAAACAAGTCATTGTCTGCATTAAATTTTAGTTTGTACTAGAGCTGTCAAGTGACTGAAAAAATTAATCGCACTGTTAAACAGAATACCATTTCTTTAAATATTTTTGGATGTTTTCTACATTTTCAAATATATTGATTTCAATTACAACACAGAATACAAAGTGTAGAGCACTCACTTTATTTATTACAAAAATTTGCACTGTAAAAAATAGTATTTTTCAATTCACCTAATACAAGTAGTGTAATGCAATCTCTCTATCATGAAAGTTGAACTTGCATAGAATTATATACAAAAAAACCTGCATTCAAAAACAAAATGTAAAACTTTAGATCCTACAAGTCCACTCAGTCCTACTTCTTGTTCAGCCAGTCGCTCAAACAAATTTGTTTACATTTGCAGGAGATAATGCTGCCCACTTCTTTTTTAATATCACCTGAAAGTGAGAAAAGGCATTTGCATGGCACTGTTGTAGCCGGCATTGCAAGATATTTATGGCCAGATGTGCTAAAGATTCAAACGTCCCTTCAACCACTATCCCAGAGGACATGCTTCCATGCCAGTGACAGGTTCTACTTGATAACTATTCAAAGCAGGCAGACTGACACATGTTCATTTTCATCATCAGAGTCAGATGCCACCTGCGGAAGGTTGATTTTCTTTTTTGGTGGTTCGGGTTCTGTAGTTTCCACATTGGAGTGTTGCTCTTAAGACTTTTGAAAGCATATTCCACACCTTGTCCCTCTCAGATTTTGGAAGGCGCTTCAGAGTCTTAAACCTTGGGTCAAGTGCTGTAGTTATCTGATAGAAAACTCACATTGGTACCTTCTTTCCATTTTGTCAAATCTGTAGTGAAAATGTTCTTAAAACAAACATGTACTGGGTCATCATCCAAGACTGCTATATCATGAAATATATGGCAGAATGAGGGTAAAACAGAGCAGGAGACATATAATTCTCCCCCAAGCAGTTCAGTCACTAAATAATTAACGCATTATTTTTTTAACGAGCATCATCAGCATGGAAGCATGTCCTCTGGAATGGTGGCCGAAGCATGAAGGGGCATACAAATGTTTAGCATACCTGGCACGTAAATACCTTGCAACACTGGCTACAAAGTACCAAGCAAATACCTGTTCTCACTTTCAGGTGACATTGTAAATAAGAAGCAGGCAGCATTATATCCTGTAAATGTAAACAAATTTGTTTGTCTTAGCAATTGGCCGAACAAGGAGTAGGACTGAGTGGACTTGTTAGGCTCTAAAGTTTTACATTGTTTTGTTTTTGAGTTCAATTATGTACCAAAAAATCTACATTTGTAAGTTGCACTTTCACAATAAAGAGGATGCACTACAGTTCTTGTAGGAGGTGAACTGAAAAATACTATTTCTTTTGATTTTTACAGTGCAAATATTTGTAATAAAAATATAAAGTGAGCACTGTACACTTTGTATTCTGTATTGTAACTGAAATCAAAATATTTAATACATTTCAATTGGTATTCTACTGCGATTAATAGCCCTAGTTTGTACTCTGCTAGTGCTTTTTATGCAGCCTGTTGAGAACCACTGCCATAGAGTATGGGCTATACCGTAATCATAGAATCATAGAATATCAGGGTTGGAAGGGACCCCTGAAGGTCATCGAGTCCAACCCCCTGCTCGAAGCAGGACCAATTCCCAGTTAAATCATCCCAGCCAGGGCTTTGTCAAGCCTGACCTTAAAAACCTCTAAGGAAGGAGATTCTACCACCTCCCTAGGTAACGCATTCCAGTGTTTCACCACCCTCTTAGTGAAAAAGTTTTTCCTAATATCCAATCTAAACCTCCCCCACTGCAACTTGAGACCATTACTCCTCGTTCTGTCATCTGCTACCATTGAGAACAGTCTAGAGCCATCCTCTTTGGAACCCCCTTTCAGGTAGTTGAAAGCAGCTATCAAATCCCCCCTCATTCTTCTCTTCTGCAGGCTAAACAATCCCAGCTCCCTCAGCCTCTCCTCATAACTCATGTGTTCCAGACCCCTAATCATTTTTGTTGCCCTTCGCTGGACTCTCTCCAATTTATCCACATCCTTCTTGTAGTGTAGGGCCCAAAACTGGACACAGTACTCCAGATGAGGCCTCACCAATGTCAAATAGAGGGGCCACGATCACGTCCCTCGATCTGCTCGCTATGCCCCTACTTATACATCCCAAAATGCCATTGGCCTTCTTGGCAACAAGGGCACACTGCTGACTCATATCCAGCTTCTCGTCCACTGTCACCCCTAGGTCCTTTTCCGCAGAACTGCTGCCTAGCCATTCGGTCCCTAGTCTGTAGCTGTGCATTGGGTTCTTCCATCCTAAGTGCAGGACCCTGCACTTATCCTTATTGAACCTCATCAGATTTCTTTTGGCCCAATCCTCCAATTTGTCTAGGTCCTTCTGTATCCTATCCCTCCCCTCCAGCGTATCTACCACTCCTCCCAGTTGATGATACACCATGCGTGGTCAGATGTCCCTTAGACTGAGTGAGAGCCCAACTAAAGTGTCCACTGCCAGAAGCCACCCCAGGAAGAGAGCTGCTCCTTCAATTTATAGCAAAGGTCTCAAATTTTTCAGGCATGTTTTACTTAATCCTAGCCATTAGATCAATTACAAATTTAAGATCCTGCTCAGACTATAGTTTACCCCAAACCTATTCCTTAACTGAATCCACACCAGACTGGAACTCTCATCTCCCCTTGACAGATTCTTCCAAATTCACATTCAGCAGTGGGAGATTTCCAGTTATTCCTGGTTATGTACTGAAACACTGAACAATTTAATGATCTCATACAGAGATGAAGAAAAGTCTAATGCTGTCATTTTCAAATGGATGATTAGTTCGGATCCTAAACTCAAGTCATCTAAAATGAGTGGTGTTTTGAGACGTGTTGAAACGACCGCAGCAACCAGTGACTTCCCGTGCTTTCACCACAGCAGCCACTGCATCAAAAATCAGTCTCTAGCTGTGCCTAAAATGTGGCCATGAGACTTACCTGTAGAGCTGAAGAAACTCTGGATATGGATTTACAGGATCCAAGGGCCCATAGATTAGATGCACTGCAAACGGGAAGAACACAAACAGCTTCCATCCACCAAGTTGTCCACATGCACAGTACCTTTACCCACGCAAGAAATCCCTCATTAAAGCCAGCAGCCACTGGAGACGTGAGAAGCTTTCTGCCTTGGAAGTATATTCTCAAAAAGGCACGAGTGTTTACAACCAGTGTGAGTGGGGTATTTTTCACTAGCTTGTGTGGTAGCCAGGAAGCTGTAGCATAGCATTTGAGGGGGGTGAGAGTTCAGTGCTCCGGAAAGTGACGGGATTGACTGACTATCTAGGGGGAAACTGTAAGGCACATGCTTGACACAATCAAAGTGTAACATGAAAGCCTGGGCTGAGCACAGAGACTGCACACAAGTGAAACCTCAAGAGTGAGACCCTTGCACGCTGAAGAGGAAAGTCAGGCCCTTAAAGGCTTGTCTGCTCACACAGATTGTAAACACTTCATACCAATATAGTTAAAGCAGCACAGCCCCCTTAGGGTGGGTGCAGTTATTGGTATAAAGGTGCCTTCTTGAGCTATAGGCTTCTTAATGAGAGCAAGTTCTACCATCGTAAGGCACCTTTACACCAATGCAGCTGTGGCCACTAGAGGTTTTACTGCTTTAACTGGAATCAGTTTAAAAAAAAGTCTCCTCTCAACCATGATAGTGCTGGTACCAAACCTATGCACAGCCCAGGCCTAACTTCATCAGCCCTAGTTAACGAGTTCATTTCCATGCCGCGAGCAGCGTCAGATGCCCACCCGGAGCCGTAAGTGAATCTCATTTTGCCTTGCCAAGGGCAGCTCCCTTATACTTTGCACTACTCTAGCCCTTTTCCCCCTTGGATCTCAAATCCTCCGAGGTAGATGTGGGGGTTCACAGAGGTTCTCCACCCTCCACTGAAATGCAGCCATCTCATGGGGCTGGGGGATGACATTGCAGCTGTTTAACAGAGCAGCTGAAGGCAGGGAATGACAATACATTAAGTTGGATTGTAACGTTCCTATTTCTTCAAGCTGCCCTTCCCCAAAGCACATTACACGCAGCTAAGCAACTGTCTCAGCAAGCTCCCTCCTCCCCCTCCCCATGTAACAAGGCTAATCAGATTAAACAAATGACCTATAATAAAGTCACAGGAAGCTCTAGATGGGAAGTCATAGGAGATTGAAGATGCTTCTCTATCTTCAAGGCAGGTTCCTCTGAAATGAACATCCCCACCCCAAACGGCACCCAACCTTTCCCTGGGGGCCTGAAGAGTCTCCCGAGTTTGAGGAGTGCCTAGGCTTTTCAGGGGCAAACCTGACACCCCCAATAGGTGTTACAGATCTGCAATAGGATCCAAAGTGCCTCAAAGGAATTGGCTTAGACGAGAATTACACTGGTTACAATCCTGCCACTGGCTCCCCAATGCCTCAAGTTCAAGCTCCTTATCCTCATACTCCAGGCTCTATCACCCATTCCCCTCCCTGAACCACTGCTGCCAGCCTTTGTTCCCTTCTCCCACTCACATCTGTGCATTCGTCCACACTACTGGCCTCCCTAAACGATTTCACCAAATCGTCCCCATGGCTCATTCAAATCCCTTCCAAGAACTCACTTCTGCCATGGCATTTACAACTTGCTATAGACAGAAAGCAGGGCTGATACCCTGGCCGCTCCAAAACTTCAACGGCCCTTGGGTACCAGTCCCTGCATTTGGCAACTCCAACAAGGATGTGTAGAAAAAAATGCAAGCTGTAAGGCACAGTCCTGCAAGGGAGCAAAGATACGCTCCAGTGTCACATGGGACTAAAATCCTGGCTGGTCCCAGTGTGAAAGTGTAAAGGTCATACATCAAGTGCCGTGCTTGGAGGCTTGGACTCCGCAGGCTGGATAGACACCAGTCAAGGCATTTCCCCAAACTAATAACTCAGAGGAAACTATTTCCTACTTACATGGAACAGAGGTGGATGTCAGAGCCCCAATCCAACGGTCTCTGTGCTTCTCTCTTTGATTTATATACTGTAAAATACTAAAGAACAAGTGTCTCATTAGAGAGATGACAGGGCTTGATCAAACAAAGGGACATTTTAAACTTACACTTTCAGAATTGGTCGAACAAGGATTAGCAGTAAAGACCTGCCCATGGTCATGTCATCCAGCAACAGCACAGAATCCGAGTGGAATCGGTGTCAGTTACCTGGACAGGCTGCTAAAGCTGCAACAGAAGTGCAGTGTTTCCCCCTCCTCACCTCTCCCCGTGACTCCGTAGTGCTGGTGAAAGCTGCTGGATTCAGAGGCCTGGAGACTGAATTCTTCTGTCCCCAGAATAGGTGCAAGCTTCCCCCTTACTGCTCAGAGAGCACGTCTCAACCCTGCCCCGGAGAAACCAGCTCTAAATGAGAGAGGGAACTTCCATCTCCAGGGCCACACAGGTCTTGGTCTCTCTGCTGAGATTGCCATGGGGATGCCAAGTGGTGTGGTGTGGTCATGGGTCCCCTAGGACTGGACTGAGACCAAAGCTTCCCTACACTGAATTCTGCCGAGCCGCATCAAGCATTAGTTCTCCAGGCCAGGAAGATTCCTCTGCGTTTTCTGCCTGGAGAGACGTGCTGTAATAAGAAAGATACTTTCCAATTCCGTCTAAGGATCATGAAGCCCTTTACAACCAACCACACAACTCCCGTGTAAAGTTGGCATTAGCCCCTACATTTCACACAAAGCATGTAATAGTCTGATCTGCAGGGTTGCTGTGCTCCCCCGGCCCCCACTGACTTCAATGGGAAGCACAAGTGCTCAGCACCTCTGAAGCATCCAGTCACAAGTGACTTGCTCAAGGTCAAAAAATGATTCTTTGGCAGAGCCTGGGTCTCCTCACACCCAGTTCTGTATTTGAACCACAAGAGCATCCTTCTTCCCTGAGCCCAGCTCAGGCAGTTCTGGAGATTATTTTTAACTGAGCCCTTAAAAAGGGGCCCAACAATTTGATAGAAAAATTTAAGAATCCCAAACAGGCTGCACAGTCTCCCATTGTACAAAACGCAAGTGGGTGGTTCTGCCAAGTACGCAGCGTCTAATTAGTGTTAAAACATTTCAGAGGAGAGACTTCACCAGGTCTGGGTAGGAAGTGTGTTTTCTCCTCTGTGTGTTACAATTAGCCCCATCTGCTCCTGGCCTGCCTCAGTTTGGACTGGAAGTCACTGGCCTCTGATTCTCCCACAAGCCGTTCACAGCACAACTGGCTAGGAACATTATTTGACAGGTGGCTCAGGGATGAAGCAGCAGCTGAGGTGGGGAAATGTGCCTACATCCAAAGCAGGAAATAAGGATAATTGCTGGAGTCAGGATACCACATCAGAAGGCTCCATAGTGTGTTCCCGTATGGCAAATCCTGTGCTCCTAAAGCTCTAAGTGTCTTAGCCAAGACTGCTGCCCAGAGGCGAAGTATAATGTAGTAGCCAATTCCTTTTTGTGTAGAAGCAGGGAGTCAGCATATTCCAATGACTGAGGGCCTGTCTACACTGCAAACTTAAGGCAACCTATGTTAGGTTGACTTACAACCACCCTAGTAATTACTGCAGTGGTTCGTGTCCTCACTACTCTCCTGGCAGTGCTGCATGTCCTCACCAGGAGCGCTTCCACTGACCTAAGAGGGGCAGTATGGAGGGCTGAGCCTAGGCTTGCAGCTCCACACGCAACTCCCTGCCGGGAGTTCGGCTGCCCCGCGGGTTCCCTGCCCCCCTAGCCTCTCGGCTCCCTGCTGGAAGCACGGCAGCCACCCAGGCTCCCAGGAGGGAGCTCTATATCTGGAATCCCGGCAGGGAGCTCCATACCCGGAACCCAGGTGGCTGCCAGGTTCCCGGCAGGGAGCCAGGAGCCTCAGTGCAACCGGGCTCCCAGCGGGCAACAGAGAGCCTGGGCAGCTGCCCATCTCGGAGCCAGGAGTCCAGGCAGCAGCCCAGCGGGGAACAGGGAGACTGGGGAGCAGCCTGGTCAGGCGCAGGGAGCCCAGCAGCAGCCAGGCTCTAAGCTGGAGGTCCCCACCTACCCCAGGGTGACAGCCCAAGCTGGGGACCTTGTTTTCCTATCAATTTCACAGCTCCAGCAGGGTGCAATGAAATTGACAAGAATGACAGCCAACAGCCGATGCAGGTAACCCACAGAGTCTACACAGATACTGTGTCGCCCTAACTACACCGACATAAGTCCTACGCCTCTCGTGGAGGTGTAATTATGATGTCGGTGTAGTTGGGCACTTACATAAGCAGGAGCAAGGCTGTAGCACGTACACCATCGTAATTAGGTCGACAGAAGCTGCCTTATATCAACCTAACTCTGTAGCATAGACCTGGCCCGAGTCATGGGACTGGACCTTGGGCCTCAGTTATACCAACAGTAAATGGGGATAATGGTACCAACCTACCCTGCTGAAGTACTTTAGCTCTACATTACAGAAGTACAAACCTGCTTTTAAACATACAAGACTCAACTATTATATCCACACATGCAGCTTGATTACCACTGTGAAGCACAAACTCCCTCCTCACACGCCCCCGGGCTTCTGGCCGAGGGCAGTAACTGAGCTCACAGCTATTGGTTACCACGAGGCTGCTTTAAAAACCCCCAAAGTGCTCGATTCCAGCCATCAATGCAAAACTAGGAATCCAACATCTGAAATGCGATCTCTCTACTGTGCTGGCATTCTTGTACTGTCTGAATGGAGGAAACTGAATCGCAGACAGTCAGATCTGAAAACTCTGGGGTTCATATTACAGGCAGTACACTGGGTTCTGTGTTGCCTTTTCACCTAGATAGGAAGTGGTTTCAGTTTACTACAGAAGAGGACACGGTAGTAAGGCACCTTCACAGGGAAAGGGCATGTGAGAGAGGAAATATAATCACAATATTTGGCTCTCTCTATCTTACTGTTACAACTTTAACTCCAAATACTTCTAAGCCCCCCTCCTCTCAGTGACAGCCAGCTCCTCAGATCCGTGGCTCTCGATCTGACAGCTGCAATGCTGTTTTATGAGGGCCATACCATTTTCTTAAAGGAACTAAAGCTTGCATTTAAAAAACAAGGTTTCCAGTTGTTCTGGTTGCAGAGACCCATCCAAGCATGGATATCCACATTAGTTAGGTTTACTGAACATACAGTGCCAGGGAGTGCAAATCCATATCACGATCAGCCAAAATCCACGGAAAGTCCTCAGTAGCCTAACGCAGGGTAAGAGACATGAATGGGGTTTCTAGGCTATGGACCTGGCTTACAAAACCCACTCTGATCCCATCCCTGCCTTGTCTTGGCTGCATTGGTCTTAACTAGCAGAGCTGGTTAATGCAGCCATCTGGGCCAATCCCAATAATCCTCTTTCACCCTCCTTGTTTGATCAGGGCTCAAATCCTACTAAAAGAAGCTAGATTTACTATAAACAGCCAATTGCCGTACAGCCAGTTCCTGTTTATTGAAGGGTTTCAGAGTAACAGCCGTGTTAGTCTGTATTCGCAAAAAGAAAAGGAGTACTTGTGGCACCTTAGAGACTAACCAATTTATTTGAGCTCATGCTCAAATAAATTGGTTCGTCTCTAAGGTGCCACAAGTACTCCTTTTCTTTTTGTTTATTGAAGGCAATCTATCTGGGTCATAATTAAGAGAGTCAGTCTGGTTCTTCCATCCTCCAGCAATGGAGGCATGCAGTACACCGCAGCAGGGACGGGCAACGCAGACACCGTGACAAAGCAACGTTCAGCTGGGAAAGGAAATGCACGATGAACTTTCAATCGTAATGCTACAGGAGAGATTTCTGCACTGAATTTCTTGTTAAAATGTTGAATCAAGTTGCATGCCAAGGAGACACGACAGGAATACATTGCAATGCATGTGCTACGTGTGCAGAACTCCAGCTACACACACACAAGCTAGTGCAGGTGCAAATTTGTTACTTGGGTTGTTTTTCCTCTACTCTCTTATCATCCTACTTAATATACCTTCAAAGTGCATTACAGACACTGGCTTATTCCCCATCACAGCCTCTCTACACAGGAGCGAAGTATGTATTAGCCCCATTCTTTAGATCTAGAAAATGAGGCAGTAGTTAAAGAGCAGCAGCAGAGGAAAAAGTCATTGGGTTTCTCCCCCGTTTTGTTTCCTCATTATATATACTGAAGGCCTGAAAGGTATTATTACTAACTTTATTAACAGAAAGGGTATTTTTCTTGGGCGGGGTTTGGGGAAGAGGTTACATTTTTCCTAGAAGACACTAGGCATGACTGGAGAACTAGAAGATTTATGCCAAAGATGAAGTGAAGTGATAAGAAGTGAAATCCAATTAACCCACGAGGGAGGTGATTTTTATTCTGATTACAACTTTTGCTTGTTTCCATTTAACAACACTTCCATTTAACAACACTCTAACACCTGCTGAACAAACAGCTGGAAGAACAGCTCATCCATTGATGATTTAATACTTCCTTCCCTGTTACTGATTAAACTGAGAGCCAAAAGAGCTCCCAGCTCCCACTCCACATCTCTGTGTTGTCCAAGAAAAGCCTCCAACCAAATCAGAGAGGACCAAACTTGGCAGCCGTTATTCAAAGGTAAACCACAAGCAGGAACCCCCTAATTTATTCTGAAGAAAAATGAAGTCAAGCTACATCATACATAATCAAGAAAAAGAAAAAAAGCACAAGCCCGTTTCCCCCCTTGGGCTAGTTTAAATTGACTTGTCCAAAGCTACAGGAAAAGTCAGGGACAGAGCTAGATCTCAGGCATTCCTGGCCCCCAGACCACACTTCGGTATTTTCCATCATCCACAGGAATGCTCATGCAGTTTTACCACTCCTATAGAGCAGAGCTGGTCAGACTCTTTCACAGTGTGGACCATGCCTCAGATCTTCCTGTGGACCACCTCCTCCCCTCCCCATTCACAAGTGCATGGCCTATCTCCTCTCCAAATCTCAATCCCATTTACAGCTAAAAGAAAAGGAGGACTTGTGGCACCTTAGAGACTAACCAATTTATTTGAGCATAAGCTTTCGTGAGCTACAACTCACTTCATCAGATGCATACTGTGGAAAGTATAGAAGATCTTTTTATACACACAAAGCATGAAAAAATGGGTGTTTACCACTACAAAAGGTTTTCTCTCCCCCCACCCCACTCTCCTGCTGGTAATAGCTTATCTAAAGTGATCACTCTCCTTACAATGTGTATGATAATCAAGGTGGGCCATTTCCAGCACAAATCCAGGGTTTAACAAGAACGTCGGGGGGGGGGTAGGAAAAAACGAGGAGAAATAGGTTACCCTGCATAATGACTTAGCCACTCCCAGTCTCTATTCAAGCCTAAGTTAATTGTATCCAATTTGCAAATGAATTCCAATTCAACAGTCTCTCGCTAGAGTCTGGTTTTGAAGTTTTTTTGTTGTAATATTGCAACTTTCATGTCTGTAATCATGTGACCAGAGAGATTGAAGTGTTCTCCGATTGGTTTATAAATGTTATAATTCTTGACATCTGATTTGTGTTCATTTATTCTTTTACGTAGAGACTGTCCAGTTTGACCAATGTACATGGCAGAGGGGCATTGCTGGCACATGATGGCATATATCACATTGGTGGATGTGCAGGTGAACGAGCCTCTGATAGTGTGGCTGATGTTATTAGGCCCTGTGATGGTGTCCCCTGAATAGATATGTGGGCACAGTTGGCATTTACAGCTGTGCAACATCCACATGCCAACAGCTACGTTGGCTAGTACAGATAGGCTGGCCTCTCCTCCTGGATTCCAGCTATTTCTACAGGCATTCATGCTCTTCCTTCACTGCCTGGAGGAGGGCTCAAGGAAGACAAAGCCTTTGTGGAGACACTAAATGAATTCTTTGCATCAGTCTTCATTCCAGAGAAAGTGAGGGAGATTCCCACACCTGAGCCATTCTTTTTAGGTGACAAATCTGAGGAACTGTCCCAGATTGAGGTGTCAATAGAGGTGGTTTTGGAACGAATTGATAAACAGTAATAAGTCTCCAGGACAAGAGGGGATTCAACCAAGAGTTCTGAAGGAACTCAAATGTGAAATTGCAGAACTACTAACTGTGGTATATAAATTTTCACTTAAATCAGCCTCTATACTAGATGACTAGAGGGTAACTAGTGTAAGGCCAATTTTTATAAAAGGCTCTAGAGGCCATCCTGGCAATTACAGGCTGGTAAACCTAACATCAGTACCAGGGCAAATTGGTTGAAACTATATTGAAGAACAGAATGATCAGACACAAGGACACGCTATGTTGGGGAAAAGTCAACACAGCTTCTGCAAAGGGAAATCATGCCTCACCGATCTATAAGAATACTTTGAGGATGTCAACAAGCATGGGGACAGGTGGATCCAGCTGACACAGTGTTCCTGGACTTTCAGAAAACCTTTGACAAAGTCTCACATCAAAGGCTCTTAAGCAAAGTAAGCAGTCATGGGATAAGAGGGAAGGTCCTCTCATGGATCAGTAACGGGTTAAAAGATAGAAAACAAAGGGCAGGAATAAATGGTCAGTTTACAAAATGGATAGAAGTAAATAGCAAGGCCCCCCAAGGATCTGTACTGTTCAACATCTTCATAAATGATCTGAAAAAGAGGGTAAACAGTGATGTGGCAAAGTTTCCAGACGATACTAAATTACTCAAGATAGTTAAGTCCAAAGCTGGTTGAGAAGTCTTATAAAGGGATCTCACAAAGCTGGGTGACTGGGCAACAAAATGGCAGATGACATTCACTGTTGATAAATGCGAAGTAATTCGCATTGGAAAACAATAATCCAAACTATACATACAAAATAATGAGGGTCTAATTTAGCTGTTAGTACTCAAGAAAGATCTTGGATAGTTCTCTAAAAACATTTTCTCAATGTGCAGGGGCAGTCAAATAAAGCTAACAGAATGTTAGGAACAATTAGGGAAGGAATAGATAAGATGACAAAATATAATGCCATTGTATAAATCTATGGCATTCCCACACCTTGAACTGTGTGTGCAGTTCTGGTCGCCTCATCTCCAGAAAGGATATTAGAATTGGAAAAGGTACAAAGAAGGATAAAAAAAAAATGGTTAGGAGAATGGGACAGCTTCCATAGAAGGAAAGATTCAAATGCCTGGGACTGTTCATCTTAGAAAAGAGATGACGAAGGGGGATATGAGAGAGGGCTATAAAATCATGACTGGTGTGGAGAAAGTAAGTAAAGAAGTGTTATTTACCCCTTCACATAACACAACCACCACCCAATAAAATTAATAGGCAGCAGGTTTAAAACTAATGTAAGGAAGTACTACTTTACACAATGCAGAGACAACCTGTGGAATTCCTTGCCAGCGGATGTTGTGAAGGCCACAAGTATAACTGGGTTAAAAAAATTAGATAAGTTCATGGAGAATAGTTATTAGCCAAGATGATCAGTGACAAACCCCATGCCTCATGTGTCCCTAAGCCTCTGACTGCCAGAAGCTGTGACTGGACGACAGGTGATGGATCACTCGATAAATGACGTTTTGTTTATTCCCATGAAGCACCAGGCATTGGCCACCCTTGTGTTCTTATGTGACCAGGCAGCTCTCTGCAGACCACCAGTAAGTGCTCCATGGCTCTCAGTTTGGAAATACAGGGATGAGCTGGTGTGAGACATCAACAGACAAGGAAATTAGAGAGCAACATACCTGTCAACAACAAGATTTCCATCATTTGTCCGGATTGCTGTCCACATGTCCCAGTATTCCGCAGCTGAAGGCTGCGTATACGGACCAAAGACTGCTCCAAGTCTGAAAAAAAATTCAGAGAGGCATGAAGATCTTTACAGCATGTATCCCCTTCTGGAATAAACAGGATATAACACCACTTAATATCAGACACAAAAACTAGTTTCAGGGCAAAAGTGTCAAATGATTACAAGATTTGTTTGTAAAATACACACTCTTGGAGCACCCCAAATTATCCAACTTAAAAGAACAGTGTCAAATTTAGCAGTGATCCCAAAGTGGAGAAGGAAGGTGTTTCATAGCATCTAATATGAACAGAAATGTTTGTTCTAATTTCAATGAATTATTTGTGGGAGAAGACAGTAACTTTGTTGTTGTTGTTCCCCACGCAGTGCTGGAAAACCAAGTACAACAGCATTGTACTAGTGTGAAAACCAGCTGTGGCTCACTAATCTCCACGCAGTGTTGGGGATGAGGTGGCTCCATGAGCTACCCCTGGCCACAGCACCATCCCTACAGCTCCCATTGGCCGGAAACCGCTGCCCCCCTTCCGCCCCAGGGGCCGCAGAGGCTTGCCAGCAACCAGCCGCTTCCGGGAGCGGCATGCATCGCTGACCAGGAGCCGCCTGTGGTAAGCGCCTCCCGGCCAAAGCCTGCACCTCGCACCCCCGCCCCAGCCTGGAGCCCCCTCCGGTACCAAACTCTCTCCCAGAGCCCACACTCCTCACCCTCTCCTGCACCCCAACACTCTGCACCAGCCCGGAGCCCCCTCCCACACTCCAAACCCCTCGGCCCCAGCCTGGTGAAAGTGAGTGAGGGTGGGGGAGAGTGAGCGACGGCGGGAGGAGGGAATGGAGTGAGCGGGGTGGGGCCTCGGGGAAGGGGGGTGCAGATCCTAGGTTGATCTGAAATTCAAAAAGGGATCTTGTGCGTAAAAAGGTTGAAGAGCACTGACCTAGGCATTCTGAACCTAGGGTGAAATCCTGGCTCTAATGAAGTCAATAGCAAAACTGCCACTGATTTCAGGAAGGTGAAGGTTTCACCCCTAATGCTTAAACTGCAACTCTGCGTGGCTACAGATGAGGGAATCCTGGGACTCCCTCTCCACTTTTCCTGTTCCAAGTCCTGACTGATGTGTCTTTAAAGGAGTTATATTTGTTGTTTGCAGGCAGCACCTTTAAGAATCATAGAAATATAGGGCTGGAAGGGACACTGAAAAGTCATCTACTCCAGCCCCATACACTGAGGCAGGACCAAGTAAATCTAGAGCATTCCTAACAGATGCTTGTCCAACCTGTTCTTAAAAACCTCCAATGACAGGGATTCCACAACCTCTCTTAAAATTAGAAAGTATTTCCTAATATCTAACCTAAATCTCCCTGGCTGCAGGACTTCTTGTCCTACCTTCAGTGGGCATGGAAAACAATTGATCACTGTCCTCTTTATAACAAACCTTAACATATTTGACCACTGTTATCAGGTTCCCTCCCCCCCCCCCGACATCCTTTCTCAAGACTAAACATGCTCAGGTTTTTATATTTTCCTCATAGATCAGGTTTTCTAAACCTTTAATCATTTTTGTTGCTCTCCTCTAGACTCTCCCATTTGTCCACACCTTTCCTAAAGTGTGGCGCCCAGAACTGGAAACAGCTCTTCAGATGAGGCCTCACCAATGCTGAGCAGTGCAGGACAATCACCTCCCATGTCTTACATACGACACTTCTGTTAACGGACCCCAGAATGATATTAGTCTTTTTTGCAACTGCATCATATTATTGGCTCATTCAGTCTGTGATGCAATATAACCCACAGCTATTTTTCAGCAGAACTACCACCTAACTAGTTATTCCCCATTTTGTAGTTGTGCATTTGATTGTTCCTTCCTGCTCTGCACTTGTCTTTACTGATTTTCATCTTGTTGATTTCAAACCAATTCTCCAATTTGTCAAGGTCGTTTTGAATTCTAATACTGTCCTCCAAAGTCCATGCAACACTTCCCAGTTTGGTGTCAGCTACAGATTTTGTAAGCATTCTTTCCATTCCATTATCCAATTCATCAATGAAAATACTGAATAGTACTGGACCCCTATGGGACCCCAATAGATATATTTCCCCCCCCAACCCCCATCTGAACTATTGATAATGACTCTGAATAGTCTTTCAACCAGTTTTGCATCCACTTTATAGTAATTTCATCTAAACCACATTTTTCTAGTTTTCTTAGGACAATGTTGAGGGACCAAGTGTAAGGCACAGGGTCAGAAAGGAAAATAAGTTGTTTAGACATTAACAGTGCTTCCAAGTGAAGTCTGTCTCAACTTCAAAATATCTTCAGCATAATATGGTACATCCACCTACCACCGAAGAACTGGATGAAACGATAGTGAGCTACTGTCCTCTACCAGATGAAACATGCTCAAGTGTGTGTGAACAAGCAGCCATCTAGTAACTACAGACTATAGAGGATGCATGACTTAATACTTTCATACAAGTGAGTGTTTCCTGGGTTATACTCCAACCTAATCTATACATTTGTCACAACAGGGTTGTCCCCTACAGTGTGTGTAGTGCTCAGAACACCAACTCACCCTCTTGAGAAGAGGCAGTAGTTCATTAGCCGGGTGATGATGGGGGACAGTAGGCCACCATCCTTGAGAATCTTTGGCAGAAGAAAGGAGAAAAATGCCATTAAATGCCATATAGACAGCAATGATTCCTTGCCTGTTCAGAGGGCCTTTCCTACAGAGCTACCAGGCCCCCATGAACCAGCCGTCTTACAGAACAACCCTTCCCCACAATCACTGAAGTAAATCCATTATTACCACTAGATTTTTCAAAGTTATTAATACACTGAACCAAAGCACCTTCAGCCACTGATCTCTTTAGGCCATCTGAACCTCAGATCAAAGACACTAAGACCAAGACTTGAGACAAAGACTAGGCTAGTAACCGGAAGGCAGTAAGTTTTTTTTTTTGAGGAGGTGTCAGGGAAGGATAAGCAGCCTTGCTGGGATGAGCAGCTCACCCATCACTAATAAGAATGGGAAAGGTGATGGGATTCCTACAAGAAGCTCCATCTTTCACATCAGCATCTGGACAGTCGGTGTTTGATAAATCTGAATCCCTTCCCCCTTCCAAATCCCACCTGTTGATTATTGTACAGAGATGGAGCATTTCCGTTCTCTCTTTCCAGCCTCCCACCCCAGAACCTGCTAGTTACTGCAAAGAGTGAAGGTGTCCACTAGTCTACCTCTCCCTCTGCTGTCTGGCTGCTGCAATGGGGAGACATCTGTTTCTCTGACCCCTCCTCCAGTCTCCATTTCTGGGTCCTCCCCCAGGGAGTGCCAGGGCCTGCCTCTGCTGCTGCTCAGAGCTTTCCAAAAGCACCAGCAGCATGAAATTGACCTGCTTTTGGTCAATTTCCCACAGTGTGGTGCCCAGAGCTGGACACAATGGCTTCCCCAACAACAGCAGTGAAAGTTGGGGTGGCTCTGCTCAGTCTTCACTCTGAGCAGCAGCAGAAATTCAAGAACAGACTGTAACCAGGCTAGTGTGTCTTGGAGATGCCGAGCACATGTTTGGTGTCTAAGACTTTTTTTTTTTTTTTTTTAAATGGAAGCTTAGTTTAAACTGCACCAGTGGGGGCCGTCAGTTTTAGGACTCATCTGAAAGAACTGCTTGTCCAGCAGCATAGCAGCCACTACCACCAGATGAGACCACTGACTCCGGGCAGAGTCAGAGGGAATGACACCCCCAGCGCCTGCACAACCCTCGGTGTTTCCAATAGATATTCCACCCCAATAACCCTGACCTGACCCTGCAAGTTCTGGTAAGATCAAAGCAAAAGGTGGTACAATGAAACAGAATGTTTAACGACTCTTGTTCTCTGAGACTGTGTCTACACTACCATTTATATCGGCAAAACTTATGTCACTCGGGGGTGTGAACAAAACCTCCCTCCTGAGTGATGTAAGTTTTGCTGACGTAAGTGGCAGTGTGCACAGTGCTATATTGGCAGGAGAGCTTCTACCGCCATCCTAGCTGCTACTGCTGCTCGTGGAGGTGGTTTTACGACATTGCCGGGAGAGCTATCTCCCATCAGCATAGAGCAGTTACACAAGTGATCTTACAGCGGTGCAGCTGTGCTGCTCTAAGTTTGCTAGTGTAGACGTGGCCTGAATAACTGCTCCCCCCTTAACTGCAGCTAAACGTTTACATGCAGTCATTTAAAGTCAGCCAACAAATTACATTAGCTGGAAAAGGACACATTCTAGGACCAAAAAACGGCACACACTCAAACTCATGCCTAGAAGTTTTATTCTTGATACTCGAATCCAGATTTCATAAAACTAGAGACCAAAGCAGCTCACCTTCTGAATGAATCTGGGGTAATGAGTTTCTGGGAAAATACCTGAAAGTGTTTCAGAAAACAGCCATTGCAGTTACTTAAGTTTGCTCTGACATTTTCCAGTCTCCCTCTTCTGCCCTCCCCCCGCACCTGCGCAGCCTCAGGGAATGCATTTGCTGACAGCCAGATACCAATATCTTAAATGGGGATTGCTGAGTCTTTTTTTATTTTAAACACCTCTCAATAGAATTTACTTTTGTGCATGGAAGAGAGGCGGCGATGCCACCGTTATAGACTATAAATGCCATCAAGGCACCGAACCAGCCACATCAGGACAGGCACCTACTCTCACAAAGAGTGGCCAAAAAACATGTCCTAAAGAAGGGAAGAAATTCTTACTCCTCAGTCGCAGCACCATTCAGAAATGGGCCACAATAGAGACCATCTGCCCTTACAAGCTGCATTAACAGGATCAATCTGCTACTAATAAAACAAAGGAGGGAGACGTATCTGTTGTCCAGTTTAATCAGCCTTCCCATGTTCTATAACCAGCCATTCCCCCCGCCCCATCTTCCCCACTTAAGAGTGAATTTTGGTGTTGTGAAAGGTGCTGCACTGACAGCACTAAAGCCTTCCACTAACCATAGAAAAGGGAGAGCAGTGAAAGCTTCCCCACACTGCTCCACCAGTGTGCCTCATCCCTGGCCTGGAGGGACCCCTCTGTGGGTTAGAGGGGAGTTCAGTCTCTATTGCCCATTCAGCCCCTGGCACCGTGATGAGACTGCCAACAAAGGGACCAGTTAGTCTCAGTGGTGATGTAGGCACCGATATCAGGGAAGCAGATGGAGAGCCACTAATTTATTTTGCACAGATCATGTTACTCTAAGCAAAACAGTTACCTCCATTGGATAAACAAAGGCTATTGATCAGGACACATCCAGTTTTATTGTGTTCATACCTGGAGAACAAGAGACAAGACTGAATTAAACTGGAGCAATTCTCAGGCAATTCCAAGAAGTGACTGACCAACAGACTGCAGTAATATTGCCATTTATTAAAACGTAATCCAGGATGTGAATTAACCCATGAGATGTGATTTCAAAAGTAGCATAGGAACAGCAGTGTCAAAGTACTCCCTACAGCTCTCCTTCACTGTACAACTCATTCACATTGCAATAATCACTGTTAAGAGAGTAAACAAGACCTTCTCTAATGCATGCTTTATGAAACAGTCTCAGCAGCCTTGGGGAAAGTCTTCTCTCCCTGGATCTCAAGAGGGATACAGAAAATAGGCACACTGGATTTGCACTACTGGATGTTCTATTTGCTGAATAATTTTCACTTTAGACTAATTAAAAAATCAGCAGTGCTTGCCACCCGCCCTCCCCCACTCATATCATTAACTGGTTAGATTGGGAACTCCACAGCATGCTAAGTTTTTTGTACTAAATAAGTAAAACATAATTTTAAAAAAACCTTCTTAAATGCTAATACAATACACACACATTTATACATCTGACATGTACTCATTAGCTAGAGATTCCACACCACACCATTGTAAGGAGTTCTGTGTGGAAGTTACACCTTGCAGCACTTCCCAGCCACAGGGAGCCTGATCTACTGATTAGAACAAGGGATTGCACATTAAGAAACCTCGGTTCTGACTCCTCCTCTGCCAGTGACTTGCCTTCGGACAAATCCCTCAGCCACTCTTTGGTTCAATTTTCCCCATCTGTAAGAGGGGCATTCTATCTGGTCCCTTCCTCATAGGGGGGTGGCAAGGCCAAATCCTTAACATTTGCCACCGACTTTGAGGTGACAAGATAAAAGGCAAAGCCTCATCAGCTGCTGCTAAATTTCTGACGGGAAGAAAAGTGTTAACTTAGGCAGAGTCCTTCCATCTGCGACTAGCCATCCCCTGTGGTTTCACACAGACCCTGGTCAATGGTGACAGAAGATGCTCTTGGCTTGTGAAGACTTGCCTTGTTCAATCCTCACATCCTTGACAAGCCTCCAGGTCTCAAAGACAAAGAGTGCATCTAGTTTTGGAGATGGCTAGACAAGACTCTTCCACTGTATCTGCATACACAGCTTCCACTGAAGTCAAGGGAGGCAGCATATCAGCTTCCCTCCATCTACCTACCTAGGCTCTTCTACAACTGCATCCTTCAGCGTGGTATCACACTGGTACCTCCTGCTGTCACCCTGAATCTCAGATGTGGGATGGGGAAAGAGGGGGCTCTCCACCATTTACTTTTACTTAGCTTCAGGGAATTAAACCCTAGGAGGATGACGAAGAGCGTTCAGAGCTTTAGTGCTTCCAGTGACCTGTGGAGCAGTTCCTGCGCAACTGTGTCTCCATAGTCATGAGACAGGAGGTTGATCCTCTGATTTCGGAGACCCAGGTGCCCCAGCAGCCCCTCGACGATGTTGGCCTGCTCAAAAATGGAATAGTGATGGGGCCTCTGTTTAAAAAGCAAAGCAAGAGAGCAGCTCCAGTGAGAGCAACATCATACACTTCTATCTTGTTAGTTACAGAGAGCTGGAATATCACTGTGCAGGTTCTTCTGAACAGCCCACCTGGCAGTTCCAGTCTGACTAAGTTCAGTGCCTGGACACAACTAAGCACCAGTGTTCGTGGACAACTGCAGAAGCGTGAGACAAGCCCAGGACTGACAGCCAACAACTCAGATTCTTGTCCAGGCTCCTGCTGATTTACTGAGATACCTTGGGCAAATCATTTTACCACCATGTGCCTCAGTTTCCCCATGTATAAAATGGAGATAATGAAACTCAACTCACAGAAGGTCTGTGATGATTACCTAGCGTGTGTAAAGCTCTTTGAAGATGAAGAGCTAAGTACTATCAAACTCACTCCGTGATTTGTTTGCAAGGTTACAATTACACAAGCGTAACCACAAGCTAGTAACCCTTCACCAGCATTTTACTTGTGTCAGAGCTGCCTAATGTGACAAGTGAAGCAAACCTGTTCTACAGAGGTGAGCCAACACTCCAGTGGAGCGTGGTCACTTTAGAGACCATTGCATCACGTCCCATTTCTGATGTTTGATTTTGACACCAATCATATTCTACAATTGTATCTTTATTTCTGTTGCTGAAAAATATTAGACACACAAGGTGGGTGAGGTAATAGCTTTTACTGAACCAACTTCTGCTGGTGAGAGAGACAAGCTTTCAAGCTCTGTGTAAGCTTGAAAACTTGTCTCTCTCATGAAAAGAAGTCGGCCCAATAAAAGCTATTACCTCACCCACCTTGTGTCTCTAATATCCTGGGAGTGACACAGCTGCAACAACACCGCATCCTGGAAAAAATGTAAGTGGATAAAGACAGAAAGCAACCTGAGAAATGAACTGATTTCATCAAAATCCATCTTCTCAGGCATGGCCTTGTGTGATGCCATTGGTCTGGATGTACTTTCATCATTACATTCCTTTTCCAAAAGAAACTACATAATCGTCTGTCAGGATCACTTACAGGCTTGTCACTAAAACCAAATCCTACAAAATCCAGAGCGATCACCCTGTGAAATCGCTGGGTCAGCCCTTCCCAAATCTGTAAGAGAAAGACAGGAAATCATAAGAGCAGCTACACTCATATCTCTGAGGCCTACGCACCAAGATGGACAGTTCTACACCGTAATTTCTTAAAGCTCCTCCCAGACACCCATGCTGCAAACACAAATTGAACTGCAGTGGATTTGAGTTATCATAATAACCAGTATATTCATGACAGCAAAAGCCAACAGATCTTCTAAAAAGTTATTTCCCCCAAGCCCCGCGGTGGGGTTTCTCCCTGCAAAGGCCATATTGGCTAGATTCTGAGGTTCCCCTCCAGTTTGCATCTCCCTCCAACGTAAGACCCAGTTCTATAGCTATATCCTCTGGCCAGATGTACCATATGGGAATTTCCTTCAGAACCTGTCAAACTGACACCACAATCATTCAACAGGGAAGTCCACCTGCTCATTCATTACAGGGTAGTGCCCTTGTTCCCCAAAAAATGTGAATATACCAAAGGACTCAGATTTTGAGACGACAGCTGCGCCTCCCCACAAGAGGCCTGTATGGAGTTATTTTTAAAAGAAAATACCAATATTCATATAGGCCAGTTGGGAGAAGCTGCCTCCATCACCTTGGAATCCGTGTGTAGCTAGAGATGATTTTTGCTCCCTTTGGATCTTACAAAATCCAGCATCTGGTCCCAGGAATGCCACACTGATTACCACCAAACACTTACACAGCACAGGAAATGGACATCGTTCTTCACACATACAAAAGAACCCTGTTTATCCGACCTTCCATTATCTGGCTCTCCATATTAACCAAACAACCAGCACACACAGGTCCAGAAGCAGGTGATCTCTCCTGTAGCCACTAGATGGCACTGCAGCCTCGCACTTTCCCATTCTCTGAATTATATGAATTTTTGATTATCGGATCTGGCCCCAGTCCCAATTAGATCAGATAACAGGGTTCTGCTGTATAAAGACAAGTTTCCTGCCCCCAAGAACACACAAGCAAAATAAATCATAGGACAAAATCTTAGGAGCCGAAGTGCCAAGGGAGTAGAAGGGATGCTTGAAAGTGAGTCTTAAGGAGAGAACTGAAGTGGGGCAGGACACTTGGCAGATGAGAAAAGAGCGCTCCAGGCATGGGAAGCAGCATTAGAACAGGCATGAAAAGGGGTGTGAGATGAAGGAGGAAGTGGCAAGAGAGAACTGGGAAGAATTTAGGGAGAGGAAGGGACATCAGAGACATAGGTAGGTGGAAAAAAGGTTACATAGGGTCTTGTAGGTGATGACTTTGCCACACTTTGAAAGCTATGACAAACTGTGCCAAGTTTCACCCCAGGGCAAAGTCTTAGCTATGAGAAAAAAAAAAGAGTGAAGTGGGCTGGGAGAGCCAAAGCAAGAACTCTGCCATAAACTAGGGAAGCCCTGTCACTCATCGATCTCTCCTCCATGATTCACTAGTCAGACAGGCCCATTTATTCCTCCCTGAGGGATCCCCCTCTGGTTTCCAGGGGAAGTGAGAATCACCGATTTTACTCACACAGTCCACACTTTGTGCTTACATGGTCCCCTCACCTTGTACCAATCATAGCTGGAGGTTGGGAAGCCGTGTAACAGAACCACAATATCTGAACTGCCGAGTGCACCTGATGAATCTGAGGAGAGAACAGGACATCAGCAAGGCACGCTACACTCCAAGGATGCTTTAACTTTAAAGCAGCTGTACAGGAGACTGTATCAGGGACCCAACAGTATAGAATCATAGAATATCAGGGTTGGAAGGGACCTCAGGAGGTCATCTAGTCCAACCCCCTCCTCAATGCAGGACCAAACCCCAATTTTTGCCCCAGATCCCTAAATGGCCCCCTTGAGGATTGAACTCACAACCCTGGGTTTAGCAGGCCAATGCTCAAACCACTGAGCTATCCCTCCCCCCCTAAAATTCCAAGGGAGCACCAGTAACATCAACCAAGTTGTGTTCCAGGCTCCCAATAAGAGTTTTGTTGATTTTTTAACACTAAAAAATCAGATCTCTCCAGCCACAAAGGCTCCCTCACAGTAAACATTCTTAGAACCTAACACACAGACAAAACCCCCGAGACTTTGCCATTCAGAGACTTCTCAGCTTGCACAAAAACCTGTTACTAAGGCTATTGTTCCTTAAGAGCTGGACAGAGGCACCTCGAAGAGGAGAGAGTTTACACTGTTGATGTAATGGCACCAGGTGGGGGCTCACCACATTAGGCTATCAATCAGTCTATCAATCAGTCTATGTACACAAACAATTTGGGAGCAATGAGTGAGCTTACATTTGCATAACACCTTTCATTTTGAATGATCCCAAAGCACTACGCAAATTTTAAACTGATAGGGAAACCAGGAATCAGACACTCAAATGCAGCCATCCCTTGGGTAAAACATGACAGCTGTTTCACAGCACATAGCAGCAGGTTAAGGACAGGAAGTGGAGAAAAATACTGCTCCCAACTGAAACTGCAACATGGGGAAGACTTGGGAAGTAAGTATATTGTGAGCATCTGTACTTAAAACTGGAATTTGGCCACAATTTGGAGCAAACACCATTGCTCTCAAGAAGGGATTTGTGGGATCTTCAATGACAAGCAGCTAGGACATCATTTTTACATCTCATCCAAAACAACAGCACCTCCAACTACACGGTGCTGCTTAACACCAAGTGCCCACAAACGCAAGTGTGCCATTTGAATAAACCTACCACTTCCAGTTCCTGCGGGACCTAACTGTTCCTGAGAGGAGTCTAATGCAAGCTACTCCTGGGGGAATTTTGCACCACGGCACGTGCACAGAATTCACATCCCATGCAGATTTCTTTACTTCTCCACAGAAAAATTACTTTCTGATGGGGAAGCAAAGGGAAGCCGCAAGAGCGGTCACATGCTCCTCCCCAGCAGTGCAGGCACATTGTTTCAGGTGCCCGGAGCAGCCAGTGGAGAGGTAAATCACCACAGGAGGAAGATATGGGGGGCTGGGGGCACCCAGGATGGTCCTGGGTCAGACACACCCCCTAGGGCCAGGTCAAACCCACCCCGTCCACCCAACCCTCATGCATCCGAACCCCTCCATACCCAGACCCCTGCCGCTGAGCCTCACTCCCAGAACACCCCCACCAAGCTCCCCGCACCCAACCTCGCTGAGCCTCACCCCCTGCATCCAGATCCCCCCCGCACACAGGCTGGGACACGGACCTCTGGGGCAGGTCTGGCTCTTGTGCTGTCTCAGGGTCGGGTGCAGCTTCACCATGTCCTGGGGTGGGGTGGGGAACAGCAGGGTGATCTCCCACCTCTATGCAGCCAGTGGCCTGTGCTCCCCACTGCCATGCTGGAGCCTCCACATTTATTTATTGGCAAATAAAATTTGCAGACTTTTAAAATGTTTTGCACAGAATTTTTAGTTTGTTGGCGCAGAATTCCCTCAGGAGTAGTAAGTACGGTCCCAGCTTAGCTTATTAAACACAAGGGGATAAAAGCACAAGTTTGTACAGCTACAGACACAAGTTGCATATTTTGAACCAGGTTTTTCTCCAACAGAGCTTAATCATGGCTCCAAAAATTCTCTCTGAGCACAAAAAGTGCAGGCAAAATGCCATCACTGACTAAATACCCCAGCAACCGGGGTTCACAACTTTTTTCTTACTATTATCCTGCACTCAGCTACCCATAACCAGGCTATCAGAGGCACCCAGAACCTTAGCATCTGCTCCCACAGTGCCTAGAGGGGGGTACTAGGCCCTGTCACACTTCACAATGAGGCCCAACCTGCTTGTGGCCTTTACGTACTACCACAATACAAATGTTTCATAGTAATGATACTGACCCTGGTCCTAGACCCATGGTCCATTCCCCCAGAAGTGAATTAACTGACCTACATTTGCTACTTAATTTAAGGAGGCCAGACGGCTCCATTTCAGTGTAGTGTGGAGAGAAAACACTTCAAGAGCTAAGGAGCAAGGACTCCCCGTATCTTCTACTCAATCATTACCATAGTTTCAACACAGTTTTAGCTCCCCTCTCACAATGGACTGGAATCTGCATGCCCCTTCAGGCCACATCCCAGTACAAATGCTCCCATCTCACCTGTTTCTGTCCAGTCTGTCTCTAGTCAGTCTGTCTCTCTCCACACCCCAGTTTTATTTCTCTATGTGTTTGTTTTAAAACTTTTTGCTCTTCTCTCTCTCTCTCTTCTTTGTTTTGGGCTCCTTATCTCCCCTCAGTGTCTATGTTTTCCTTGATTCTCCAGTGCTTTTCTAGCATGCCTTTGTCTTTACTTTCCCTTAAGTTCTTCCGTGTCTCCCTCCCTCACCATTCTTCCCCATGCGAGTCTTGCAGGGGATCTCCACTCTGTGCCAGGCAACCAGCTTCTGTATGTTCCTCCCCATCCTTCTCTCCCAGTGCTTTCAAAGCTTCTCTCTAGTATTGCCTGGTGGCACAGACCAGCAGCACTGGAGAGAGAAGCAGTCCGTAGCACCACCCTGGTGGAGGACAGCGAAGGTCCAGCAGCTCTCAGTCACAGTGCAAAGGTCTGTCTGCTAGTCTGGCACCCCCAGGCTGAGGAACACAGGATCTCCTCAGTGCTGCAGAAAGCTCCCTGAAGCTGTGGATGCACCACTCCCGTCAGGCCTCACCTCTGTAAAAGATGTTCTGGGTCTTGTATGTGAAGTACCTTCCTGACGCCCTCCATGAGTGAAGGGCTGGGGACAGCTTAGGCGGAGGGATGTGCAGGTAGACAGCAAGGAGGGGTACGCTCAGCAGCCCCACCTGAATCCACCACTCTTTCATCCTGCAGGAGAAAAACACAGAATGAGCAAACACAGCACAATCTGCCCATCTGAACGACTGCACAGTTGCATCAAGCCTCCTGTGTCTGCCTCATTGTGACACACACCACTGGTTTAGTATGAAAGCTCTGATTACCCAACATTCACCGGGAAATTCACCTTCAAACCACATCTTTCCACCAGTGTCTGTTTTTCACCTTCTCAAGATACCAAGATATATTAGTCTTGAAAGCTTTCTTTCTGCAGCTGTTAAAATTGAAAGCCTTCCACAAAACTACTAGTAAGGGAATCACAACTCAGACCAAAATTAAGCAGTTTTGTAGCAACCACAAGACCAGATTGACTGCTCCCAGGGTTATACAGTCCTTTTCCGATCAGTAGTGCAGTCCTGTACTTCATCGGATTTTCAGCCCAGGTTGGCAACAATCAAAGGTTTGCCTATTTGGTATTCTTCTAGGCATTAACATGATTTTCATCTCTGTGCCTTCAGCCTGTGTGAAATGAGTTTGGTGTGTCAGTCAAGTTCCTAATGCTCAAGTGTCTACATAACATCACCACCTTACAATATCCGCCAACCAGAGAAGTGCCAATCTTAGCCTAGAGACCAAGGACTCAATGGGCCATGGAGATTAAACTGTCCCCTAACCCCTGGTGCCTCCAAGTTTGCACCACAACTGTATTTATTCTGGGATTAGAGAGAGGACTTCAAATTCCAGGACTCTCAAGCCATCAACTTCCACAAGCATTAAATTCACACATGGATTGTGAATCATTCAATTTTTTCAGTTACTCAAATCTCTGCATTTTTGATTGTTCTCAAGTCAATGGGAATTTTACCTCAATCAGAGCAGGATTGCGCTCTTTGTACTATTATCTATATTGTGTGACCGTTCTGTATAATTGTAGAAATTCTGTAAATATCACTTGAAATTATTTATCTACTTTGGGATCTTAACAAATAGAAAGTGACATTAATGCATTTCATCACTATGCCAACCTCCAGCCACCACGATCAGCTCCCTCACTGGCATGAAAATTTAATTCACACATACACAACACTTAGTGACATTATTAAGAGGATTTTCTTTCTTACGAAGGTGCTGGGCTCCACCTCCAGTTTTGGATTTCACACAGACACCACACTGAAACACAGAAAAGAAATGCACCAAGATCACACTGTTGTTCTGACTAGCAAAACCCTGGGCTATTCCAGTTTTGCCGAGTACTAGTCCACCCATACTGTCAACGCACCTGAGCCCTGACATGCACCAGCCACTGCTTTTCCAGTTCTGAATCCACACTCACGCATCTCAATCTAATCTGCAGCACTTGATGTTATTCCAAATCCTGACCCTCACAGGGCTTTGTCAACACATCTAAATGCAGAGTGATTTGCAGCATCTCCGGCTAGTCCAGTCCAGCTTCACACACAGCTCTACCAGTGCACTTCCAGACTGACCGGGCAGCAGCCCACACTATTCATACCTGAGATTTCCCATACGCAGTTCTTCCAAAGCATCTCAATGTTGATCTGCAATATCCCATGCTACAGGGCCGGTCTTAGGGAAAACAGCACCCTGGACAAACTTGTATTTTGGCGCCCCTAGCCCCAGCTGCCTTCCCAGGCTCCCCACCTGACCCCCATCGCCCCAGCCGCCTCTCCCCCCCCAACCCATTGCCCCAAACTCCCATCCATGAACTCGCACTCCAGCCCCACTCTGCTTCTTGCCTCTGAACCACAGCACCCCCCTGTCATAAATATAAAGGAAAGGGTAAACACCTTTAAAATCCCTCCTGGCCAGAGGAAAAACCCTTTCACCTGTAGAGGGTTAAGAAGCTAGGATAACCTCACTGGCACCTGACCAAAATGACCAGTGAGGAGACAAGATACTTTCAAAAGCTGGGGGGAGGGAGAAACAAAGCCTTTCTCTCTGTCTGTGTGATGCTTTTGCCGGGGACAGAACAGGAATGGAGTCTTAGAACTTAGTAAGTAATCTAGCTAGATATGTGTTAGATTCTGTTTTCTTTAAATGGCTGAGAAAATAAGCTGTGCTGAATGGAATGGATATTCCTGTTTTTGTGGTATTTTGTAACTTAAGGTTTTGCCTAGAGGGATTCTCTATGTTTTGAATCTAATTACCATCCTGATTTTACAGAGGTGATTCTTTTACTTTTTCTTCTATTAAAATTCTCCTTTTAAGAATCTGATTGCTTTTTCATTGTTCTTAAGATACAAGGGTTTGGGTCTGTGTTCACCTATGCAAATTAGTGAGGATTTTTATCAATCCTTCCCCAGGAAAGGGGGTGTAGGGTTTGGGAGGATTTTTGGGGGAAAGACGTTTCCAAATGGGCTCTTTCCCGGTTATATATCTCTTAGACATTTGGTGGTGGCAGCGATAAAGTGCAAGGGGCAAAAGGTAAAATAGTTTGTACCTTGGGGAAGTTTTAACCTAAGCTGGTAAATATAAGCTTAGGAGGTTTTCATGCAGGTCCCCACATCTGTACCCTAGAGTGGGGAAGGAACCTTGACACGCCCTGACCACATCACCCACCCGCAGGGCCGGTCTTGCCCTGCAGTGTGTCACATCTGGATGCTATGGTGACAGGCATCATAGGAAACCCCACAGCAGTCACTTTGTCGCCCCCAGCCAGTGCTACAGGGAACCCTCATCTGGTTGTTGAGCAGGACAGCCAAGATAACGTAGCAGCGGTCTGCCACACTCTGACAGGGTGAGCAGGCCCTGGGGCACAGTCACACCTCTCCCACTCAGCACAGCAGCCAGCTTCTCTGACAGGGCCCCAGCGGGTTGGCAGCCCACGGCGAGGCAGTGACAGGAGGGCACCAGAGGGCTGTGGTGGCAAGGACGCATGGTGACCTGAGAGACCCAGAAAGAGGGGAGGGAACCAGAGGTGTATAGATAGAATCACACTGGTGTGGGGATCATGGGGGGAAAGGGAGGGTGGTGACAGGGGGGCTCCAGAAGGGCAGATCTTCCCCCACCTCAATACTGAGCATCCCCAATATTCAAGTGCCCCTCCGCAGTCCCACGTAAGGGGGTTATTAGGGGAGGTGGAGGCTAAAATGCTCCAGCGCACTGAAGGTAGCTAAGATGGGTGGTGATGGTGGAAGGTTCGCCCCCGAAATATCCCCAACCTTAGGGTGGGGAGAGCCGACTTGCAGAGTGCGGAGGCAGGACTAGGAACCTGGCTGAGAGTGACACCATGTCGGGCGGTGAGCAGGGGGCCTCTGCTCAGGAGTAGGGAAGCGGGCATTCCTGTCACACCGGGCTGCACCCTGCAGGCAGTGAGAGGAAGCCTGAGCCCCTTGCTTCTGCACCAGGAGGCTGGCTACAGTGCCCTGGGCGATGGCCCAAATTGCCCTGCCCTGCATGCTGTTTCATTTGTATTACTGCATAGGGTGACCAGATGCTCCGATTTTATAGGGACAGTCCCGATATTTGGAGCTTTGTCTTATATAGGTGTCTATTACCCCACACCCCATCCCGATTTTTCACACTTGCTGTCTGGTCACACTATTACTGCACACCCTAGCAATTGCCATTGTGAAATAAAGCAAGCAAACAACTGCAAGCAGAGGGCTTGCAACAGAGAATCAGTTTTAACCAACCTTTCCCTGCAGGCTTTTCAGGACTATGGAGGTTTTGTTGAAGCTTCCTTTGTACCATCCATGTGCACCTAGTGTAAAGCAAGAAGTGCCATTCTCTTTCCCTTAAGGCTGCCCAAAGTGCAGCACATAAATAAGCAATGGTCACATAAACCCCACCCTATACCGGAAACCTACTGACCGCTATGCTTACCTACATGCCTCCAGCTATCATCCAGATCACACCACACGATCCATTGTCTACAGCCAAGCTCCACGATACAAGCACATTTTCTCCAACCCCTCAGACAGAGACAAACACCTACAAGATCTCTATCAAGCGTTTTTACAACTACAATTCCCACCTGCTGAAGTGAAGAAACAGATTGACAGAGCCAGAAGAGTCCCCAGAAGTCACCTACTACAGGACAGGCCCAACAAAGAAAATAACAGAACGCCACTAGCCATCACCTTCAGCCCCCAACTAAAACCTCTCCAACGCATCATCAAGGATCTACAACCTATCCTGAAGGACGACTCATCACTCTCACAGATCTTGGGAGACACGCCAGTCCTTGCTTACATACAGCCCCCCCCCCCCACCTGAAGCAAATACTCTCCAGCACTAACCCAGGAACCTATCCTTGCAACAAAGCCCGTTGCCAACTGTGTCCACAGATCTATTCAGGGGACACCATCATAGGGCCTAATCACATCAGCCACACTATCAGAGGCTCGTTCACCTGCACATCTACCAACGTGATACATGCCATCAAGTGCCAGCAATGCCCCTCTGCCATTTACATTGGCCAAACCGGACAGTCTCTACATAAAAGAATAAATGGACACAAATCAGACATGAAGAATTGTAGCATTCAAAAACCAGTCGGAGAACACTTCAATCTCTTTGGTCACTCGATTACAGACCTAAAAGTGGCAATATTATAACAAAAAAACTTCAAAAACAGACTCCAAGGAGAGACTGCTGAATTGGAATTAATTTGCAAACTGGATACAATTAACTTAGGCTTGAATAAAGACTGGGAGTGGATGTGTAATTACACAAAGTAAAACTATTTCCGCATGTTTATTCTCCCCCCCCCTTCCTCATACGTTCATAACTGCTGGAAATGGCCCACCTTGATTATCACTACAAAAGGTCCCCCACCCCCGCTCTCCTGCTGGTAATAGCCCACCTTATCTGATCACTCTTGTTACAGTCCGTATGGTAACACCCATTGTTTCATGTTCTCTGTGTATATAAAATCTCCCCACTGTATTTTCCACTACATGCATCCGATGAAGTGAGCTGTAGCTCACAAAAGCTTATGCTCAAATAAATGTGTTAGTCTCTAAGGTGCCACAAGTACTCCTTTTCTTTTTACAGGGAAATGTAATTGTGATCTTTTTATTTAAGCCATCAACAGAATCCTAGAACTGGTCAGTACTGTTATGTTGTTGGTCTGCTGGGGGGAGGGGGGGGGAAATCCGCCTCGTGTAAGGCTATATCACAAAACTGAACAATAAATTGCTTACATCAATTTAAAAATCCAATGAATTATTTTAAAGCGAACAGTACAATGTCAAATTATTTAAGCTGCCAAAGGCTATAGTCACAATATCTAAGCTTGGTTCTCCCCACACATTCTTGTATACTGTCAGACAAAGCACCGTCTCAGCCTCCAGAGCGAGTCTTAGCCTTTCATTATTACATTATTCAATGTTACATGCATTCAGCAGAATCTACAGAAGTGTCTTAAAAATGCAAACAAAAGCATAAATAATTAACTTTACGCAGACCCCAAACCAGACCCACACCGAGTTAGAGAGGCCCCTAGAGAGAGCCCCATGCTGCGGGAGTCTCTCAGAGAACGCGAGTGTAACACTGCAATTATAGCATTAACCATCGATCGATAGGTCACCAGTCCCAAGCCCATCCTGCACAAAGCTGCGTGATATGCCCCAGCAGACAACTCTTTACAAGACCAAGTGCTTAGTATTTAGCAAGAGAGAAAAACAAAATGCTGCCAGAACAGTTTGGGACAGGGCAAAGCCTCACCTCCCACTCCAGGGGCTACAGCCCTCCTCCACCCCACCATCACCTCTTGGGGCAGGAGCACATCCCCCCATGTACCCCCTTCAGGGGGCACAGTCCCTCCAGGGGCCACAACCTCCCCCCAACTCCACCCTCACCTCAGGGAGGGGCAGAGCCCCCCATGCACCCTCTCCAGGGGGCACAGCCACCCCCTGACCCCACCCTCACTTATGGGGTCAGGGGCACAGCCCCCCCATGTAACCCCTTCAGAGGAAACAGCTCCCCCACATCACCTCTAGGGGGGCAGAGCACTTCCACCAGCCCCCCCCCCAAGATATTAAGCCCCTCCCCCATACTCCTCCCCCTCTGGGAGGCAGAGCGTCCCCCCACCTTCCACGCCCCCTTTCCAGGGGCACAGACCCCTCCCCCCCATTCGCCCCTCCCCAGGACACAGCCCCCCCCCCAGGGGCAGCCCAGGTTCCTGGGGCTGCGGGGGGGGGGGAACAAGGCCCCGCCCCCCGGGACAGAGGAGCCGCGCCTCGTCCCCGCTGAGGGGCTCCTGGGCGCGCGCGCTTCGCACCCCCGTTACCTGGGCTCAGGGCGGAAGGCGGGTTCCCTGCTGCTGGCGGGCCCCCCCCCCCGCGGGCGTCGGAGTGCGCATGCGCGGCCCACCCGGCACCCCATCCCTCCCATAGAGCCTCCCCAGCGTGGCTAGAAAGTCCCGCAACGAAGGTCGGGCGCCATCGACACCTGCTGGGGCGCGGTGGTACTGCCGCAGGCTTCTGCGGCTCTGATTACAGGGGGATGCCTCCTGGATGCTGGTAGCAGCTTTTTGCACTGGAAAATGCATGCCATCGCTGCGGGTACAGCTCCTTGCCTTATTGGGATCCAGGAAGTGGGCGGGCAAGATACAGCTCCTTGTGCTAGTCATGCAGGCCTTTTCCTGCATCCCTCTGCTGCTGCAGTTCTTTGCACTAGGCCTGTAGGAATTTGCATGCACACCTCTCCTGCTGCAGGTCTTTGCATGCATCCGTTAGCAGCTGCAGTTTTTTGCTCGAGGTGTGCAGACATCCCTCCAAGTTGCGGGTCTTTGTACTCATCCTGCTACTACAGTTCTTTGTACTAGGTGTGCGGGTTTTAACATGCAGCTGCTGCAACTCTTTGCCTCAGGCAAACCAGTCTGTGCAGGAACTATCTGCTACTGCAGTTTGTGCACCAGGAATGGAGTTAATTTCCATTGTACAGGTACCACGAAGAAACTTCAGCACTGACCTAACAGGTCAATCAAGCTGTTGCCGGCAACCAGTGCCCAGAGGCTGAACAACAGCTTGAGTTGGTTCGTTACCCCGGTGTGCTACACCCAATAATCACAACGGGGTGGAGAAGCAGAAAAGTTTATTTGCAGCTGCAAAAAGGTACAGGGAGAATAAAATCTCAAATCCTGCACACAGACCAGGAAGTTACACAGGCTTTTATACATCCTTTTTCCTAGCATACTTATCCAATAGCAAGCTGCCCCAAGTATCCATATAGCCAGCCAATCCAGTTCCCAGCTAGTTCCCTGATTCTCTGTATCATTTGTTAAACTATACATAAAGCTGCTTTATTCAGCATTGTTCTTCCATATCTGCCCTGTTTGGCCTTGCTTAGTTTCAGGCAGTCTGACTCCGCAGCATATTGTTGCAGATCCTCAGCATAACTGCTGTGTGTGCCTCCAGGCGGGGGGGCCAAGGACACTTGGGACTAGTACGCAGAGCTGCTGCGAGTGCCTCCAGGCGGGAGGGGGGACCAAGGACACCTGGGCCTAGTGCGAGGGGGCTTCATCGACACTCGTGGTCTTCCATCCCCTTGAGTTACCTAGTGGCCATGCCCCAGTGTCCCCAACAAAGCAATTCAACAGTATTCCAAACAAGGACTGTATTGAAGTCATAGCGAATCTTGTTGCTGGCTTTAGTGGGGGCAACGTCATCAGGCCTTAAGGATATATTTTCCAATATTTTCTTTCTAAAATAGTCTGGTACCCAATGGAATGTGGTCTGATCACATTGTCTAAAAACATGCGTGCACCCTGCTGCTAGCAACAGTACTTGGGATGCAGACTGCGGATGCAGCTCTTCATTCTAGGCATAGAATCATAGGAATGTAGGACAGGAAGGGACCTCAATAGCCTCTCTAATCCAGTCCCCTGCACTGAGGCAGGACTAAGTATTAGAGACAGTCCCTGACAAGTGTTTGCCTAAACTGTTCTTATAAACCCCCAGTGGCAGAGATTCCACACACGCCCTAGATAATTTGTCCTAGTGCTTGACTACCCTTACTGTTAGGAAGGTTTTCTTAATGTCTAACCTAAATCTCCCTTGCTGCAATTTAAGCCCATTACTTCTTGTCCTATCATCTTCCTCTTTATAACAATCGTTTGCATACTTTAAGACTGTTATCAGATCTCCCCTCAGTCTTCTCTAGACTAAATAAACTCATTTTTTCAATCTTTTCTCATAGCTCACATTTGCTAGACCTTTAATCATTTTTGTTGCTCTCTTCTGGACTTTTTCCAGTTTGTCCACATCTTTCCTGAAGTGTGGTGACCAGAACTGGAAATTGTACTCCAGATGCAGGCTCTGTGTGGTGCTTACCTCAAGCAGCTCCCAGAAGCAGTGGCATGTCCCTTCTCCAGCTCCTATGCAGCGGCGCAGCCAGGCAGCTCTGCACGCTGCCCTGTCCGCAGGCACTGCCCCTGCAGCTCCCATTGGAGCACCAGAGGGGGCCACTGGAGCGCGTAGGAGCTGGAGTGGGGCCATGCCGCGTCTTTTGGGAGCCGTGTGGTGCACACCCCGACCTCACTCCCCTGTGGGAGCTCATGGGCCGGCTTAAAACGGCTCGCAGGCCAGATCCAGCCTGCGCGCCATAGTTTGCCCACCCCGATCTAGCTTTTATTTCTCTAGTGTCTTTAGAGATGGTCATGTGAGACAGTATCAAAAGCCTTACTAAAGTCAAGCTATATCATCTCTACTACTTCCCCCATCCACAAGGCTTATTACCCTGTCAAACAAGGCTACTATGTTGGTTAGATATGATTTATTCTTGACAAATCCATGTTGACTGTTACTTATCACCCTATTTACTTCTAGGTGCTTACAGACTGATTGTTTGGTTATTTGCTCCATATTCTTCCCGGGTACCAAAGTTAAGCAGACTGGTCTATAATTCTCTGGGTTGTCCTTATTCCCTCTTTATAGATATGTACTCTGTATGCCCTTTCCCATCCTTTGGGATCTCTCCTATCCTCCTTAAGTTCTCAGAAGATAATTGCTAATGGTACAAAGATCTCTTCAGCCAGTTCCTCAAGTATTCTAAGAGGTCAGGCCCTGCTGATTTGAATACAACTAACTTGTCTACACTTGAAAACCTACAGTGACACAGCTGCAACACTGCAGCTGCGCTACTGTGTCACTTCAATGTAGACACTGCTGATGCCAACAAGAAGGGTTTTTCCATCACCATAGGTAATCCACCTCCCTGAGAGGGAATGGTTGATGGAAGAATTCTTCTGTCAACCTAGCACTGTCTACACTGGGCTTTAGGTCATCATAACTACACCAGTCAGGGGTGTGGATTTTTCATACCCCAGAGCAATGTAGTTAAGCTGATCTAATTTTCTAATGGGAAAACAACTCCCATTGGTGTAGTTAATCCACTTCTGTGAGAGGCAGTAGCTATGTTGACAGGAGAAGTGCTCCCATCGTCATAGCACTGGGAGTTAGGTCAGTATAACTGGGTTACTCAGGGGTATGAGCGATGTAGTTGCACCAATATACATTTTATAATGTAGACTTGGCCTAATAATTAGAGGACACACCCTTTGTAGTTTATGTAGGCTGAGCCGTACATCTAATGAGAGAAACCCTGAGGGCATTCTGCGCCAAAAAAATAAAACTTCTGTGCACAATATTTTTAAATGCTGCACATTCTATTTGTCAGATAAATGTGGAGGCTCCAGTATGGCATTGGGGAATACAGGCCACTGGCGGCACAGAGGTAGGAGATCACTCTGCAGCTTTTTTGTTCTATGTTCTATGCTCCTGCACTGCAACTTGAGACCGTTGCCCCTTGTTCTGTCATCTGCCACCACTGAGAACAGCCTAGCTCAGGTAGTTGAAGGATGCTATTACATCCCCCCTCACTCTTCTCTTCTGCAGACTAAATAAGCCCAATTGCCTCAGCCTCTCCTTGTTAGTCATGTGCCCCATTCCCCTGATCATTTTTGTTGCCCTCCGCTGGACTCTCTCCAATTTGTCCACATCCTTTCTGTACTGGTGGGCCCAAAACTGGACGCAATACTCCAGATGTGGCCTCACCAGTGCCAAATAGAGGGAAATAATCACCTCCCTCGATCTGCTGGCAGTGCTCCTGCTAATGTAGCCTAATATGCCATTAGCCTTCTTGGCAACAAGGCCACACTGCTGACTCATATCCAGCCTCTCATCCACTGTAATCCCCAGGTCCTTTTCTGCAGAACTGCTGCCGAGCCAGTTGGTCCCCGGCCTGTAGCGGTGCATGGATTGCTTCCATCCTAAGTGCAGGACTCTGCACTTGTCCTTGTTGAACCTCATCAGATTTCTTTTGGCCCAATCCTCCAATTTGTCTAGGTCACTCTGGATCCTATCCTCCAACATCTCTACCTCCCACCCAGCTTAGTGTCATCCGCGAACTTGCTGAGGGTGCAATCCATCCCATCCTCCAGATCATTAATGAAGATGTTGAACAAAACCACCCCAGGACCGACCCCTGGGGCACTCCGCTTGACACCGGCTGCCAACTAGACATCGAGCCGTTGATCACTACCCGTTGAGGCTGACGATCTAGCCAGCTTTCTATCCAGTTTATAGTCCATTCATCCAATCCATACTTCTTTAACTTTCTGGCAAGAATACTGTGGGAGACCGTATCAAAAGCTTTGCTAAAGTCAAGATCTATCACGTCCACTGCTTTCTCCATATCCATAGAGCCAGTTATCTCATCATAGAAGGCAACTGGATTGGTCAGGCATGAATTGCCCTTAGTGACTCCATCATGGACTGTTCCTGATCACCTTCCTCTCCTCCAAGTGCTTCAAAATGGATTCCTTGAGGACCTGCTCCATGATTTTGCTGGGGACTGAAGTGAGGCTGACTGGTCTGTCGTTTCCCGGATTCTCCTTCTTCCCTTTTTTAAAGATGGGCACTATATTTGCCTTTTTCTAATCGTCTGGGACCTCCCCCAATCGCCACGAGTTTTCAAAGATAATGGCCAATGGCTCTTCAATCACATCAGCCAACTCCCTCAGCACCCTCGGATGCATTGCATCTGGCCTCATGGACTTGTGCATGTCCAGCTTTTCTAAATAGTCTTTAACCTGTTCTTTCACACCTCCTCCCCATGCTGTGCTGCCCAGTGCAGCAGTCTGGGAGCTGACCTTGCCTGTGAAGACCAAGGCAAAAAAAAGCACTGAGTACTTCAGCTTTTTCCACATCATCTGTCACTAGGTTGCCTCCCCCATTCAGTAAGGGTCCCACACTTTCCCTGACCTTCTTCTTGTTACTAACATACCTATAGAAACCCTTCTTGGTACCCTTCACAGCCCTTGCTAGCTGCAACTCCAGTTGTGCTTTGGCCTTCCTGAGT